TGCTCAAGGGTTGGATTCACTTCCTTAATTTACCATGAGAAGTGGCCGTGTTGCCAGGTAGCTTATTTCCTTAAGTGGAAAATGTACCGAAAAGTTAGATTCTGATTAGAAATGACATTGGTGCCTGTGGACTAGAAACATGCAGCTGGCGATGTCATTCCTCCTTCAGCAAACATCCCTGAGCACGGGCTCCGTGGCAGACAGGCAGGGTGCTGGGGGGTGAGGCGGAGCCACGGGTCCTGGCTGTTTGCCTCCTAGTCTGGGGGGGAGCGCGAGACTCGGGGGTCACAGTGCAGGCACACTCGCTCAGCCCGCAGGAGTGGCAGCCTCGGGGAAGCCCCGGGTCTGGGGAGCTTTAGCTGAGGTCAGAGAGGGTGTCCTGGGCGGAGGTGTGGGGGCACACGAGGCATTTCGGAGCCCTGTGGTGTCGGGGTCAGAGGGACGGGATGGAGACGCAGGCCAGGAACCCAGGCTCCCCCTCCCCAGCCCCTTAGGAATTCGACTCTAAACTAGACGTCACTTGAATACTTTACACACAGAAACTTGCCCCCACGCTCTGTTTCAACCCTCCCTTCCCGCGCCTCGCCCGCAGGAGGCCGTGCTGACCACCATGGACATCATCCACGACGGCTTCGGCTTCATGCTGGCCTTCGGGGACCTGGTGTGGGTGCCCTTCGTCTACAGCCTCCAAGCCTTCTACCTGGTCCTCCATCCCAACGAAGTGTCCTGGCCGCTGGCCGCTCTGATTGTCGCTCTGAAACGTGAGTGTTCATTTCCCTCTGGGCTCCGAACGCAGCGTGCCTGTGCCTCCGTGTTTGTGTGACACGCCCTTTTCAGTGGCCGTAATGAGCTCAATTGGAAGCGAGCTGTGACGGGTGAGTGGTAAGGCGTTTGCAAAGAGAATGGATGCCTCATGCTTAGGTTCTTTATAGGTCTCTACTAGAGAGAGATCTTTAGGATTTTTTATTGACAGTGGACATTCAGGGGGCGTGATTAGCTATTCCTAGCCCTTCAGAAGGGGTTCCCCTGATAGCCGCTGGGGTAGCCAGGACATACTATGGACTGTATGCCCATGCGCTACCTTACATCCCAGGACTTAACTGCCAGTTTGTGCTGCTTCATCCCCTCACCTGGCCCCCCAACCTGCCTCCTATCTGGCAACTATCAGTTTGTTCTAAAGAGGGAATTTTTATATCAACCAGTTTGCTTGTAAATTTAACCCTTTGTACGCCATAAGCATCTATAGGCACGGTACATTCAAAATATCGTTGCGTGGCAGTGAACTGGTTGTTTTAGTAATGACTCTTTTTCTGGTGGCACCTCTGAGAGGAGAGGAGTCCTGCCTTCTTAGGGCTTCCCTTCCACCAGGGGAAACAGACGCAGACGCTCGCAGGAGGCCCATGGAAGGACAGAGGGACTGGTCGAGAGACCTTCTCGCTGGAGGATATGGGGTTCGGTCTGAGTTTTAGTGGGTGAAATGTGTGGGAAGAATGAGCAGTAGCTGGGGGATGTGGTGTGGACGAGCTTTAAGGGCCATCTGTCTACACCAGTGATGGCGAACCTTTTGAGCGTGGCATGTCAGCATTTTGAAAAACCCTAACTAAACTCTGGTGCCGTGTCACATATAGAAATTTTTTGATCTTTGCAACCATAGTAAAACAAAGACTTATATTTGTGATATTTATTTTATATATTTAAATGCCATTTAACAAAGAAAAATCAACCAAAAAAATGAGTTCGCGTGTCATAGGTTTGCCATCACTGGTCTACACTGTCGCTTACCTCCACCAGAGGGCGGGCGAGGAGATGGGCACTGAGCTTCAGGTAGGGCTAGTTCTGCCACTAATTGGGGCCCTGGCACAAGAGGAAATTCTGGTTTGGTTTACCCAGGTCGACCTGTGGGAAGGTATGTTACAGGTGAGCTAATCATAGGAATCGTTTACCACTTTCATAGCCAGTAAGAGGCCAGGACTGTTCGCTTGGGCATTCTGAAGTACAGCTACCGACTTGTAGGACTGCAGCGAGATTTGGCATGTATTGAAGTGCAAGACGCGGTACTGAGTCTGAGCTAGAGTTTTAATGAACCAAAGTGTTCATGTGCAGCCGGCAGGCAGCGTAACTCACAGCACAGACAGCCTGTTCTTCATTAGCCTAGCTCCAGACCTGGCTTCACTGTAACGTGGGCTGCTATGGATGGAAGCAGTGTGAGACGTTTGCTAAATTTCCTCAGAGCTCAGAAATAATGGCTAAGGGAAACTGCTAACATGAATTCTTAAAAATTTACAGTTTGTGGATATGTAATCTTCCGATGTGCAAATGCTCAGAAAAATGCATTCCGCAAGAATCCCGCTGATCCAAAGCTTGCACGTAAGCACTGGTTTTATATTTATCGCATTTGTGTTGCATAAATATCATGTCTCTATTTGCCGACATGCCATTACAAATGTGTTTTTATTTTCATATAGATTTAAAGACCATTCATACTTCAACGGGAAAGAATCTTCTAGTTTCCGGATGGTGGGGCTTCGTTCGCCACCCCAACTACTTGGGCGACCTCATCATGGCCTTGGCCTGGTCCCTCCCGTGTGGTAAGCACCAGGAGCGCTCACCTGACTCCGTCCACAGGACTGTCCTTCATTGGGACATCGTGGGCAGAGCCCAGGGCAGACGCTCCTCCCTGTCTGTGGACACGCGGGGCCTCGTTCCTCTGGCTTCTGCGGGGAGTTAGGGACTCACAGGGCCTGAAGTTTTCCTTGAAACTTCTAAAAGCAAATGTGCAGTTTTAAACTCTGCCTGATGCTTTTGGCTAAGCAGCATATGTGGGAGTTAATTTCACTTGTTATCCCCGACTCAGTGTACACACTGGGACACTGCTCTGCAGCAGCGAAGGCCGATCTGTCTTCTACCAGCCTGGCCTGCTCGGCCGCCCCACGCCACTGAGCACCAGGGGCCGGCGGGAGGTTTGCCTCCAGCGGGAGGACAAACGCCCTGACCACAGTGGGTGGTTAGAGAGGATTAATCACACTTATCTGATGATCTTTTAGTTCAGATCCCGCCTCTGCCACCCCCAGCGGGACCTTCTGAGCTGGTTTGGGGCAAGCAGAACAACTGGCTAGGGTACGGTTTGGTAAACACAACACTGACGCTGTCCCGTCGCCCCCAGGTTTCCAGCACGCCCTGCCCTACTTCTACGTGGTGTACTTCGCCGTGCTGCTCGTGCACCGCGAGGCCCGGGACGAGCGCCAGTGCAGGCGGAAGTACGGGGTGGCCTGGGACCAGTACTGCCAGCGCGTGCCCTACCGCATCGTCCCCTACGTGTACTGACCTCCCGCCGCACCCCAGGGGCCCTCGCGCGTCGCACCGAGAGCTTCTGTAAGCGCCGTTCTGAGCCAGGACTGTGGAGCCACGTAGGCAGTCTTTTACTGTAGCCCGAGTATGATTTCCAAACCATGGCATTCAACACGAGGAAAGACAGAGATGTTAAGACTTTGCATTCAAATAGGAAATGTCTAGCCCTTAAAAATCTGCAAGCCAGTCTCATTATTGCCCTGAGAAGAACTTTCCATGTTTATGGGTTTGATTTTAAAATGCCGGTCTTGTTTTATAAACACTGTTACAGTGACAGTGGAGTGTGTTTTACTGCAGGAAGAGAATGGCATTTGCCTTCAAGTTGAAGTAAGAGGTTATTCGCAGCGCTGTTCAAGGGACACCATTCGTAGTAGCTTGCTTACCCTGAACTTCTGAACCTGCCTTCGGAAATGTAAATACATAGCCTTTATGTAATATATGGTGACTCTGGGTTTCTCTGTACAGTATTTTGAATGTGAAATAATTGTCAGGACTAAGTATCTTAACAAAAACATTTGCAGTATTTTAAATTAAGTTCTGTAAAGTAATACATGTGAATTATAATTTTTGAAACAGAATTCATTTGGTATTTTGTAAAAGATGCTATTAAGACATAGGAAGGTATTTTTCTTAATCCAAAGTTTGCAAATTAGGCTTTTCTACCTCAATTGCAGGTGTGTGTTTGCCTTTATAAACTTGCAAATAGAAAAAAAAAAATATTAGAATAAATATATATTTTTGGAGTAACATCCCTATTTAAACATTTTTACACAGATTGGTGGTTGAAGACTTGCCATTTCAGGCTAATATTTTTATATGTTTTTGACTTTTTTAAACTGTGTTTTTGCTACTGCTGAGCTCATGCAGTGAATACTGTATTTTGTACATTCTTTATATTCCAAAACTCTGCTGCCTGTGAGGGATTGTGGCATTCAGCTAAAAACAATGCAAGGGAATAGTTTAAAATCTTTCTCTCTTAGTCTAATAGATGTAGCTTTAGCTGTTAAATTCTAGTTAATAGTCTCACTATTAATTGTTCTGTAAGGAAAGCAAATCCACTAAACTTCTGTATTTGAATTTCAGTTCTCAGTACCTTAAACACACGGGCATGTAGTAAGTACAGTGCAGATGTTGAGTTGAAGGATGGATTTCACATGAGCCATGTGGGTCTGCGCGTTCATCCGCACTGCAGCGAGTGCGTCAGTTCAGTGCTGTGCGCAGAGGCGGGTGTGCGTAGCGCCCTGTAGTCCCCAGACACTGTGCTTCCCCCTGGCTCACCAGGGAGGCTCTGGGGACGGAGGAAGGACACGGACTTCTCTCCCCCGGAATGAGAAAGCGCCTGGCACCAGCTACCTTTTGCTTTTTGTGTTTTAAGTTGGAAATGTTGGAAATAAAGCGATAGGATCTGGAGCCTTGGTTTTCCTTCCTTTGCGTGTAACTCTGGGATCACTGAGACCGGAACGGGCGTCCTTAGATTACACGCCCCCAGACATCTTTCCCTTTTTGTTTGCGACGCTCCTGGACCACAGGGCACCCCTAGCCACGAGGGAGAAAGCGCCTGCCTGCACACGCTTCTACGCGGGTAAGCGCTGTACACGCACGGCCTGGAACAGGCATACCTGGTCAGAGTCCACATGTACCTGGTGTGGGACGGGAGTTTATTTCGCCTTCTTCTCACACAGCAGGGCGACCTGCATGGTGATCCAGTGACTGGGCGGTCTCCTTGTGGGCAAGAACACCGACGTTAAGCAGTTCGAAGGGGAGCCGGTCGTTGTGGAAATGGACGACCTCTGAGGCGTCTGATAAACTGGGCACTCGAAGGTGTGGCCTTCCGACTCCGGCGGGTTAGCAGCGGCTGGTGTCTCGGTGGAAACCTGAGAGAGAACCCAGCAGTCCAGCTGCACAGCTCAAACCCACCCACAGCGCGCGTTTCCCACGTGCCTGGCCTGGGGGCTTGTTAGGAGTTAAACATCCTGACGGTCAGGGGGCTGTGTCACTGCACGTGGGGATGACGCCTGGAGGATGTCATCTTAAGGCGTAACTACGGCTTCCTAGGGTGCCTGTTCCTGAGAGGTGACGGCGGCTGTTGGCATAGCGGCTATGTTAGATTCTGGCGATATTTGGGGCTTTTGTAAACGTGTTCGTGTCTCGGACTGCAGCTGGGGGGCCTCCACCTTCCTGAGCCTCCGAGTTAAAAAGGATCCCATTTCCCCCGTGAACCAGGGGACGTGGAGGCCCACAGGCGGTGTGACGGAACACTGGGGTGCTGACCTTGGTCGGCAGGAAGTAGATTTCCGGGAAATCGCAGCATATCTCGCGAGGCAGCGAGTCCTCTAGTATCTTCTCTTCGGGATTCCACCTTGCTCCCTCGATGAATAATCCAAAAATGTGAGCCCCGATGTGTGAGGAGTCTGTGCTCTAAGGCCAAAGAGAGGTGCTGTCAGCGGCGCCCGGGCAGGACCCTGCCTGGACCAGACGCCCCACGGGATGGGCCTGGAGGAAGTGGACGGCTCCCCGCCAGCTGCGGGGGGCCGGTCCCTGTACTGGGGAGCTGTTGCCGGGTGCGACTCTGAGACCTGAAACAAGTGTGTAGGCTCTGCATGTGCTCATCCTGAGCTGACAGGTGTTTCAAACACAGTAAAACCCCACCTTTCCAGAAGGACCACTTTCGGCCCAGCCTTTCAGAAGACAGATCATAAAAGGGGTCAGACTGTCCCCTGCTTCTACCCACGCAGCTGCGAGATTCGTGGAGGCTCTGGGAGGGACTTGGGAGCATATCTGAATGACATTAAAAGGGGTGAGCGAGTTGCAGATCGATTCTGTTAAGCAGAAAACTTGGTTGGCAGCAGCTCCAATTCTGGGGTGTCTCCAGGGGGGCCTGGAAGGCAACTCGCTCTCCCCCACTGTGTGGAGGGGCGGGGTGGCCGGCACAGTGCCCCCCGAAGGTTCCGTCTGCTCTGATCGGGCAGGTCCCTGGAGAAGGGACGGGCACCTTGTCCCGAGCTCACCCTCCAGGCAGCCTGGCCCTTGAGAAGTGACGGTGGGGGAGAGGACGGTGAGGGCACGTGGACCCGAAGGGGGACTGTGCCTTGTGGATCCTGCCTGCCTGGTGCCTGGCATGGCGCCCGGCACGTGCGGAGTGCGGAGTAAGGTCTGTGGAGGGAAGGAGGGATGGCTCTTCCCAACCCGAGCATCCGGGTACCTTGAAGGCTCTCCTGACGAGGTTGAGCGTCTTCTGGACCATGATGGAGAACTCCTCCTCTTTGGAGCCAATGGTGCTGGGGATCACCTGGTGGGTAAAGGTGAGGGCGTCCGTCGAGATGCCGTGGGCCCTCCCGTAGTCCTGCAGCACAGCGGTCAGGAAGGCTTCGGAGAGAAACACAAGTTCCTTGTGAGTTTCAGGGACCCGGGGGCTGTGCGCGTCCCAAAGGTCCCGGGGGGGGGGGGGGGGGGAGGGTGTGGGGGGGTGAGCGCTGTCAGCCACACGGATGCCTCTGGGGGAGGGAAGAGGGGGAAGAGAAAGAGGGTCAGGAGATGTGAGAGGTGGGAGTGAGGCCGGGCTGGGCGCCAGGAGAGGCATTCGCTCTTCAAACATTTATCCAGTGTTTTAGGGGCTGGGGGTGCAGCAGGGAGGCAAGCGGCCCTGCTTCGCCCGCATGGAGCTTGCCGTCTAGCATTACTCCCCAAACCCCAGCACACACGGCTGTGATCCGTACGGGTGGACGTCTGTCCTTCCTGCTGGACGTTTGTGCCAAGCAGGTGGGGCCCAGGGCCCAGCAAACGCTCACTTCCTCATTCCTTCCTTCGTTCTCGTTAAACGGATACGTTAACGAAAATGGCCGAAGCCCAGAATCAATCCCTAACACAGTGATGGCGAACCTGTGACACGCGTGTCAGAGGTGACACGCGAACTCATTTTTTTGGTTGATTTTTCTTTGTTAAATGGCACTTAAATATATAAAATAAATATAAAAAATATAAGTCTTTGTTTTACTGTGGTTGCAAATATCAAAACATTTCTATATGTGACATGGCACCAGAGTTCAGTTAGGGTTTTTCAAAATGCTGGCACGCCGAGCTCAAAAGGTTCGCCATCCCTGCCCTAACAGGTGCCCATTCTCAAAATGCCGCGGCCTCTGGGAGGGGTCTGGTGTCGGCCTCTGACCTCATCAAATGAATGGCCTGGGGCTGACGCCCGGAGACACTGCCAGGGGGCAGGGGGTAGGGAGGAGTCAGTGCCGGCAGGAGGCCTGGCACCTGAGGGGGACTGTGGTGGAAGCTGGGGGTGCGGAGGGCTGGGCTGGTCCTGGTTCACACGCTCACCTTGTGGAAAGAAGAAAGCCGGGAGCCAGTATCTTGCAGGAAACCCTTCAAAGAAATTCTTTTCAAGTTTGGGGCTGGTGCTAGAGTGCTTCCAGGCCAAGATAAACCTCATATACCTGGAGGCGGGCAGACACAGGCGGGGATGGTGACGGCATGACCACAGGGTCAGGCCACCCGGGGAGAGTTCTCCCTCCCTCCGGCCTCATCGCAAACCCTCCCCAGGCGGGAACCAGCCAGGGCTGTAAAGCTGGTGAGACGGGCAGGCCTTCACTGGCCCCCTCCCCCCCCCCGGGTGTTTATGGCAGCGGGTCCCTGGCTGGGCCGGCAGAGCCTCGCAGGCTGTTTGAGTCCCTCAGGGAGGAGGATGACAGCCGGGAACATTGGCTCACGGCTGCAGGGACCAGGGACGAGGCGCAGTTGGGCACAGACTTTGGAAGGCAGCTATGCTAACCACTATACCACCAACGCCCCAAGGGCACAGACTTTGGAAGGCAGCTATGCTAACCACTATACCACCAATGCCCCAAGGGCACAGACTTTGGAACCAGATTTCCTGGGTTCAAACCCCAACACTCCCCCTTGCTGGTTGGGGAGCCGTGGGCAAGTCCCCGCAGGTTTTGTGCCTCGTTTCCTCCTCTCGACGTGACAGCTCTGCTTCGTGCCCTGGGCTCACCGCGAAGGTTTGGTGACGGGCACGAGGACAGCCCCTCGACAAATGCCTGGCCCCCTGTGGGCGCTCAGTACGTGTTGGGCACTCACGCCTTTCCATTGGCTGTGTATCATGTATTCCATGTATTCAACTCGCTTAAGAAATACGTGCAACTAATTCTTCGTTCTTTTCACCTCTCCCCTCTCCCCTCGCTACTTTCACAAGACACAGTGTGGCCAGAGAATGTCCTAGGCCCGTGGTCGGCAAACCCATTAGTCAACAGAGCCAAATACCAACAGCACTTCTTCAAAACAGACTTGCCCAGGCCGAAAACCGACTTCTGCACATGGGCCAGGAAGTTCCAATCGCACTGTACGTGCGCGCCCACACGTGGTATTTTGTGGAAGAGCCACACTCAAGGGGCCAAAGAGCCGCCTGTGGCTCGCGAGCCACGGTGTGCCGACCACGGCCCTAGGCTCTGTCTGTCTCTTCGAGGGCGGTGACCCTGGACGGGGCGGGACTCGGTCTCATTCCCTCGCCCTAAGGGGGAGGTGAGGTGAGGTCCCCCACTCCCTCGAGGCCCAACGTGAGCTCTGAGCCACAGCCAGGGGGACGCGTAAGGAAAGCGGCGGTCGCCCTACCGGTGGTAGATGGCCGTGTAAGCCATCTTGGCCCAGGTGTTGAAGAAATTCAGTCGCTGGATGAGGTTGTTAACCCAGGAAGCCAGGGGCTTGCACGACTTGTAGGCGTGTTTCTGTGAGGATGGAGACACGGGCACATCGTAACATCCTTTAGTTTTGTTTTTTTTCTGGCCCATAGAAACAAGCTGTTGCCGGGGGCAACGGGGGCGGGAGAGGCCCGGATTTGGCAGCCAGTCCCCCTCCTCACCTCCACCTCCTACTTTACAAAAGTCTCCTGTCCAGAGAACCCCTTGTCTCCCCCCTGTCACCGCACACAGCGGCCGGCTCCCCCTGGTCGCGGGAGGCCTGGGCCTGCAGCTAAACTTGGAGTTGACCAGAGTCTGGAGCTGGCCTTGGCCCCGCCAGCTGCTCCTCCCCTGGTGTGCCTCTTGGGGCGGGGGGCGGGGGGGAGACCCAGGGGCCGGGGTGCTGTCAGCTGGCTTAGTTGGCACTCCCAAGACTCTAATTTGGGTTTCTAGAATTTAAAGCACGTATGCCCTTCTCTAAGCAAACGTATGCATAGATCAGCCTGGGTCTTATGTAAGTGTATGTGCTCTTATAATCCTTAAAAATGACATTTTTCTGAAACGTAAGGATTTAACAATACATCTTAGAGATGTGTCCCGTAGATCCGCATCATCGTTTAACCGGATTCCGATGAAGAGGAATGACCGTTGTTTTCAGCTTTAGGCTATTATAACCAGTCCTGGGGTAGATACCCTCAGGGGTATTCAATACCTCAGATAAATGTAGTTAAGTAGATTTGCCAGATTTCCTTCTAAGAGATCTTATTAATATCAACAACTCCCCAAAAGTGTGTCAGCACCTTTTAATGCAGGCGCAGCGTGGTATTTCGCCACGTGGCTGCACCACAGTCAGCCTGGTCCTGCCTGCGACGGGACCTCCACTTCGCGTCGACCCAGCCCGTAAAGGCGGGGACCCCCCCCCCCTCACCTGCCACAGCTCGGGCACTCTGGCTTTAAGAAAAGAGTTGTAGACCTCCTCCAGCTCCGGGGTGAGGACGATCTTTCCTTTGATAGCGAGCTGAAGGTCTTTCAAGGATTCATGTATGACCAGCAGCAGCTTATCAAAGCGTTCGATTTCTTGCTTCAAAAAGGACAGCAAGACACAGTGGATGAGGGGGTCGTAGCCTGGATTAAAGAAAGAGAGAACCTGGTGATATTTTGGCCCGGCCGGCGTGGCCCAGTGCGTGAGCATCGACCTAGGAACCAGGAGGTCACGGTTCGATTCCCGGTCAGGGCACAGGCCCGGATTGTGGGCTCCAACCCCAGTAGAGGGCGTGCAGGAGGCAGCTGATCCATGATTCTCTCTCGTCATTGATGTTTCTCTCTCTCCCTCTCCCTTCCTCTCTGAAATCAATACAAACATATTTTTAGAAAAACCCAAAAAATGGAAAGTGATAGGATTTGGAAGTTACAGGAATTTCCTCTGTCCAGGGAAATCTCTCCTGCAGGGCCAGTTAGTAAATGCTTCTGGCTTCGTGGACTGCCGTCTGTCACAGCCACACCCCGGCCGCGTGGGTGCCGTGGGACAGCGGGAAAAGGGCTCCCCTGGCTGGTTTTCTGACCATGTTTACGTATCACAAAAACTTCTTCTTCTTTTCTCCGCCGGGGAAACACCCTTCTGGCTCGCAGGCCGCACAGACACCAGCGGTGGCCGCGTTGCTCACCACCGGCCTGGACGCAGCAACGGTGCCACCCCCACAGGCGGCTGCCCAGCGCTTGGTTCCCCAAGGAACCCTTCCGAGGGTGGAAGTGCGGGTGCTGAGAGTGTCACGGGCCGGGTACCCCAGCCCGACGCAGGGGCCCTGGGCACCAGGTCTGCCCCGTCTCCGCTGGGCCGGCCCCTCCCCTCAGCTCCTCCCTGATGTGAGAGACACATCCAGCAATAGGGTGCCTCCTGCATGTGCCCCGACCGGGGCTGGGGATGGACCTGCAGCCCAGGTACATGCGTGACCTTGACCGGAATCGAACCTGAGACCCTTCAGTCCAAGGGCCGGTGCTCTAACCACGGGGAAAACCGGCCGGGGCTGGAGCTGCTTCTCTCTGCTGCTACCGTGATTGTTTCTCCATTCTTAGTCCTGAAGCCATCACCACCCGCCTCCTTCCCCAAACACCCCAAACCCCAATACACCGACAGCCTCCCGTTCCGCTCTGTCCTTCACTTGGCCCCGGAGGAGAGGAGGGCTTTAGCTCTCCATCGCCTCTCAGCCCCTTCCTCTGTGGCCCTTCTGTCCCGTCTCTGCCCCGACCCTGACCCTAACCCAGTGATGGCGAACCTATGACACACGTGTCAGAGGTGACACGCGAACTCATTTTTTTGGCTGATTTTTCTTTGTTCAATGGCATTTAAATAGATAAAATAAATATCAAAAATATACGTCTTTGTTTTACTATGGTTGCAAAGATCAAAAAATTTCTCTATGTGACATGGCCCCAGAGTTCAGTTAGGGTTTTTCAAAATGCTGGCACGCCGAGCTCAAAAGGTTCGCCATCACTGATCTAACCCTATCTGCCTGGTGCCAGAGTCCTGCTTTGGGGCCCGGGGGAGAGGCGGCAGGGGGAGGGGGAGGAGGGGGGCGAGGAGGGAGGACGGGGAGGGGCCCAGCCGCTCGCCTTCCAGGCCTTTATTCAGCGCCTCCCACACGGTGCCCGCCATGATGCTCCGCAGCGTGCTCTGGGTGCCCCTCCTCTCCTCCTTCTCCACCGTCATCGGCAGCCGCTTCTGCACATTTGACACCATCTCCATCACCAGATCGTCGCTGCTGGGCTCCCGGCTGCAGGGGAGGGAGGGAGAGAGGGAGGGAGGGAGGGAGGGAGAGTGAGGGCCGCACGGGGAGGCCCATCTTCCCCAGCATGAGACCGGGCAGGGCCGGGCGCCTCATGGGGCCCATGGAGCGCGTCTCGCTTTCCGCGTGAGGACTGTGAGGCATGAGACACCTGCAGGGAGAGGGGCATCTCCCGGTTTCTCTGTAAAAGCTCCGTCATCTGGGCTCATCTGCTGAACGGAAACACCCAGGATGAGACGCAGAGGCGGCGGCAGCCGGACAGACGGCAGCCGGACGGATGCTCAGGCCACGTGGCTGTCAGGCCTCGTGTTGACAGCGGGGCCCTGCTCGCACCCTGGGCGGTGGGGACGGGACGTGGGCTGCCACGCGAAACAGAGGCTCCCTGGACCCCGTCACAGGCGAGGACAGGAAGTGACCGTCCTTCCTCTGCGGCAGCGATGGCGAGCCTACGACACGCGTGTCAGAGGGGACGCGTGAACTCATTTTTTTGGTTGATTTTTCTTTGTTCAATGGCATTGAAATACATAAAATAAATATCAAAAATGTAAGCCTTTGTTTTACTCTGGTTGCAAAGATCAAAACATTTCTATCTGTGACACGGCCCCAGAGTTCAGTTAGGGTTTTCCAAAATGCTGACTCGCCGAGCTCACAAGTTCGCCATCGCTGCTCTACGGCCACGCTGTGCTCTTGACACCGAAAGCAGGTGGCTCAGTGGGTTTCCTGGGAGGCGGGGAGGCTTCAGACACTGGGGAGGGGAGCAGAGGGAAGGCCGATCCCTCGGGCCATATGGCGCTTGCTGTCCGGCAACCAACGCGACCTCGGGTTTCATGTCTGACGCCACTGAGACCTCGCAGCAGCCTGCGTGGCAGGCGGGTCCTCTCCGTGTCTGGGGAGCAGGACCGGGACAGGGAGGCGGAGCGGCCGGGAGGCACGGCCCATGGGGCTCCGAGAGCGGGGCGCCCTCCTCCCGACCACACTGTCCTCCGACTTATTCGGATGGGAATTTCCCCGGACATGTCACATTTAAACCAATTCTGCTTAAAAATACAACTCGCCGAAAGCGGTTTGGCTCAGTGGATGGAGCGTCGGCCTGCGGACTGAAAGGTTCCAGGTTCGATTCTGGTCAAGGGCATGTGCCTGGGTTGCGGGCACATCCCCGGTGGGGGGTGTGCGGGAGGCAGCTGATCGATGTTTCTCTCTCATCGATGTTTCTGACTCTCTGTCTCTCTCCCTTCCCCTCTGTAAAAAATCAATAAAATATATTTAAAAAAATAAAAAAATAAAAACACAACTCACCAGGCATAATTCACTGACCAAAGATCTACTGAGCACCTACCACATGCTTGGTAATTGTATGTGTGTGTGCACATGTGAGTGTGCACGCGTGCGTGAGCGTGCATGTGTGTGCGTGCGAGTGTGCACATGTGTGAGTGTGCATGTGTGTGCGCGCGCGAGTGTGCACATGTGTGTGAGTGTGCATGTGTGTGTGTGTGCACTGGCTCCTGTGTCACTTGGAGAGTTTAGGGTTTGCGTTTTGGGGTGACATCTTCCCTAAGTGCTATACCGTGTCCCTCCAAGCGGACACGGGCAGCTCTCCCCAACACTTTGCTGACGGAGCGCACGGCGGCGGCGCGTCCTACCTGATGACCAGGCTGGGCGGCCCCGTCCTCGGCTGCAGGGCCACCAGGTGGTCCATGAAGCTCTGGGCCTGCGCCTCCCGGCAGCCCCGGGTGGCCTCCGGGTGCAGCCCCAGCAGCTCGGCGGGCTCGTCGTCGGGCAAGGCCTGGACCGCGCGTCGGTAGGCCTGCAGGCTGGCCGATTCAGGCGCGCACATCTGAGAATTGACAGCCTGTTAGTTTCTGCCTCTCCTTTCGGTAGCGCACCAAGACCACATTCCCCGCGAGACGCTCCATCGAAGGCTTCATGTGCAGGTGGGATGTGCTAGCCCCGCGGTTCTCAACCTGTGGGTCGCGACCCCTCTGGCGGTCAAACGACCCTTCCACAGGGGTCGCCTAAGACCATCCTGCATATCAGCTATTTACATGACGATTCATCACAGGAGCAACATGACAGTGATGAAGTAGCAACGAAAACAATGTTATGGTTGGGTCACAGCATGAGGAACTGTATTTAAAGGGCCAGAAGGTTGAGATCCACTGTTCTAGGCTAATGTGTGTTCATACGACTGACCATCCCAGGGATGGGTGAACGTGGCCAAGAGGCACAAAACTTCTAGGTGTGAAATGACTGAATAAAGCAACAGAGAGCAGGCTCTTCAAGGGGAAACGATGCTCCGGCTTCCTGTCGGCCGGCTGTGCCCTCCGCTTCCTGCGCTGGGACCAACAGGTAATTATCAGGGTCACGGCCACTGGAGTTCAGAACAGCCACTGAAAGTGGACACTGATGTGAATTTAAGTGCGGACTGTAAATACTTTGGCAATAACTTAGTTAAAGACAATCAAGTCAGCCCTAGCCACTCTGCTCAGCAGATGAGAGCACTGGCCGTTGGACTGAAGGGTTTGGGGTTCGATTCCGGTCAAGGGCACCGACCTCAGTTGCAGGCTGGATCCCTGGCCTGGTCGGGGCATGTGTGGGAGGCAACCAATTGATGTGTCTCTCTCACATCGATGTTTCTCTCTCTCTGTCTCTCCCCCTCCCTTCTACTCTCTCATAAAAAAAATTAAGAAATGGCAAGATTTCATTCTTAAAAACACACAATCAAGTCATATCCTATATAATAAAAGGCTAATATGCAAATCGACCCTACCGCAGAATGACTGGTCGCTATGACGCACACTGACCACCAGGGAGCAGACGCTCAATGCAGGAGCTGCCCCCTGGTGGTCAGTGCGCTCCCACAGGGGGAGCACTGCTCAGCCAGAAGCTGGGCTCACAGCTGGCGAGCGCAGCGGCGGTGGCTGACGGCTCCCGGACTGCAAGAGGGCGTAGGCCAGGCTGAGGGACCCCACCCCGAGTGCACAAATTCCGTGCACCAGGCCCCTAGTAAGACAATACCTTCCTTTCTCACCTCCTCACTGAAGAAGCTGAAGTCGCATGTCAGCACGTCAGGGTTACAGAACCTGTAGAGCAGGGTGTTGAGGCAGCGCTGGTCCCAGGGGTCGGTCACCTGGCCCCCGTACACCACCTCCCCGAGCAGGTAGCGCAGCTTCTGCCACGGCACGGCCGGCTGGGCGGTCAGGGTGTTCTCCAGCATCTTCACGGCCACCTGTCGGGAACGTGCGCGCGCTTTTGTTATTTCAGGGTGTGTTTTCGGCGCACTCTGCCCTTTCAACACGAAAGCAGCAGCTCTCAGGCCGCTGCCCGCCGTTCCTCTGTAGGAATAGATTCCTGCTGCCCCAGGCCCCAAACCAGAAAAACCAAACTGACCCCCCCCCCCCGGCCCCCACGAGTGTGGCCTGGATTGAGCGGGCGCTGGTGGTGTGGGCACCTTTTCCTTCCCGAGTCCCTGGTCGTTCGGGTTGGTCCTCTCACATCCTTCCCTGACGCCCAGGTGCCGCTCACTGGGGGGCAGATGCGCACAGAACCCTGCCAGGCAGCTGAGCCCGGGGCCTCTCGTGGGAAAGGAAGAGCCTCCTGGGGCCCTAGAGGAGATGGCCAGGAGCCGCCCGTCTGAGTGGGCCCCCCCCCCCCCCGGGGACAGGCACCCCGAGGGGGCATCGGGGTTTCCTGGGGAAGGTCTCTGGGACCTGCTCATACGCAGAGGTGAGTGGCTGTCGAGGCCGTGGCCTGGGCTGGGCAGCTCATGCGGGTGCTACCCTGGTTGCTGTAGTGACAGAGAAACCCCGCCCCCCCTCCCCCCCCCATGCTGTTGTGCAAAGGGGAGGCTCTGTACGGAGGACAGCAGGGAGGCCGTAAGCGGAGTTGATGCCCCACCACGATGGGTCAGTGTCATCTCTCCCGCGTGAAAAACATCCCTCTGGCCATGCGTGCGAGGCAGGCACTGTTCCTGTATTAGCTGGTCCTCCTCTAAGGCCCCCCACTACCCGGCCCCCCCCCACCCCCGCCTGTCCTGGCCAAGGGCGTGCAGGGCCGCCAGGTTAATTAGCTGCCCCACAGGTTAAATGCCCGCACAGCGAAGGGGCAGAGCTGTCATCTGATTCTAGAACCGCTGGCTTCCAAGCCCTTGCTTCTAAGCCAGCGGTTCTCAACCTGTGGGTCGCGACCCCTTTGGCGGTTGAACGCCCTTTCACGGGGGTCGCCTAAGACCATCCTGCATATCAGATATTTATTTCCATGACGATTCATCACAGTAGCAACATGACAGGTATGAAGTAGCCACGAAAATAATTTCATGGTTGGGTCACAGCATGAGGAGCTGTATTTCAAGGGCCAGAAGGTTGAGAACCGCTGTCAGCACTTGCATCCCACCGGGAAAAGGGTGCGTGGCCTGTACGGCACCGTTACCTACTTGTTGTTTATTCAGAAGACGCTGCCGCCGCGCTTACCTCGAAGTCTGAGGGATTGAATTCATAGTCGACGTTCCAGCCCAGCATTCCGTATTTCCTTCTCTCGTTGATCAGAGCGTTGAAGAAGCACAGGCTGAACAAGAGCTTTTTCCACCAGGGGCCGCAGTTGGGTTTTTCAAATATTTCTTCCGTCACCTCTCCACTGCCGTCGTGTCCAAGCGTCTTCAGTAAATTACTCTTCAGCCCCATGGGCATCTCCACGGCGATCTTAGGGCAGATGTGAATGAGAACAGCACGTGAGGGCACGTGGGCACCAGGCCGGGGGGGAGGGGGGGCTGCTCTACCCCCGGGGAGAGAACTAGTCAAGCTTCACTGGCAAATCAAAACTCTTGTGTGTCCGGCCGGTGTGGCTCGGTGACTGAGCACCGACCTATGAACCAGGAGGTCACGGTTCGATTCCCGGTCAGGACATGTGCTGGGATTTCGGGCTTGATCCCCATTAGGGGGCGTGCAGGAGGCAGCCGATCAATGATTCTCTCTCATCATGGATGTTTCTATGCCTCTGTCCCTCTATATAGACACCATAATTTGGTCTTTTCTTAGAAGTAGGTCACCTGATTAAACTGTATGGAACTTTAAGACTCTATATATTGCGAGATTACCTTTTGTCCTGGATTAATGTCTTTCTGATATTACCTTATGAGCAGCCTGTGAGCGTGGTTATTTCACAGCATGCTTAGTATTACAAATTAGATCAGAACAATCTTTCATCTCTGCCAGTTCGATGGGCTACCAAAGGCATCTCCTTGTCCTGGTCTGAACGTCTCTGACTTCGAGGGGCTGAATTTTTAATTTTTTCACGTATTTATTGGCCTTCTGTGTCCTTTGCTCGTTTTTATGGGGTGTCCGTGTTCTTCCTTATTAGGAAAACCACCACCTCTATCTGCATGGACGATGGGACATGAGAAACCCCATCAAGTTCTACGTATGAATGAAAAACATTAAACATGTTTCCTTGGCTCCTAGGAATCCCAACGTGTGGCCAACTGGACACTTGTTGGATACAACCGACCAAGTCTTAGCACGTATTCAAACGCAACCATGGAGATGAGCGGAAGTCACAGACGATCCACGCGTGGGCCTTTTCACTCAATAACTGCTTCCTGCCAGGCCCTTTCTAGGGAATTAACGATGACCTGAGGGGGGGGGGGAGTAGAGGGAGGAGCAAGCCAGGGCAGCAGGGGGCAGGAAACGGCCGCACGTCCTCCGTTCTGGTTTAGAGCAAGGGGGAGCCGGCATCTGAGCAAACGAACACCCACACCAGCGGCTCCCCGCCTTGCGCTGGCCACGCCCCACCTCAGCGTCTCCAACATCCTGACGCCCGCCCTTTGACATCTAATTCTTATTCTTCAAAAAGCGGACTCGTGTTCCCATGGAGGAAGCCTCAAAAGGCCGTGAACTTGGTTGAAAATAAGCTTCCAAAGGACATGGCATCCATGCAAGAGAAAAATACAAGAACCAAAGGACAGCTGAAGTCCGGAGGAGGAACTCACTAAGAAATTGTTAAAAAAAAATAATAATAATCTGAGGTGATAGGAAAAAAATAGCAAATAAAGTTTCAAAACGTAATGGAGAACTGAAATGCATCAATATGTCACAATATGTATTTATATGCTGTAGGTGAGGCCCCCAGAACCAGAAGAAATGCCAAAAGTTCAGTTAACAACTCCTTCTCGAATTGGCCCCCGTAAGCATCAAATCGCCCCCCTGTGGGGCGGGTGCCCCATGTTGGGAACCATGTGAAAGGAGGGGTCTCTCACCCCGTTAGCGGCTTCCCTGGTCCTCGGCACGGGGCTGGGCACAGGGCAGAGGCTTAGCGTCCTGACGTAGCACTCTCTTCACTCTCAGTCGGGAAAGCAAGAGGATCCACACCAAATACTGTCCCTCCGTCAACATTACAAGGGCCCACTTTGTTCTTACCTTTAAACTCTTCTGAAGAAGGGAAACTGGCAAAGAGCTGTCCGATTCTGAGCTTAACCACAGCCGGAACTCGGGGTCTACCGTTACATTTGGATTATTGAGTCTGCAAAGTAAAAAAAAAAGTGTGTATTGATGTGAGAACCTTACACCAAACCAACGTGTCCTAAGAATCATAGTTATTTCGACGTTTTAAGGGAACTCAGGAATCATTTTAATAATCAGAGATCTGGTTGGCCGCCCTCAGAACTTCCCCGCTGCACAAGAATTTGCACAAGACCCACGAAATCCCATTTAAAAAAACCAGTTTTTGGTCCCCTGAGTACAAAAGTGACATGTGCTCATGGCAGAAACCTGGGGGAAAATGACAAATTAAGAACAAAACAGACTGCAACTTTTCTGCGAGTCTAAAATGATTACTTTTTAATTTACAAAACAAACTAAAGCAACAAAAGCAAAAAAAAAACCCCCACAAAAAACAAAAAAACCAAACCCCAAAACCCAACAACAAACATACACACACACACACACACACAAAAAAAAAAAAAATAAAAGCACCCGGGTGACTTACGAGTCCACTATGGTGCAGAGCCGTGGCATGAAGGACGCGGCGAGGTGGCAGTTCTGCAGGAAGACCCACTGCCCGGCCTTGGCGAGGGCGTCCGCGATGAGGTCTTCCGCTTTCGCTGCCTGGCCTTGGCCCAGAGAAATCATGGTCACATGCTGGGTGGTTCCTTTCAGCTCCTGGGCGAATTTCAGGAGGGTGTTGATGACGTCCACCCCTGGGTAACCGTGCAGAGAGGTACGTGGTAAGCTCGTAGGACTCCCCCTGGAGCACAGCCTCGCATTTGTGAGTGGTGGTGGGAGAAGATGGCGGTGGGGTGGGAACCTGGGCTTTCTGGCTCATGGGGGTGATTCTCCCGACCAAGGCAGCCGCTGCTGTCATCTACGCCAACATCACTGTTCCTCCTCTGTAGCTGAAGCCCAGTGTTACTTGGGATGGCCGTGCACCCAGCTAAAATACTGTATTTTCGGCCTCTCTCTCTTTAAAAAAAATGTATTTTATTGATTTTTTACAGAGAGGAAGGGAGAGAGAGAGTTAGAAACACAGATGAGAGAGAAACATCGATCAGCTGCCTCCTGCGCACCCCCCACTGGGGAGGTGCCTGCAACCCAGGTACATGCCCTTGACTGGAATTGAACCTGGGACCCTTCAGTCCACAGGCCAACGCTCTATCCACTGAGCCACACCGGTCAGGGATCTGCCTCTCTTGACGCGAGGGATGGGCATCTAAGTTTTGTGAGTAGGCGTTGGCAGCCACGTTCGTTACCCAGGTGTGTAAAACTGTCCTTTCCCTCCATCCTGTTGCTTAGAACTTGGATTCGTGATGCCTTGCACCCTCGCTGCCATCTCAGACTAAGTCTTAAGTGGATGGCACCCGGGTGGCAGGCACACAGCCAGCTGTTTTACCCAGAAAAGTTTCCGACGAGAAGGTCTGTACATGAACGGCATTTTGAACGAGATTTTGGCCCAGGGGAGTCAAAGCTTGGAAATGGTGAGTCCTAAAGACGTGTTTGATTTGGAGGTGATGAGGAACGGAAGACAGATGAAGAAAATATTTTGCTTAGAGTTTTCAGATCCAAGACAAGAGAATGAAAAAGAAAAGCATTTGGGGTTTTGAGGAATACAAGGGCCAGATCAGAAGGACCAATCTCTGATAGCTTATTTTCTAACATACATATTTTTCATGAATTGATGTCAAGTAAACAGTTAACAGATACAAGGGAAAACTCAACCTTCTGATCAATAATATGTGTTTGGGAGATATTTCCTGTCTGCACAGAAAACTAGTGCTGAAAATGTCTCCGTTATTTGTAAATCTTATTCCTTTTTGCCCTTTTACAAGGGTTCATTCTTTCTGTTTGTTTGTTGTTGTTTTTTAAATATATATTTTTATTGATTTCAGAGAGGAAGAGAGAGATAGAAACATCAATGATGAGAGAGAATCATTGCTCAGCTGCCTCCTGTGCACCCCCTACTGGGGATGGAGCCCGCAACCTGGTTCGTAGGTCGGAGCTCAACCACTGAGCCACGCCAGCCGGGCAAAAGGTTCATTCTCAATGTGCTTTAAAATTGTAACCTGTCCCTTTTCCAAATGTTTAAATAAGAACGCGACAATATTTTAAAGCGGACACAGCCCTACCTCCCCACGTCTTTTGACAGACGGTGGCATCATCCTACCGGCTTGGCAGCAGCTTACCTTGCGAGTGAATGAGTATCACTGGAGTCCTGGCGTTGGAAACTTGATAGGATTCTTTCAGATTAATTCCGGTTCTGTGAATATACTCACTTCCTATTTTTTCGGTCAGAAACTTTCTCACTGAGTTCTTCAAACGCTCTGGTCTGAGAATTTTTATCTAGAAAAGAAAACGGGAGATCAAGCGAAGCACAGGGCGAGGGGTGGGGCCCGGCCACCATCGCTGGGAGGACCTGTGCTCTCCGTGCGGGGGGTCACGGCCCTTTGCCACCCGCAGGCTGCTGGCTCCTGCTCGTCTCCCGGACCAACCAAGCGCTTATATAAACTTCCCCCACGGTTCTCGTCTTTAACCCCAAGGACCCCTGAGCCACACCGGCCCCGCGGCCGACTCAACTTTCAATCGGAAGGGGTTTAGTTACTGTTCGAGTGCTCAAACCACGGAGAATACCGATTATCCGCTCTCGGCACGTCTTACCAAAATAAGTCTTTGAAACGGAGTGAGTTTCTCCCAGGGGAAATTTACAGGACGATGTACTTCTTTGTGTTCATTCAGAAGTTCAGCTGGATACAAGTGAGAGAAAAGGAGCGAGGATTAACCATGGAATACATTGGTTCACTAGGAGGTGCCACAAATGGACACACTGAGCTAACAAGCCGGGCGGAGACAGACTCATTGGTAGAGAGCAGGCTGATGGTGGGGTTGGGTGGAGGGGGTAGAGGAATTGGGCAAAAGAAGAGAAAAAAGCCTTGGACACGGACAACAGTGCAGTGACTGCGGGGGGGTGGGGGGACGGGCGGAGAAGGGGGAGGTGGAGGAGGGCATAGGGCAGGGAACTCATTTTTTTGGCTGATTTTTCTTTGTTCAATGGCATTTAAATATATAAAATAAATATCAAAAATATAAGTCTTTGTTTTACTGTGGTTGCAAATATCAAAACATTTCTCTATGTGACACGGCACCAGAGTTAAGTTATGGTTTTTCAAAATGCTGACACGCCCAGCTCAAAAGGTTCGCCATCACTGGCCTAGGGGGACAAATGGTGATGGAAGGAGACTTGACTTGGGGTGGTGAACCCTGAATAGGGGTGACGTCGGCGGAAGGGGCAGGGAAAAGTGAGGAGGAAGCACTCAAACTGAAAAAAAAACACACACAAACAAATGGAAAAGATATGCTAAAAGTAGCAAGTCATTTAAATTAAGTTCTATTTCTTATGCAATTTTTAAAAACACGTCTCTTATATAAAAACAATACCTAAAACACATCTGTTAGCCCTCGCCGGTTTGGCTCAGTGGACAGAGCGTCGGCCTGCGGACTGAAAGGTCCCGGGTTCGGTTCCAGTCAAGGGCACGGGCCCGGGTTGCGGGCTTGATCCCCGGTAGGGGGCGTGCGGGAGGCAGCCGATCCATGATTCTCTCTCATCATTGATGTTTCTCTCTCTCTCTATCCCTCTCCCTTCCTCTCTGAAATCAATAAAAATATATATTTTTTTAAAAAAGAGGCATGCTTACAACGTAGTAATGTTCCCCTCGTGCATTTTTCATCATACAAGCTACCGGACTCCATTCACAGGGGACACTCTACATACACGCGGATGCGGTCGAGCTAGGCACAACGCGAAATGCCTTCTTACTCTCCTCGGGCGATTTCTCGCTTTCCTCCGGGGAAGCCCTTTCTGCAGAGAAAGGTGTGCCCAGCAGAGCGTACAGGGCCGTGCTGGCTTGGAAAGCGCTCCACTGGGACCAGTTGAACAGCAGGGACCGGCACAGGGCAGAGAAGGCTTCCAGCTGATGGCTGAGGTACCGGCACTGCCTCCACCTGGCGTGCGAGACCCAGCGCAGGTGCCTGCCCCTGTCCATTTCATACAGGCCTGGAGGGGAAGGGGAGACGGTCACGCTGCAGGAGACGCACCCCGCACCTGTGAGGGGCGCGTCGCAAAGTCGATGCTCGGTAAGTACCTATCGTTGGGAGAGAGCTATTTCATGTGACAATCCCGCATAACAGAAGCTCAGCGACCGGACGGCCGAACGACCTGAACGACCGGTCGCTATGACGCGCCCTGACCACCAGGGGGTACACGCTCAACGCAGGAGCTGCCCCTTGGTGGTCAGCGTGCTCCCACAGTGGGAGGCCAGTTGGGGCCAGCCAGCCGGGGGGGGGGGGGGGGTTGGGGGGGGACTGTAGGAGCGCACTGACCACCAGGGGGCAGCTCCTATGTCGACTGGTCATCACAATCACTTAGGCATATATATATGAATTCCTTATTACATCTATGATTTGAAACATTTCTCTCATTCCATAGCTTGTCTTTCCGCTCCGTTGATTGTGAGGTTTCTATGTTTGATGCGGTCCCGCTGGCCTATTTTTTCTTTGGTTGCCTGTGCACTGGACTCCGCCCAGGACTTACCCGGCAGCTCCTCTGGGTCTCAGGCCTGTGGCCTGAATCACGCCCCCCCCCCCCCCCCCCCGCCCCCGCTGTCCTGGAATCCTCCAACTTACAGGTGACAGACAGATCATGGGACCTCTCAGCCTCCTCATCGTGTAGATGAGGGTGATCGTAACCGTAGCCAAGGTCACTCACTCGCCCCGAAGTTACTGAGCACCAGTGACATGCCCAACAGCGCAGCGGGTACAGCGATGAGACGGACACCGCCCTGGACCTCAGGCTGCTTTTCATGTAACGCGCACAGAAGCGCTGGCTGGAAGCGCCTGAGGAATCTCCCGTGTCCTTTCATGGAAACAGCTTGTCACCAAACCCGGGGACGCGGCTTCCACTTACGATCAAGGCGGGGGTGCGGCATCACGCTGTCGGTGTTTATCAAGGTGCTCGAGTACAGGAAGAGGGTCCACTCCTCCTCTGGGAGGGACCCCAGGCCGTCCGCGGGCGGGCCCTCGCTGGCGCTGTTCTTCATGATGGCGGCGCAAAGCAGGAAGGCGAAGCAGAGTCTGTGCTGGTTGAACAGCGCTGCAGAGACCACCTACGGGGACAAGACAACCGTTAGGGGTCAGGCGACCGCAGGGAGGGCAGACACGCGTGCGGAATTCGCCTTGAAGGCTGTCCTCACCTTAAATATCTTCATGGTCAGCACCTCGATGGAATTTTTAAGGTGCCTCTCCAAGGGAGGTTTTTCCGGTTTCAACTTGGCCTCTTTGGAGAGACTTCCAAGCTCGTGAACTTTCTTGGGAGGGATTTTCTCCCTCGTCGACCCGTGTTCTTCCTGCTCTTTGCTTTTGGAAACGACCGACGAGAGGAAAACCTGGCGGAACCAGTCCAGGGAGAACTGGTACATGTGACTGATCTGGGTGAGACTGGCCACGACGAAGTAGAGCAGGGCGCCCCGGGTGGCGATGGGGAGGTAGTTTTTACGCGTTGCCTGGATCTCGCTTTCTGCTTTTTCTGTCTCGCTGATGCGCTTGGAGATTTCATTGGAAGTGATCTTGGATTTTCTCAAGGTGTCCACAATTTCCTCGTTATCTAGTACATATCCTAAAAACAAACAAGAAATGAACGTAAAGAAAAGCCGCTCCCATATCCAGCGGCAGCGTCCTCATTCTGTCCTCGCGATGTAAGAGTTTTCGCTATCGGCTTTTTGTGGGTTTTGTTCTGGAGATGCGCTCTTCAGGGAAGATGAGTCATGATTCTAGTAAGTTTGAGTAATAGCACACATGCCCCTCTTCCCACTCCCTCATCCCTTCTTTAAATTATGTTCGTGTTTACGGATTCTATTTTTATTGCAGGCACGTAAGTGGTCATTCCATCGTGACGAACGCATTTCCACGGTGACCCGCTATACACAGAGAAGACGAAAATAAAACTTCCAGAAATGAACACGGTTACCCTCATTTTCTGGGACGCACTCAAATATTTCCTATTGTTCTCTATTTTCTTTTCTTTTTTTAAAAAAATATATTTTATTGATTTTTCACAGAGAGGAAGGGAGAGAGATAGAGAGTTAGAAACATCGATGAGAGGGAAACATCGATCAGCTGCCTCCTGCACATCTCCTACTGGGGATGTGCACGCAACCCAGGTACATGCCCTTGACCGAAATCGAACCCGGGACCTCTCAGTCCACAGGCCGACGCTCTATCCACTGAGCCAAACCGGTTTCGGCTGTTCTCTATTTTCAAAACAAATACAAGTGATCATGACCGATGAGACTGATTGCTCATCCCATGAAGAGGGTGCCCTGCTTTCTGGGAAGGGGAGAGGGGCCGAAGGTGGGCTGATCAGCCATGGCCAATGAGTCAATGCATCAGGCCTCCACACACCCCAAACGGAGTGGCAGAGCTCCGGGCTGGTGAACACGCGGGTTTGGGAAGAGTGGTCACTGGAGAGAGCAAGGAGGCTGCGTGCCCTTTCCCTATACTCTGCCCTATGAATGTCTTGCATTTGGCTGTTCCTGAATTACATGCACATTTTTGTTAATCCTCACCAAAGGCTACCATTGATTTTCAGAGCGAGTGGAAGGGAGGGGAGAGATACAGAGAGAGAAACACTGATGTGAGAGACACATCGATTGGGTGCCACCCGCATGCGCCCCAACCGGGGCCAGGGATTGAGCCTGCAACCGACGACCTTGCCCTTGACCGGAATCGAAGCCAGGACCTTTCAGTCCAAGGGCCAACACTCTACCCACTGAGCCACACCGGCCAGGGCGCCACTCAACAACGCCGTAACTTGCCTTCTGTGTTCTCCAGCAAATTCAGCGTTTTTTCCTCCAGTTCTTCAAGGGTCATCGCATCCAGGGAAATGCTCTCCAGCAGCTGGAAGCGCTGGTTTTCCAGGTGAGGGACTTCGTGAGTGACGATGGTGGACAGGAGCTGATCTTGCAGACCCTGGAAGGTCACGGTGAAGTTGACCACACTGACGGAGTTATAGACGGCGGGAGGGAAGTGCGGGTTGTCTATTTCTGTCGATAAGTATAACCTGGAACACGAGAAAGGTTTCAGCGGTTAGCCGAAGGGGAACATGAAACCACTTTTTTTTTCTTTTTTTTTTTAAGTAATGAAAAAGCTATTTCTCCTGGAAGTAAAGGCTCATTTTCAGCGCTCTTCTTCCTTGTACACAAGGCAGCTCTCTGCGAGTCTGTACTCTGTGGATACATGTGCTACGAGGACTTTAAACACGCAACCATGCATGATGTTCGTACTACATTTGGCCTGAAATTCAGGACACAGTAAAGACGAATGCACACAGTAGGCGCTTTGACCTGCCCGTAGGCCATGATAAGACTGGTTTTTCCCCGGAGTAAGAAGCCGGCGGAGGGGTCTGAAGTAGAGGAGTGGTGACAGGATTTGTTCTTAACAGGACAAGTCTGTCTGCTCTCTGGAGAGCAGTGTGTGCAGAGGGAGGCGGCCGGTGACAAGCTGGGAGACGGTGGCGTAGCCAGGAGGGGTCAGACTTCATGGCAACCCGACAGAGCGGAGACAATCCTCTTTCCTCTCGATCAGGGGTGAGCGGCGACTCAGGTTAAGGAAGTGGCCCCGGACGCATGGCCAGAAAGTGACAGGATGGGCTCTGCTGCCCGTCTGCCCGCCAATCTGGAGGCCTCTACCGCATCCCAGACACCCAATTCTGACACCAGACCAGGCTGTCGCTTCAGGAAAACGCTGCCACGTTAGCATCTCCGGGGCTTTGCCTAATCCATGGCATGGTGTTCGGCGAGGGGGAGAGGATGGGTGACACGGAGCTTTCCTGAGTGTGTTCTGCAGGAAGCCTCTCTCTGGAGAGGCCAGCAAGCGGAGGGGTTGCAGGTCCTCGTAGGGAAGAATCTTGTTGAAGTTTGTTAAACTCAGAGCTTTAAGAAAGTAGAGGGACCCCTTTTTGTTGAGCGACATCTACTACATCGCTTGAGGAACGGCTTTGGTGGATGTGGGAGGAGGCTGGAGACAGAACCCTAAGGCGTGAGGACTTGGCAGCCCTGCTCAAGGGTGAGAGGGGCCAGGGGCCAGCAGCAGACGGAGCCAGTCTGCCCGAGGCCTGGAAAGAAGGTAAAAGCACCGGGAAAGGGCTCGTTACAATCGTCCTCGAATTCTCTATGCCGGCTACTCCCTCACCCAGCAACCTCTCCTGGCCGGCTACTCCCTCACCCAGCAACCTCTCCTTGCCGGCTACGCCCTCACCCAGCAATTTTCTGAGTATGGAGAGAGTGCATACGACCCACAACTCAACTGTCTGCTTCCCATGGGAACTGTGTTTTTGTGGTAATTAAATGAGACTCTACAGCTGTGCTCTGAAGTTAGTGGGTGGGAGTCACTACTGCCTGGAACAGGATGCAATGTTTTTATCCGCCCAGCAAAGATCTCTGTCTTCTTGCTCTAGATATCAAACACCGGTCTTTTTCAATGGGAGCGGAAGCTTTGCCTGTTGGTTAGGCTAACGCAGTGGTCGGCAAACTGCAGCTTGCGAGCCACATGCGGCTCTTCGGCCCCTTGAGTGTGGCTCTTCCACAAAATACCGACTTCCGTGCACGGGCCACGAAGTTTCAATCGCACTGTACATGTGCACCCGCACGTGGTATTTTGTGGAAGAGCCACACTCAAGGGGCCAAAGAGCCGAATGTGGCTCGCGAGCCGCAGTTTGCCGACCACGGGGCTAATGGATCAAATCAAGCTGTCGTGGGTCAGGTAGGGCCAGGCCTCCTCCCGCTTGCTGTCTTTCCTGTACAGTTTCTGAAAACCCCATGGAGACCACACACTTCGCCAGGCACAGGTGGAAAAATATCAGTGTGCAATGAGTGAATAAACAATTCATTCTCTGTTCTGTATACTGAGGGCCAAGCCACAGAAACTGAAAACACGAACAAAAGAAGAACATTCAAAATGCAATCTCGCTTCTCCCCACCAGGAGACGCTTATCAGGGCTGAAACAGGACCTTCGACGCGACGGTCTGAGAAAAGAGAAACGTTTGGCTCAGTGGACTAGGACCTTACCTAAATTTGGAATTATATTCAATCTCAGAATCATTGACCCGGATGAAAGACTGGCCTCTTCTCTGGTAGATGTCCTTCTTCAAAATCCCCTTCAGATTTGCAGGCAAGGTTTCAGGGAGATCCTGAAAAACCCCATAGATGGGAGTTAAACAAGTTCATCTTACACAGAATGAATCGGTGGAAAAGACACAGCTTTAAGAAATGCGAATCTTTTCTTTTCTCTTTTTTAATTGACTAAGCAGCGGTTCTCAACCTGTGGGGGTCGAACAACCCTTTCACGGGGGTCACCTAAGACTATCGGAAAACACATCTATAATGACATATTGTTTTTGTGATGAATCACTATGCTTTAATGATGTTCGATTTGGAACAATGAAACGGGGGGTCACCACAACATGAGGAACTGTATTCAAGGGTCGCGGCATTAGGAAGGTTGAGAACCGCTGGAATAAGGTATTGCATATGTGTCCATATCCCCCCATTGCCCTCCCACCCCACTCCCATACATACGAATCTCATTAATATCTGGACACCAGGAAAGGACAGACCTGAGAGAGCTGGACATTGAAAACTCACCGTACAGATGCATGTCTCCCCCCCCCACCCCCCCCCCCGAGGAGTTGACCTGCTACTTCCTTTAAGGCCTCACTCAGTGCATACTATGTGTGTTCCGCGGCCTGGGACGAGGGACGCCGGCCGCTGGGGGCACATACCTGCAGGAGGACACTCCCTCCTGCCTGTATAGCTTTTTCAATCGTCCTGATGTAATCGCTGTCCCGGATGGAGCGCTCCTGCAGCCGCGGCCCTTCCATCTGGCGGATCCAGTGATATGCTTGCTCGTGGGGGTCAATCAGCAGAGGCCAGGGCAGGCCGTTCTGGATCAGGATGGCGTTCTCCGTTGAATACTGACCAAGAGGCAGCCCCTGCTGATGCCACTGGCGGATCTGGAATGAGACCACGGATGCGTTCATTGTTTTGTGAACTTCTTCAACGTGGTTAATACCTACAGGACGTACCCGCCCGTTGGTCGCTTGTAGCCCGGATCCACCGGCGTGGTCCTGCTGGGCTGGTGTTCAAGTCGCCCTTATTTGACCTCATAACGGCCCCTAAGTGATGTCGGCCCTATCCGGTTTGGCTCAATGGATAGAGCGTCGGCCTGCGGACTAAAGGGTCACGGGTTGGATTCCGGTCAAGGGCACATGCCCGGGTTGCAGGTTCAATCCCCAGTAGGGGGCGTGCAGGAGGCAGCCGATCAATGATTCTCTCTTATCGTGGATGTTTCTATCTCTCACTCTCCCTCTCCCTTCCTCTCTGAAATCAATAAAAATATATTAAAAGAAAAAAAGAGTAGTGATGCTGGCAATTCAGATGTGCCAGAGAGAAGCCGTGATGGGCTTCCTTTCAGTGAAAAGATGTGTATATATAGAAAAAAACATGGAACAGACTGACAGCTGTCAGAGGGGAGGGGCGACTGGGTGAAAGAAGGTGAAAGGATTAGCCAAAGAACATATATGCACAGCCCATGGACACGGACAACAGTGTGCTGATGGCCAGAGGGAATTTGGGGGGGGGGGCTGGATAGAGGTGGGCAAAGGTGGGGGGATGGGGACATCTGTAATACAATACAGTGTCAACAATAAAAACAAAGTACAAAAAGAAAAGAAAAACACACCAGTATATATAGGGCCAGGTACCATCTGCAGTTCCAGGCATCCCCTGCTGACAGGGGGGACTACTGTACTTGGGATCGATATATCAATTTGGAAAAACTGATCTACGGACTTCAACTTCCCAATATTGAGTGTTCCAGTTCATGAACATGGTATAACTCTTCGTTTGTTCAGGTTTCTTAAAACTTATCTCCGTATTTTATACAAATTTTTTTTTTGGATAATTCATATTGATGCTATAGAAATGGCACCTAAAAACATGGCTATTTGTTGCTGGTGTAGAGAAACGCCATTGGTTTTTGCATACTGACTTTAATTCCAGAAACTTGGCTAAACGTTCGTTAATGCTCACGATATATCTACCTAGTCTCTTCAGTTTCCTAGGTACATAACACCTTCAAAATTTCCTACTTTTTTGTTTTTTTCCTTCCCAACTCCTCTAATAGCTTTAATTTCTTTTTCTTGCCTTATTGCACAGTCTAGGATCTCTAGTCTAGAGCTAAGTAGGTGCTTAGAGCTAACCCTTTGTCGCGTTTCCAATCTCAAAGGAAAAACTTTCACTGATGCTCATTTTTTTTTTTTTTTCAATCCTGGTTTCTTCTTTGACTTGTGATTAGTTTAGGAGTATATTTCCTAATTTTCAGAAATATCGGGTTTTTCAAAGAAACTTTACCGACTTCTAGCTAATTGTACTTTGATCAGACACCATAAGACTGAAATCCTCTGACGTTTGCTGAATTTTATTTGTGGTCCATTACAAGGCCAATTTTGGCAACGTTCTCTGTGTGCTTGCATAGAATGTGTAACCTGCAGGTGTGGGCTGCAGAGTCCTATTGTGCCCATTACCCATTTGTTAATCATGTTGGGCAAATCTTCTCTATTCCTACCGACTTTTGTGTGTCCTTTTCCTACGGGTTACAGAAAGAAGAGTCTTAAAATCGCTCACTACGATGGCAGGTTTGTCCATTTTTATATGAAGTTCTTTTAATGTTCGTTTTATATGAATTTGAGGTCATGTTATTAGGTACAAACAAATTTAGAATTGTTAACGCATTCTCAAAGACTTAAGCCAATGCTTATTGTGTTGTAACACATGGTTACACAATTCTAGCAATCCCTTTTTGGATTCAAGTTTATGCTCTCTTTCTAAAAACATAATCTATAGAAAATGGGGAGGAAATTTACCATAATCAATCTTTGTGTTTTAGATGTGTCTTCTCTAAGTAACATATGATTTCCGCTTTGTATTTTGGTTTACATTTTTATATAGTCTTATAAGCTTAGCCTTTTAATTGGACCATTTACATTTAATGTAATTATTGATTTATTTGGGTTTAAATTTGTTCTGAGTGTTACAAAAACAAATTGCTTCTGAGAATTTGTAGGTTGGATGGTCAGTTTAAGTTGAGTTGTCAGCAGGGGAACCAATTTAAAATTACTCTCTGGGATACCATTGTTGGAACTTACGTAGACAATAAATATCTATTGATAAATTAATAAATGTGAGGTCTATATTCTGGCTGTTTCTGAGAATACTACCCATGATTTAATAAGTTCACCAATTTATTAATGAAAGGATTTTCAGGGAAAGAAATTGGTTATATTCATTAGACAGTGTTGCCATGAGAAAAAATGTATTTTGTGACTTTTGCCCAAAGGATTGGGAAATAGTAGATGTAACTAATTGAGGAATTAAAACTATAACTTAAAAAAAAAAAATTAAGGCCTAGAACAGACTTCAGTACTTCCATTTATCAAAATGATTTGGGGGAAAGACCCAAGCCAAAAAAAATGCACGTGCAAAAATTCAAATCAACAAAAAGCCACTCAACTGGCTAATAGATATGGTAGTACCTGCTGTGTTTGTGCCATGACTTCGATTAAAGAAAAGCGAGAAGACAAAGAAATGTTGTTTTTAGTGCAAAGATTCTCCCACTCATTCACAATCAGCTCGCGGAATTCTGCTGTTAATACTCCGCTGTAGACAATGCACGCTGCTGAAATCAGGATGTCGCCCACAATCCCTTCCAACTTGCTGTCTATCTGATCGATTGTTTCTTGCCATCGAGTCTAAATGTTAAAATGAAAATGAGTTACTGGTCTTTACTATAAAATCTACTATTTCGAGACATTTTGGAAATTAAATGCCCCCCCCCCCCCCCAGTTGGATCAATCATTGCCATTCCTATTCCTCTTCTCCTGCTGTGGTTGTATAATACAATCAATCATGGCTAAAATAAAAACACGCATTTTTTTTTTTTTTTAAGGGAACACGAGTCCTATTTTTGGATTTGCCGATGGGATCATATTCGCTAAGATGGATAGGCGTTTCAAATCCTTTGTGTAATAAAGCAGGGCAATTAAAAAATAAATCATATTATGTTATTAATGGCGTTCAATAATAATAATGTCCAACATTTATTAACTCCTCACTTATCTGATAGACATTTTACTTTGAAAAAATCTCATTGGACTCTTTCAATATCCCGTTAAATAAAAGCCACTGACTTCATTTTAATAGAGGAGGGAGTTGAAGGTTAGAGAAGTTAGGCAGCTAGCTCAAGTTCACAAAGCTCTCGCTGGGTGGCTGGGGTCTGAACCCACGCTCCCTGGCTGTGCGGCCTCCTCCCTCGGCCTGTGCTTAACTGTCGGTAAATGAAGCGCGCTGGCCAAGACCCCAGCCTCCGGCAGCTGAACCTGGGCTAACGCTGATGTTCGGCCACCGCTCAACATACAGGCTCTCAAGGACATAGACGGAGGGGTGTGCTCTCCCTCTGCTGGGCCTAACTTCATAACCTCCTTCCGCCTGCCCTGTAGGAGCCTTCCCTCATAGGTCTCTACTTCAGGTTCTCAACCTGTGGGTCGCAACCCCTTGGGGGGTCGAACGACCCTTTCCCAGGGGTCGCCCAAGACCATCGGAAGACACATCTGTAATGGCATATTGTTTTTGTGATCAATCACGTTGCTTTCATGATGTTCCATTTGTAACAATGAAATTGGGGGGCACCACGACATGAGGAACTGTATGAAAGGGTCGCGGCATGAGGAAGGTTGAGCACCACTGCTCTGCTTAAACCAACTAAATTAAAATGATGTGGCCCTGACCGGTTTGGCTCAGTGGATAGAGCGTCGGCCTGTGGACTCAAGGGTCCCAGGTTCGATTCCGGTCAAGGGCATGTACCCTGGTTGCGGGCACATCCCCAGTAGGGGGTGTGCAGGAGGCAGCTGATAGATGTTTCTCTCTCATCGATGTTTCTAACTCTCTATCCCTCTCCCTTCCTCTCTGTAAAAAAAAAAAATCAATAAAATATATTAAACAAAATAAAATGATGTTGAGGGTTCTGTAACATCCTTTGAGAGAGCTGAGGTCTGACTAAACCTCCTCAGCTCATTAGGGATTCCAGGATAGACAAGGAAGATGAGTTAGAAGAGAAGTAATAAGATAAGGTGAAAAAGGTCAGAAGACAGAACAAAAGAAAACGTTCTTTTCCCTTCCTGGCGCTCCCACCGCCACCCCCTTTCGCCCCATCCCTTCTGACACATTCATCCCGGGTTGTTCCTGTGCTAGAAAAGAGAACCTGACACTCACAGAGTTTTACTGGGCATCGCACCAAGGTGTGCTGATGCCTCAGGGACCAGCGAAACAACTTCTGATCTTTGGGGTCCGTTACCCCTGTTTGAAGACAAGCATGAGAAATTAACGGAGGAGACAGAAGACCAACAAAAGTCACACCTTCTCATCTCCCAGGGCGGTGAGCAGCACAGACGCACAGTACATGCGCCTCATGGCGAGCTGTCTGCGACCTGCTAGTACGTCTTTCTCAGCAACGATATCTCTGTAGGCGGCACGCAAAACCTGCAAATGTTCTTCGACCTGAAAGACAATTAATTTATTATTGAGATTAATCTTATTTTGCCTCAAGAGTTTATTTCTATTTATAGAAATACTAGAGGCCAGGTGCACGAAATTCGTGCACGGGTAGGGTCCCTAGGCCTGGCTGGCGATCAAGGCTGATCAGGGCCTTCCAGCTGCTGGCCGGGGCCTTCCTTCATTCCGCGCTGCCCCCTGGTGGTCAGCACACGTCACAACGAGTGGTTGAACTCCCGGTCGATTGAACTCTCAAGGAGACAATTTGCATATTAGCCTTTTATTATATAGGATAGTGTGTAAACCACTTCATTTTCACATCCTGGGAAATCTTCCAGGAAAGATACATTATTTTACCAGTAAAAATGTACACTGCAATACTTAAATAAATAATCCTTTGATATTGAAGTTTTGTTTTTTCAAGTAGAATTTTATTGGTTTCAGAGAGGAAGAGGGAGGGGGAGAGAGATAGAAACATCAACGACGAGAGAGTATCATGGATCAGCTGTCTCCTGCATGAACCCCACTGGGGATCGAGCCTGCAACCCAGGCATCTGCCCTGACTGGGAATTGAACCATGACCTCCTGGTTCATAGGTTGACGCTCAACCACTGAGCCATGCCAGCAGGGCTGAAGTTTTTTTTTTTTTAAGTGCCATCTTCAATAAACTACATAGAAGAAAACACAGGTACTAAACTTATGGACCTGGGTCTTAGAGAAGATTTTATGAATTTGACCCCAAAGGCAAGGGAAATAAAGGCAAAAATAAATGAATGGGACTATATCAAACTGCAGAGCTTCTGTCCAGCAAAAGAAACTGCCAACAAAACGAAAAGGCAGCCAACCAAATGGGAGAAGATATTTGTAAACAGCAGCTCTGACAAGGGGTTAATATGCAAAATACACAAAGAACTCATACAACTCCACACCAAACAAACAATCCCATTCAAAAAGGGGCAGAGGAGCTGAGCAGACACTTCTCCCAAGGCATACACATGGCCAACAGATACAATATATATCAGAGAAATGCAAATCAAAACTACGACGAGATGCCATCTCACCCCGCAAACATGGCCATTATCGACAAGTCACGACAAGTGTTGGAGAGGTTTTGGAGCAAAAGGAACCCTTAGTCCCTGCTGGTGGGAATGTCACTGGTGCAGCCACTTTGGAGAACAGCATGAAGGTTCCTCAAAAAATTAAGAATAAGAGTTACCGTAGGACCCAACTGTCCCTCCTCTGAGATTCCACCGGAAACATCGGAAAACGTTATTGGCAAAGGTATCTACACCCCATGTTTATTGCAGCTCTATTCATGGTGGCCAAGACATGGAAGCAACCAAAGTGTCCTTTGATAGAGGACTGGATGAAGAAGATGGGGGTACCCAAACACCATGGGATGCTACTCAGCCTTAAGAAAAGATGAAATAGCGCCATTAGTGACAAGATGGATGGACCGCGAGACTATTCTGCTAAGTGAAGTAAGTCAGTCAGAAAAAGCGAAGAACCGTTTGATTTCACTCATATGTAGGATATAAAACTGAATCTCATAGACGCAGACAACAGAGGAAAGGGGTGGTAAAGGGTGGAGGGGGCCGAATATATGGTGACGGGAGACGATTTGACTTTGGGTGGTGGGCATACAATGCCATACACAGATCATGTTTCACTTGGAACCTGTATGATCGTACTGACCAGTGTTCACCCCAATAAAATTAAATTGTAAAAAGGGGGGTGAACAGGAGACCAAGTCACGCGGGCGTTCGAGTAGACCAGGGTAAGGGATGATGGTATTTTGGCCCAGTGGTCTCCCAACTTTTTATCACAGGTACCCCAAAATTATTAGAAAAACAATGTGTCCGCTCACCTATGTTTAAGGTAACATTTAGATTTTCCATCATCTATAATAATAAAAGTGTAAAATGATAATTAGACCGGACGATCTTCCGGACGAAGCTGGGGCTGCCCCGGTCCCAGATGCCTGTCGGCGGCCAGAGGAAAGCCCGGGTCCCGGGTGCCAGAGGGAAGCCGGTGCTGGCAGCCGGGGGGAAGGAAGGCCTACTCTTGCTTGAATTTTGTGCATCGGGCCTCTAGTTTCATCGTAATTAAGCCTTTACTACCTTCATGATCATCCCCATTTTATCTTCAACTTATGAAATCTACTGAGATGATGACTCTTTCCGGATGCTGTTGTCTAGTTCATAAAGGTGTCGACAGTTTAACGGGTAAAAAAAATGTCTTACCAGCTGCAAACCTCTTTGTTTCTCTGCCAACCTTTGTTGCGAAATTCTTAGAACGTTCTGGGCTTCGGTGACTTGGATCTCTTTCGGGCCCACCACCTTAAAAGGAACGTCACAGCTTTGAGTGTTAAGAAAGTCAAGTTCACTTTAAAAAAAATGCCACTTTTGTTTAAAAATATATTATTATTGATTTCAGAGAGGAAGGGAGATGGAGAGACAGATACATCAATGATGAGAGAGAATCACTGATCGGCTGCCTACGGCACGCCCCCCTACTGGGGACCAAGCCTGCAACCCAGGCAGGTGCCCTTGACCAGAATCGAACCCAGGGCCCTTCAGTCCGCTGGCCAATACTCTATCCACTGAGCCAAACCAGCCAGGGCTAAAATGCCACTTTTGTTTAAAAGACATTGATAAGTGTCAACCCTTAGGACGAACTTGCCGAGAATTACGTGTCCAGAAGGAATATAAAATAGTTTAATATGGCGAAATATAGTAAAACAAACACATGAAACAGCAGCATCGCTGCCATAAAGATCGGAATTGGACAGGAGGGCTTGACAGCTGTGCGCGCTGGCGTGTGTTTGATTACAGGGTGTGTCCTTGCGCATTTCTTTCCCGACAAGTTCACTTGCGTCTTGTTAAATGAACAGTATTCCTGGATACTTCGTCCGTGCGAAGTGTCGCTTCCCAGCTGCTTTGGACGTTTGGGAGGGAAAGGCGTACCTTCCGGACGTTGTGGTAGTTGTTCAGAGCTATGATCCACTCGCACATGGAGCAGCAGGCGACGGACACGTGGGCGATCTTTTTGGGGTGGAAGTCGGGTAAGGTTAAAAACTTCTTCAGCTTTATGAACACCTGCAGGGAGCGTAAGCGGGGTGTCCCGTGAGAAAGATCGCTTCTGGATGTGAAGTCCTCCCTCATCCGCCTTAGGGTGAAATCTTATCTCCCGGCAGAAATACCCGGCTGCTCCCGGGCAGAAGGAAAACCACATACCTAGCTAGCCCTGCCTGGTGGCCCAGTGGTTAGAGCGCCGGCCTTTGGACCGGAGGGTCTCGGGTTTGAGTCCTGGTCAGGGGCACAGACCTGGTTGCAGGTTTGGTCCCTGGCCCCGCGCAGGAGGCAACCAATCGATGTCTCTCTCTCACATCCATGTTCCTCCCCCCCCCCCTTTCTCTCTCCCCTTCCCCTCTCTCCCACCCTCTCTAAAAATCAATGGAAAAAATATCCTTGGGTGAGGATTAACAAACCCGCCCCCCCCCCCCCCCACGCCTCAGCACAAACGGGCTCTCGTACCAATGATTTTTCCAGAGGGGGAAGCCCCCAGTGCAGACATCTTGTCGCTGCTGTTATTGCTACAGGACCTTCGCTACAGTTTTTAAAAGAGGAGTTCCGTTTAAAAGTAAAAATAGAACACGTTAACTTTCTCCGGCTTCGCACAAGTTGGGGTGCGCGGAGGTCTGAGATCTCCTTCCTGTGGGCCTCAGGGGTGAGGGGCTGGGGACCCCAAGAGGGGAATGGGCTGGACACACCTGCTCAGAGGTCCCGCCGGCCAACGGGGGGGGGCGGGCATGGCCCGGGGCACCCTGGGGCTCATGAGGTCACCCTCTCGCTCAGCTGTGCCACACGCCTATAGACCAGTGGTCGGCAAACTGCGGCTCGCGAGCCACACGCGGCTCTTTGGCCCCTTGAGTGTGGCTCTTCCACAAAATACCACATGTGGGCGCGCACGGACGGTGCGATTGAAACTTTGTGGCCCATGCGCAGAAGTCGGTATTTTGTGGAAGAGCCGCCCGCACTCAAGGGGCCAAAGAGCCGCGTGTGGCTCGCGAGCCGCAGTTGGCCGACCACTGCTATAGACCCACTGCGTGGAAAGGGCACAGCCCAGGGTGGAGACAGCCCACAGTATTTCTCATCTACTTCTGGGGGCCGTGGTCAGGAAGAAATCTCAGATTCCTCCTCCCGCCCCCACCCCCCAAAGCCGGACAGAACCACTCCGCTGAGGGATGCAGGCAGCCTGCCCTCGGTTTATTATTGGGGCTCCTGTCTATCACAATAAAAGTGTAATATGCTAATTAGACCGGATGCCCTTCCAGACAACCTTCCGGACGTCCTTCTGGAGGCTTTAGAGAGGAATCTGCTTCTTGCCTCTTTTGGCTTCTGGTGGCCACACATGACCTGGATTGGGGCCACATCAGTGGCATCTGGCTCTCCTGTGCGTCCATCTACATACAGTGCCAGGGTCCAGGGCCTTGTAACTCGCTGCCTACCCTGCCCCCCCTTTCCTCTTCCTGCAAGTCTCACCTGTCCAGCAGGGCCCCACTCTATGCTGCCCTCACCCCACTGCTCACTCAGGGCTCTGGCCCTGCTATCATCCTTCTTGACATCCTACAGCAAAGCCACAGTCTTCTCTTTTGTTAACTATATTCCTATTGATTTATTAGAGAGGAAGGGAGAGGGAGAGAGGGATAGCAACATCAATGATGAGAGAGGATCACTGATCGGCTGCCTCCGGCACCCCCCAATACTGGGGATCGAGCCCACAACCCGGGCCTGTGCCCTGCCCGGGAATCGAACCCTGACCTCCTGACTCTTAGGCTGCCTCTCAACCACTGAGCCACACCAGCCGGGCAAGACTCTGAATTAGATCTGCTCCAGAAAAACTCTTCACTGGGTGTCCAGACGACCTTACTTTCTCCGATTTCTTTTCTGTGCTCCAATCTGCCCCCATCTCCTCCCACACACGTCCGCACTGGCAAGTGCTCAGAACAGTGCCGGCCGCGTGTTGTACATAATCCTTTGCCGCACCCATAACAATAGCTCTCAGGGACCAGCTTCAGGATGGTGGCGCGGGCAGACCCCCTCCTCCCCTCCTCCCACGGAGACACCAAATCCACAGCTCCCTGTGGAACAATGACCTCTGAATGGAACCCCCAAACGACCTGGGTGACGGCTATGATTTGGGCAAAAGAGAATCACTGATGTGCTGCCTCCTACACCCCTCTACCCCACTACCCCCCCTCACTGGGGATCGAGCCCGCAACCCATGCATGTGACCTCCTGGTTCATAGGTCAACGCTCAACCTGGGTGCGACACCAGCCGGGCCAGAATTCTGATTTTAACGCTTCTGTTTGACCCTCTTGGTTTGTAAATGCAAACGTGCCCCGGACGCAGTCATCGGCGAGCAGGCTTTTTACCTTATCGGGTAACCGGTCCTTGTCGAGCTGAACCAGCTTTTTCAGGAAGCCAGTCTCCGAGAGCAGTAGCTTGGCCGTAGCCCAGGTAGGTTTCTTCTGCAGGAGGATGCACACCGCGTTCATGACGGTCAGGACCAGGTTAGGGGGGCGCGTGTAGACTCTGCAACAGACGGCGAGACGCTCGTCAGCTTCACGAGGAAAATCACTCAGAAGACAACACATACAGATTCTTTTAACAAGCGCTTTCGATAGGGAGAACTAATGGCCGATACAATAGCTTTTTTTTCCATTATTTGGGTGTCTTTAAAAATGTGGGTGTCTTGCCCGGCTGGCGGTGGCTCAGTGGTTGAGAGGCAACCTATGACCTGCACGCCCCCTACTGGCCATCGAGCCCACAACCCGGGCAGCGCCCTTGACTGGAATCGAACCCGGGACCCTTCAGTCCGCAGGCTGACGCTCTATCCACTGGGCCAGACCAGCTAGGGTGCTGCTTGTATTTCTTAGGAATGTCTCTTTTGTTGCCTTTCGCACCTGGGAAGGGCACAAGTGGAAGTGCTTCCCATAGCGTCACCTGGTGGCAAGGGCCGGCAGTGCAGCACCGACGTGCAGGGCTGCACCCCCACAGATCCCACCGCTAACCTGGCGGAAGGAGCAGCACAGGGCCCTCTGGTTTGTGGAACCGCAGGTCAGGCACGCACACAGGCCCTGGGGCTTCTCTGCCCGGGGTCTCGGCAAGACAGCATCTCACCAACTCCAGGACGCACGTTTCTACGTCTCTGAGACCGCGGTTGGGTTTATAACCAAGGGCGCACCCCGGCAGCACACAATCCTGACGTGCCTTCCGGTCGATGGCATCGTAACACGGATTAGGCACGGTAGATATCACACGTAATAGAAAATTGAAAAAAAAAAACAAACCTCCAAGATAGGTAAAAAGGGCCATCTAAACATGAATGTGGACTTAGTGACTTTTGCCAGGTATTTATGGCTTTATTTGGAACTTTTTCAACTCAAAAGAAAGAGGTACATGACTCACCTCAACTCAGAGATATCGGCTTTATCCAGGGCATTGAGAGCCAAGGTGGCCTTTTCCAGAGCCGGCAGGACGCTTTTCAGTTCATTGGCCGTTGTCTGCAAGAAGGCAGAAGCCCCCAGGTACATATGAATGGGTATGCAGTTGTGTTATTATTTACTAGAGGCCTGGTGCATGAGATTCATGCACTGGGGGTGGGCGGCCCTCAGCCTGGCCTGCGCCCTCACCGCAGTCCGGGACCCCTCACTCCTGCATTGAGCGTCTGCCCCCTGGTGGCCAGTGCACGTCATAGCGACTGGTTGCTCCACCATTCGGTCAATTTGCATATTACGCTTTTATTATATAGGATTAGCTATTTTCCCTACAAACAAGTGTAAACCTATCTCAAATAGGACGACGCCTAGGCATAATTCCAGAAACTTCCAACTTTCCTGGCGTGTGGCATTCAGGCGCGGGGCCAGAGGGCGGGCTATAAGGGGAACGTGTGCTACAGCGCTCAGCTCCAGGCTGCGGAGGAGAAGCAGGGGTTACGATGCCTGGACGCAGAGTCGGGCTGTGGAGGATCCTTCCGTTCCACACTGGCTAGGCTGAATTTTCCCCTTTTTGATGGGCGTTGTGCAAAAAAGAGTTCTTTAAAATCCCTGGGGTTTTAGGTAATAATCAAGATGTCTTCAATGTCTCAATAATGTAAGTGAAAAATTACATTCCTTATATAGATATGTGAAAGGTTTTCTATCATTTTAACTGTTATTTACAAATAAGACAAAAATTTGAGGGATGTTAAAAGTGATTGTGTGTCAAAATGAAGAATGCATCCTATAATCACACTGGAAAAATTCAAGGTCCCGGCTGAGTTTGCAAGAAATATTGACATTAATTAAAATATGAAAATCAGAAAACACACCTATAATGAAGATATTGATGGAAAACAGGTTAATGAATGCAAAGAGAATTTAAGATTAATTGCTAGGCAAGAAGTCTTGAAATGCCATTGCTGCTTATAGCAAAGTTGACAGCAATACTGATAAAAATGTTCATGACATTATCAACAATAAGTGATGAAGCTGAAATAAACTTTTCTAAGAAAACTATCCATATGAAAAACGCGTTTTGATCGACTATACCAAAATTTCTATCAGAAATGAAATTACAAAATCATTTCCATATGAAAAAGCAGTCACAGGGTATGCAGTGGAAAAAATGCAGGAAAAAGGTATTGTGGGGGTGTTTAAGGCAGTGAATTATTGAACAATATTGTTATTTTTCTAGATTGTGTGATGTTTGTAAAAATGGTCAGCTTTTAAAATTTTGTAGATTATTCGGTTTCTTTACTTGTTCTAAATATTCACTTCCGTGTCTAACTGTGCACTAGTAATTTTGTATTCTTTTGAAAAATATGGCCTCAGCCCGGCTGGTGTGGCTCAGTTGGTGGAGCGTCTTCCCATGCACCAAGAGGTCATGGGTTCGATTCCCGGCTGGCTCAACCCCCGGTGGGGGGGGGGGGCGTGCAGGAGGCAGCAGATCGACGTTTCTCTCTCTCATCGATTTTTCTCTCTCCCTCCCCCTTCCTTTCTCTCTAAAAGGTCAATAAAAACATATTTTAACAAATCAAAAAAATGTGGCCTCAAAATTGTATAAGCTTCAGGTCCTACAAAACCTGGATTTGCCACTGAAGCCAGATTAGCCCTGTAGTATGGGGGAAACCCATGAACACGACCCCTTGATTCCTCTACATCGCTCTTCCTTTGGCCTAAGTAATTGAAAGACTGAAGTTAAGCTGCACACATTGATGTATGGGTCCACGTAGCCCCTTCACGGGGTGGGGCCTAGCAGAGGTTCCGGTACCGCCCTGGGACTCTCACGTGGCATTTTTAAAATATATATATATTTTATTGATTTTTTTACAGAGAGGAATAGAGAGTTAGAAACATCGATGAGAGAGAAACATCGATCAGCCGCCTCCTGCACACCTCCCACTGGGGATGTGCCCGCAACCAAGGTACGTGCCGTTGACCGGAATCGAACCTGGGACCCTTCAGTCCGCAGGCCGACGCTCTATCCATGAGCCAAACCGGTTAGGGCCTCTGCTCCCTATTTCACTCATCGCGTCCCACACGGAGTAACTACTCAGGAAACGTTTGTTGGGATAAATATTTCAAGTACCCAGAGTTGGGGCACTATATAACCGAGTGGCCAGATTATGATGACCACCCCATCAGTACGATGGAGTGAATTAGTTATGCAAATAATAATAATAAAACCTTGGGAGTATTTGCTTAGGAAGTTCTCAATATTCAGTATTTTTGGAAGAGTCAGTGAAGTACTGATGGGGCGGTCATCATAACGTGGCCACTCCGTGTATATTGAAGAGCAGTTAGCCGACCTTTAAATGGGGGCGTTCGGGAATAATTTTGCAAATCTCCAAGTGACCCCTGTTGGTTATTGTTTTCATTTTACCTGAGCGTGCTCTTCCACAATCCTGACTTCTTCTGCCATGATCTCTTCGTCCTGTTTAACGAGCATCTGGACTTTCTCAACTACCTGGGAGTCCTTCTGTAGTTTTTCCATTAAGTTTTCTTTTTCCTAATGAACCAAATAAATCTTCTTAGCATGAATTTTAAGAGATTTTTTGTTTTCAAAGAGAACTTCAAATAGCCCATTTCGTTACGGTAAAAAATGATCAACATCAGCTTGGGATATCTTTGTTTAATAGACTAACAAAGATGACTATGCTAAACATCATTTCATACAATGCACATAAGGAACAATGACACGTAACGACTTTAGAATACTGGGCAGCTTGGCCGTGACCACAGAACATTTCAGATGACGAATAACTAGGGAATTTTTCTAGCTGAGGTTTTTACCATTAGTTAGATACTGATCATCACGTTTCAATATGAAAATACTAGAGGCCCGGTGCATGGATTTGTGCACCAGTGGGGTCCCTCAGCCTGGCCTGCAGGGATCAGGCCAAAACCGGCTCTCTGACCTCCCCCTGAGGGCTCCCAGATTGCGAGAGGGCACAGGCCAGGCTGAGGGACCCCACCAGTGCACAGCCGTGGCCGGGGAGGGACCGCGGGAGGGCTCCAGGGCGTGTCTGGCCTGTCTCACCCAGTCCCAATTGGCCGGCTCCCAGCAACTCTACCAGTTGGAGAGTCTGCCCCCTGGTGGTCAGTGCGTGTCATAGCAACTGGTCGAACGGTCGAACCAACAGTCGGACACTTAGCATATTAGGCTTTTATTAACTAGGATAATGACGTTAATATTTTGCTATCACTGTTGTTACTGTTCCCCTCCCTTGACAGAGAAGGAAATTGGGACTAAGAGAGATTACACAGCTATGTGGTGTCCAAACCAGAAAGTGAGCTTTGCAACGCTGCTCTGTGCTAAACTGTAAGAGCTTGACGACAAGATTTCAAATGGAACTTACCTTTGTTTTCTGTTCTATCTGAGGGGTGACAATCAGGAGCTCCTCCTGCATGTCTGTGACCAGAGCCCTGGCCTCCAGGATCTTGGACAGGCCCATGTAGAAGCGATCCCTGAAGGAGGGAAAGGATGGGGAGGGGTCGTTTATGACAAAACATCAGCAAAGCAAGATACACCGTGGTCATGGCCGGAAGGCACCGCGGTGAAGACACCAGCTCTCCCCAAACCGATATGGAGGTTTAATGCGATTCCTATCAAACACCGCAGTCGGGGACGCAGTGAAGACACCAGCTCTCCCCAAACCGATATGGAGGTTTAATGCGATTCCTATCAAACACGGCAGTCGGGGACGCAGTGAAGACACCAGTTCTCCCCAAACCGATATGGAGGTTTAATGCGATTCCTATCAAACACGGCAGTCGGGGACGCACGGGCGGGTCATAGGTTTGTGTTTACAAATAAAAGCGCCGATGCAACGTCTAGTGGAACAGAAACAGAAAAAATAAACATGTTTTCTGATTTGGTCTCCAAGTCTCACCTCTTCGTTTGCAATTCTTTCTCGCGTGACCTCAAAATGTGTGCAAATGTGTCCATGAATCGCAGGTAGTTTCGGGGGGTCACGTAATATCGCCTCCCGGTTTTTTGGAAGAATTTTGTGCTCAAGTCTTTCACGCTTCGGTGGATTTGGACACACGTGGGGGCAAGTTTTTCCGTTAAGTTCTGAAAAATATATACACTTTTTAAGAATTAAGAGAAAGCAATTCAAATATACATAAAAAAAAAAAGAGGAGACTGAACTCTGTAACTTGAAATAGTTGATCATTTTTGAGATGTGGGGATGTAGATAAAGGCCCCGGATGGGTGGGACCACGAATATATGAGTTTTAATAGCTGGGATGGTGCGAGAGTGAACGAGGCAGAGCTATGGCCAATGATCAGTGGCACGCCAGACTCCATTCACTGGTCTGAGCCCGCGTTCCTGCTCTGGCCACCCACGGAGTCAGGGACCTGTGGCCCAGGGTCCATGTTTACGACGCTTTCTTCCGCTCTCATCTTCCTTCAGGTAGATCATCCCTAGCAGGACACTCAGTTCCCTTGAGTAAAACAAACCTGTAAGAACGTAGGGGTTCACAGGATATACAGATGCATAGGTGAGCGGAACAAGAATGGAAAGCGAGTCCCCACGGCTGAGCTCTGGAGGGAATTGTCACTTAGATGTAACAGAGTCGTAGCTGCCCATCTCCCGGCCGCCAAGTCTCGCCAACCAACCACCTGGCCACGTTAAAGCAGCGGTTCTCAACCTGGGGGTCGCGACCCCTTTGGGGGTCGAACGACCCTTTCCCAGGGGTCGCCTAAGACCATCGGAAAACACATATGTAATCACATACTGTTTTTGTGATGAATCACTGTGCTTTCATGATGTTCCATTTGTAACAATGACATTGGGGGTCACCACAGCATGAGGAATGGTATTAAAGGGCTGCGGCCTTAGGAAGGTTGAGAACCGCTGCGTTAAAGCCAGCTGCGTTTTCTTCCGGGTTCCACCCGTCCCTCGTGTCCTTGGCCTTTACCTGCCTCGAACACATGGACAGGTAAGGCCGCGGGCCCCTTTCGAGGTCTCGCCGAGCTTCAGGCTCTGTGCGTCCACAACTTCCTTTGTCTGTACCCCGTGGGATCTTCCGGGGAGCCACTCTCAAAAGATTCTCATTTACTTGTTGCTCATAGACTCGGAGCTGACTGTGTGTGTGTGTGTGTGTGTGTGTGTGTGTGTGTGTGTGTGTGGCTTGGGCTCTCATTGCTTTGGAGTTTGAGCAACACAGAGGCTGCAGCATCCTTAGCGGAGAGTCTGGTCAGCGAAACGCAAAATGCAGAAGAGAAGGAGTTCCCATTGGCTGGCTTTGCATGAACACCTGCTGTTCACCCCGAGGGCAGGAGAGTGAGGGGACCCAGGCGACGAGGAATCTGAGCATCTTTGAAATAAGGTGAATTTGGGGGCAAATGAGACAGGAAATGGACCGAGAGGCCAGACAAACACTTGACTTGTTTTCTAATTTTTCCGAGAGCTGCCCATTTCTGTCCGCCTGGGGTTCAGAGCTGTTCAGAAATATGATACTCTCAGATTCTGTTAATAAATGGAAAGCTTCCCTTGTATTAGTTTTTTGTTTTTGTTTTTAAAGAAGTTATATTTACCTCTCTGTTCTCTAAAGCCACATTTTTTCTCAAGAAAGAGTTGGCTACAACCAGGAGCGCCTCTTCCGGCCACCTCTCGTACCAGTCGATTGTGCAGGAGCTAATCATAGAGGCATACACGCGGCAGTTCTGGCGGAAGTTAGGTCCCGTGGGACTCACGATCATAAAAATATGCAAACTTTTACGTATTCTCTGAAACATAATGGAAATATAAGCTGTTAAAATGTAATCCATTGCTTTGAAAAAATATATCGCGGTGAACATGCCACTTAAAACTCGTGTCAATTCTTTCCTTAGTGAGTCGAGACTGACCCACTGTGCGCGGAGTGCCTGACCTGCTGTGCGGGGAGCGCCTGACCCACTGTGCGGGGAGCGCCTGACCCACTGTGCGCGGGGAGTGCCTGACCCACTGTGCGGGGAGTGCCTGACCCACTGTGCGGGGAGTGCCTGACCCACTGTGCGCGGGGAGTGCCTGACCCACTGTGCGGGGAGGGCCTGACCCACTGTGCGGGGAGGGCCTGACCCACTGTGCGAGGCGTGCCTGACCCACTGTGAGCGGCGTGCCTGACCCACTGTGCGGGGAGGGCCTGACCCACTGTGCGGGGCGTGCCTGACCCACTGTGCGCGGCGTGCCTGACCCACTGTGCGCGGCGTGCCTGACCCACTGTGCGGGGAGTGCCTGACCCACTGTGCGGGCGTGCCTGACCCACTGTGCGGGGAGTGCCTGACCCACTGTGTGTGGCGTGCCTGCCACGACCAGCGCCCTCACAAAGGAAATGGCAATTCCCATAGAGCTCCTCTGTGTGTTTTTTTTAAATGTTTTTATTGATTTCAGAGAGGAAGGGAGAGGGAGGGGGGGAGAGAGAGATAGAAACATCAATGATGAGAAAGAACCAGGGGGTCAGGGTTCAATTCCCGGTCAAGGGCACATGCCCTGGTTGTGGGCTTGATCCCCAGTGTGGGGCATGCAGGAGGCAGCCAATCCATGATTCTCTCTCATCACGGATATTTCTATTTTTCTCTCTCCCACTCCCTTCCTCTCTGAAATCAATAAAAACATATTTAAAACAAAAAACCCACAACTCAATCGAAGCAGCCATTCAGATGACGTTCTCTCCCAATGGTGGATGCTGCTCTTGGAATCTTTTACATCTTCTTCTTGTGACCGATCACAAAGCACCCGGTGAGGAATGGAGGGTTGCCCAGTTCAGTTTTCAAATGACTCCAAGAGAGCTAGAGACGGGCACCAGAAATAAGCTGACCTGTGTACAGGCTTCCCCAGCGGACACTTTGGGGTTTGGGCAGCCACGTCGACCTGTTCACCAAGCCACTGGTCAGTCACCGGCCATCGGTCAGAAAGCCTCGGTCGTCGGTCACACCTCGCTTCAAACTGGTCCTTTCACGGCCACCCGCCTGCCGAGTCCCTGCTGACCACCGCCCGCTTCTCCTGGCCAGCTTCCTGCCGTGCCCACGGCCTCCTGGCCAATGTTAGGCTTCTTTCAAAGAGAGGAACACATTCCTGTTTCTTGCCTGCCCACCCTTGTTGCCAACATGCCCGAGATGCAAGCCTCCTCGGCTGGGAAGGAATCTCAGCGTGAGAAATCACAGTGGGGCCCTGGCCAGTGTGCCCAATGGTCAGCGCGCCTGCCTGCGCGTCGGAGGGCTGCAGGTTCGAGTCCAGTGAAGGGATTGTACCTGGGTCGCAGGTTCACTCCCTGCCCTTGGTCAGTGCATGTGTGGGAGGCAACCAATCTCTCTCTCTCTCTCTTAAAAAAAAAAAAAAAAAAAAAGGGGGAACAAAAAGAAATCATCATGGGATCTCATTTGTCATGACCGCCAGCTGTTCTTTTTCCAGCCAATGACAGCGAGGCCCAGGCCTCAGAGCCCTGTGTGCCCGTGTGGAGGGCTGGCAGTCACGTCAGCTCTGAAAACTCCCTGAAAGAACTCAAGAAGGTCCCCCAAGTTGAACATCACACGCGGGAACGACGCACGCGGTCCGCGCCCACCTCCCACGGCGCTGGGAAAGCCGGCGCGCGCCGCGGTACCTTCTGGAAGAAGGACAGGACGGCCTGCCTGTTGTCCACGTAGCCGGTCTTTTCGGCCAGAGACCGGATCCGCAGGGCGAGCGAGTCCAGCTCCTCCTTTTCGAATATGTCAGGCACGTCCCCCAGACTGACGATGCTGTTCAGGTCCTCCAGGAAGGCCTCCTGCGGGGAACACATTTCACCCGCAAGTGGGGAAAGGATCCATGTATTCCACTCGGAACACACCAGGCGGTAGTGGGGGTTAAGGCAGTGGTTCTCAACCTCTGGCCCTTTAAATACAGTTCCTCAACCATAACATTATTTTCGTTGCTACTTCATCACTGTCATGTTGCTACTGTGATGAATCGTCATGTAAATATCTGAGAGGCAGGAGGGTCTTAGGCGACACCTGGGAAAGGGTCGTTCGACCGCCAAAGGGGTCGCGACCCACAGGTTGAGAACCGCTGGTTAAGGAGAACTGAGATTCATTAAGACAAAACTGATTTCTGTTCATTTGAACCCATCAAGAAATATTTCCCCCCCAAGTCTAATAAGCTTCACCCATCCACCCACTGCTTCAGGCATGAGAGAAGCAGCGGTGGGTCCTGGTAGCAATGCCAGCACCGGGCCCTGCGGGGTCGGGAGGGGGCAGGAGGGGGCAGGAGGGGCCAGGAGGGGCCAGGAGGGGGCAGCAGGGGCCAGGAGGGGGCAGCAGGGTTAGGAATGACAATGAACCGGGCAGGGACTTGGCCCGGCAGCTCCCAGCCCGCCTCCATTCATCGACGTTTGTGCTTGGACGCTGCACAAACAGGACTGGTCCTTTCACCCAGTTCATCTCCATAAGGGGCTCCAGACCCGGTGGAAAAGGTGAAAACAGTGTCTACCAGAGGAGCTATAAAAGGGTGAACGTTTTGGTATTTAGATTAAACCCAAGATTTCTTAAAAAAAAAAAAAAAGCATTCTTTGCCCCACTGGCTGCTCAGGACCCACCTCAGCCTCACAGGACGGTCCGTCCGCCCAGGGGAGGGCTCCAGGAGCGGCCACAGCGGGGCGGGCCAGCTGCTTCCATCTCCCCTGAGTCGCACTGAGAACCATGGCAGCTCACGAAATGCTAAGTGTTACCCATGGTCCAGAGGTGAGGTCAGCTTGTCCGCGGTCCTGCTGCCCGGGCACCCCCCTTGCTGGCCACACGGCCTGCGGGGACCTCAAACTGTCACCAGCCCCCAGGTCAGCGCATGCCCGAGACCAGCGGTTCTCAATCTGTGGGTCCCGACCCCTTTGATGGTCGAACGACCCTTTCTCAGGGGTCATTCTGCACATGGGCCACGAAGTTTCAATCGCACTGTCTGTGCGCGCCCGCACGTGGTATTTTGTGGAAGAGCCGCACTCAAGGGGCCAAAGAGCCGCATGTGGCTCGCGAGCCGCAGTTTGCCGACCACTGGCCTAAGACCATCCTGCATATCAGATATTTACATGACGATTCATCACAGTAGCAACATGACAGTGATGAAGTAGCCACGAAAAAAATGTTATGGTTGGGTCACAACAGGAGGAACTGTATTTAAAGGGCCTGAAGGTTGAGAATCACTGGGCTAGACGATGGCCTGCAGTCACTGCCCATGCCAGTCCCCCATGTGACTTCCCAGCAGCCCTTGTGTCAGCAGGCTCCCCAGCACCTGTAAGCCGATGTGTCCCTTAGATAAGACCCCCCGGGGCTCACCCACACCCCACTGCAGGTCACGTGGGCAGAGAGTGCATACAGACCATAGCGCTTTTTTTAAAAAAGAAACACAGATAACTTCATCTACAGAGATAAATTACTTCTAACTGCCAAACACCTGTGTTTGCTCAATTAAAATGAAAATTATAAAGATAAAAATGCTTTGGTTGTAATGCTTATGCACCATGATTACAGATGTACAAACTCTACGGCTATAACTGGATCAGAACAGAGAGTAGCAAAGAGCCTCGATGATGGGAGAATAATAGGCTTACGTATAATTATTTTCTTTTCAAATATTAAATGGAGGGGGGGACTATTTAAATATCAAACTTCAACAAGTAGTGAAGAGAAAAAGGACTTACCTGATCTAGGCTTAAATTAGCCAAGACCAGAGCAGTGGGGGTCCCTTCTAATCCTGCCTGGACAAACACCTTCTTACAGTCCTCTTTGAATTCCACGTAGGAATAGTTCTGAGACACAGTCACGTGGTAGAGTTTGTGGTCTGTCAAGTAGCAGGCCAAGATCGTACAAGTCTCCTTCCCGCATCCGTCTATGCCAACCTTTGGAAGAAAAAAAATAATCTAAACACATGATGCCTATGTGATGTCCTGGGAATCTTTCCCTGCATAGTTTTCTGTCTAGATGTGCTAGAAATTTAGACAATAAAAACGCCGTAGACTAGTTTTAAGACTTTTTGGGGAGAGATACTATTGACAAGCTGAATGTGGGGAGGGAGTGAAAGGTGTCAAGGATGAGGGGTTCCAGGTTTTGGGTTAGTGCAGTAGGTCTATGGTGGTGCCATTTATGGGGTGGGAAAGGCTAGGAAGGAATAGTTTTGATGGTGGAATGATCTGCTTTTGCATTTTTGGCTTAATTCTATTTTCTAACTTTTTTGTTTTTTTTTAATCCTCACCCGAGGATATTTTTTCCATTGGTTTTTAGGGAGAGTGGAGGAGAGAGGGAGAGACAGAGAGAAACATCGATGTGAGAGAAACACATCGATTGGTTGCCTCCTGCACCAGCCCCGTCCAGGCCCCCGGGCTCAGAGAGGAGCCTGCCACCAAGGTACGTGCCCTTGACCGGAATCAAACCCGGGACCCTTTGGTCCACAGGCTGACGCTCTATCCACTGAGCCAAACCGGCCAGGGCCATTTTCTAACTCTTAATTCCTTGTAATTAGTCTTGTACATGTCTGTTTAAATAATAGATTTAAAAAAGACAGTTCTAGTTTCTCTGAATGCCAACGAAAAGTCCTTCGCGGAAAAAAACGGTGTCATTTAAATAACTAAAATAGCTATAAAATAAATAGACATAAATAATAATAGTCATAAATCATGTGATTCGTATAACTGGCTAAATATGTTGGCTTTTCTTTAGCCTTCCGAATAAAATAATACCTCCATTCGAGTTATTGAGGGCTTTTCCAAGAAGGTCACTCCCCCTGGCTTTCATGAAAAGTAAAACTTTTCATTCAGAAGCGTGACTCATGCTTCCAAATCCAAATTCAAGTACGTGTGCTGTTTTGAAGCAAGATCCTCTTGCACGGGGAGTACGTTAGTGCCGAGGATATGCGAGACCCATCGCTTTTATTCAGGCCAAATCCTTTCTAAAAACCAAGAACACTTTGATGTGCTGAAGCATTTCTTACGCAAACCCTTAAGAGGACAAGGACCTTGTCCTATGACTCGACGACTCTGGCCTTTCCCACACGGACACCCTGGATAAGTACAACTTCGGTAAGCGAAGGAGACGTCTGAGGTTGCCTTCATTTTTCACTGACCAACTTAAAAAGGTCTGAGAACTTCCAGTTCTTACCAATAACATGTGAGTCCCCGACTGCCGAAGGATCCGCGCGGCCCTGGCAATGTGCTCTATGGCCTCCTTGAAGAACACCATGGAGTGAGGAATCTGGCAAAGAAATGGACACACAGCTGAGGGCAGGCACAGGGAAGAGATATGGGGTGTTGTTTTTCCCCCCAAGATTTTTGTTGTTGCTGTTAACCTTCACCCAAGTATATCTTCCCATTGATTTTGGGAGAGAGTAGAAGGGAGGGTGAGGGTAAGGGAAAGAGAGAGAGAGGGAGAGGGAGAGAGAGAGGGAGAGGGAGAAGGAGAGAGGGAGAGAGAGAGAGAGAGAGAGAGACAGAGAGAGAGAACACCGATGTGTTTGGTTGCTTCCTGCACGCACCCCGACTAGGGCCGGGGATGGGGCCTGCCACCGAGCTGCGTGCCCTTGACCGGAGTTGAACCCGGGACCCTTCAGCCTGTGGACTGATGCTCTACCCACTGAGACACACTGGCTAGGCCCGCTCTGGTATGGCCTATGCGGATACAGAAATGACAATGACTATTCCAGTCACCTAGGCCGGTGGTCGGCAAACTGCGGCTCGTGAGCCACATGTGGCTCTGTGGCCCCTGGAGTGTGGCTCTTCCACAAAATACCGGCTTCCGCGCATAAGCCACGAAGTTTCAATCACACTGTATGTGCGCCCGCACGTGGTATTTTGTGGAAGAGCCACACTCCAGGGGCCAAAGAGCCGCGTGTGGCTCGCGAGCCGCAGTTTGCCGACCACGGCCCTAGACCGAGTCAACTGGCTTCCCTGCATGGAAGATAAGTTTGCACGGTGAGGACTGGCCCTCTGCCAACAGCGTGGTTGGTGTGCAAGACTCGGGGAGGTCTCAGGCTCCAGGGGAGAGAAGAGAGAGGACAGCGGCACCCCGGCTGCGTCTCCATTGCTGGTCCCGGGGTAGGGGGATGGAGAGTCGTGGGAAACTGGTTTGAGGCGCCTGTGATGTTGCTGGAATTGCAGTGCGGGCACAGCTCTTCCCACGACAACGGGGAAACGGTAGACACCAGTCGCGTCCGTTTTGCTGCCCCTTGTTTTCCTCTGGGTCCTGGCCCCACGCTGCCTTCTGCATCTCTTAACTCACCAGCGCTGATCTGTCCACCCCCTGCAGCTCACAGCTGTGCACCTCGTAGTTAAGATTTTACCCTTCCAGCCGGACTGGCGTGGGGCTCAGTGGCTGAGCGTCGACCTACAAACCAGGAGGTCACGGTTCGATTCCGGTCAGGGCACAGGCCCGGGGTGCAGGCTCCATCCTCACTGGGGGGCGTGCAGGAGGCAGCCGATCCATGATTCTCTCTCATCATTGATGTTTCTCTCTCTCTCTTTCCCTTTCCCTCCCTCTCTGACATCAATAAACATATATTTTAAAAAACAAAATAAAATAAAAATAAAAAATAGAAGTTTACCCTTTTATCAAATGAGACCAAATTAGCTGAAACAATATAAAACTGTATTCCTAACGGTCTGCTTTAAAATATGAGGATAAACTTTTTCCCCCCCGAACACTCTCTCTTGTGCACACACACACACACACCTTAAAGATATTACATTTTATAGTCATACTAGAGGCCCGGTGCATGAAATTCCTGCAAGGGGCTCCGCCCCACAGCCCCGCCCCCTGGTCGTTCCGCTGTGCCGCCTAATTCGCATGTTAGCTCTTTGTTATACAGGATGTGTGTGTGCACATATGAACTCATACACACACGTGTATACCATTCCTACCACTTCTACCATTGTACGCCTTTACCTCTGAGGTTGAGCGGATCTTGGTCTGGAACTCGCTGAGCACCCTGGCCAGCTTATTGTAGTCGTTGGTGTTCTGGTACAGCTTTTTCCTAAGAGACTTGTTTATCCGCAGGAAATCCACAAAGACGGTGGAGTCGCTCATCATGGATTCTGTGGTCCACTGGATCTGTTGGGAGGTGATCGTTCGATAGCACCTGTTGCCGGCCCGCGGCTGCTCATCCAAATCAACGCCAAGCGCCCGCATCCCCAAAGCTCGACACGTCAGGCCAAGGCCCCAGGGGTTCTTCACCTATTCTGTGCCCTGGGCCCGTTTTGGCAGTGACACCCACAGGTTCCTCAGAATAATACTTTGAAACGCACACAGCAAGACACAGCGGCCACAAAGGAAACTAAACACGCTGGAGGGCAGTTTTATCGAAGGGCTCTTTGAGGATCCTCGGGTTCCACGTTTCAGAACCCCGGCTGTGGAAATGCCCTGTTTTTTGTTAATCCTCACCCGAGGATATTTTTCCATTGATTTTTAGAGGGGGGGGGGAGAGGGGGACAGGGAGAGAGAGAGGGAGAGGGGGAGAGAGAGAGAGAGAGAGAGAGAGAGAGAGAGAGAGAGAGAGAGAGAGAGAGAGAGAGAGACATCGATTGGTTGCCTCCAGGGTGGGGGGATCGAGCCTTTAATCAAGGTACGTAACCTTGACCAGAATTGAACCTGGGACCCTGCGGTCTGCAGACCGACACTCCATCCACCGAGCCAGAGCAACGAGGGTGGAAACACCATTCTGAGGTCTCACCAACAACCCGAAAGGACGATCTCCCCTTGCTAACGACCTCTACAGCCCTGCAAGCTCCCACACTGGCTTCCGGGGCCCACGGTGAACTCGTGCCTACCTTTCAGGCCAAGGTCATGGGCTCCCTTCTCTTTGAAGTCTGCTTCCCTCCCCCTAAAGCCGGGCAGAGAGGAGCTGAGTTTCCTTCCTGCCCCGGCACCGTGGCACCGTGACGTGTGCGGAGGCCTGTCGGGCACCAGGGGGCCCCACGGCGCCAGGCGGGTCTCAGCACCCACGGGGCTTGGTGTTTGCACTGGAAATTCCTAGCAGGTGCGTGCGAGACGTGTGTTTGGCAAGCGGCTGAAGGAAGGCTGAGGGGCAGCACGGCGTGATGGTGAAGAGCAGGGGTCCTCAAACTCTTTAAACAGGGGGCCAGTTCACTGTCCCTCAGCCCGTTGGAGGGCCGGACTATAGTTTAAAAACAAACAAACTATGAACAAATTCCTATGCACACTGCACATATCTTATTTTGAAGTAAAAAAACAAAACGGGAACAAATACAATTATTTGTATTTGCATGTGGCCCGCGGGCCGTAGTCTGAGGACCCCTGGTTAAGAGAGTACCTGGAGTCAGATATCCCGGGTTCGAACCATGAGGCTACCACTTAACTAGCTGTGTGACCTGGCTGTGTTCTTACCCGCACTCTGCCTCAGTGTCTCTACCTGTGAAAGGGGACAATAACAGGACCTATGCTACAGGGACGCTACGGAGATCAAAATGAGTAATAATATGTACAGTTTTCCCTAAAATATGTTTTTACTGATTTCAGAGAGGAAGGGAGAGGGAAGGAGAGAGAGAAACATCAATGATGGGAGAGAATCATCGACTGGCTGCCTCCTGCACTCCCGCTACTGGGGATCGAGCCTACAGCCCGGGCAGGTGCCCTTGACTGGAATCGAACCCGGGACCCCTCAGTCCGCAGGCCGGCGCTCTATCCACTGAGCCAAACCGCCTAGGGCTATGGGACGTTTTTTAAAGGCCCGGCACAGGGCGTTAGCTGTTCGAGCTATCGCGTGTAACAGACTGCCTAACATTTCTTTCATGAATGTCACGGACACGTCTGCCCGGGGCCCCGTGGAAAAGGGTGCGTGAGATGCGCGTTTACCTGGAAGTAGCTGTCCAGCTCCTTCGAGAGAAACTGGTAGAAGAGCCGCTTCTCCGCCTGCTCGACCAGGCGATCGTGGAACACCCGGGCGGCTTCGTGGACGAAGAACAGGGCAGCCATCTCCTTGGAGTCAACGATGGCCCTGTCAGCTTGCAGCAGCCCCAGGAGCAGCTGGCGGGGGTGGGAAAACAACACCCCGTTAGCCACCGGCTGGAAGGAGGTGGCCAAGCATGCTGCACGCCTCGCACGGGGGACCGGGCCCTCGGCCCGGGCACGTGCCCTTGACCGGAATCGAACCTGGGACCCTTCGGTCCGGAGGCCGACGCTCTATCCACTGAGCCACACCTTGCCATGTCTTTCCCTGCTGAGAACCGTAGCCAATATCCTAACAGCCTCGCGTTGTTTTATCCTTGCATTGTCGGCCGGGAATTATTTTAATGATTCTTTGTAACTGGTTCATGCATAAGCTGCTAATCCACAGCAAAATCAATCAATCTGAATTTCCCTTTTTGCCCCTTTTAACAATTTAATATTGAAAATATCAATGAGGGGGAGGGAAGGAGAGAGGGGAGAGAGGGAAGGGGTAGAGAGAGAGGGGAGAGAGTGAGAGTCAGAGAGTCAACTCAGTAAAATGACATTTCCCCCATCTCAAACATTAAGAGCAGTGGTTCTCAACCTTCCTCATGCCGCGACCCTTTCATACAGATCCTCAGGTTGTGGCGACCCCCAGTTTCATTGTGACAAATTGAACATCATGAAAGCATCGTGACTAATCACAAAAACAATAGGTAATTACAGATGTGTTTTCCGATGGTCTTAGGTGACCCCTGTGAAAGGGTCGTTCGACCCCCCAGAGGGGTCGCGACCCACAGGTTGAGAACCGCCGACGAAGAGTGAGCTAGAGAATGCATTTTAAGACAAACCTTGAATATATCCCGGAGATTAAACAGGTAGTGGCACTTCGTTGGCGTCGTCAGCATATTCTGACAGACTTGATAGTATATAGCGAGAGAACAAGATATTATGTGGTCCTTACTTTTCTGAACCTCAGGGGTGAAGTTATGGATGGAGAAATACATTCCCAAATGGACCTTTGAATGGGAAGAAATTGAATAACTCAATTATCACGAAAATCGTAAGCGCAGACTATTTCCAGCCAATTCCTGCGCTGCAGAAGGAGATGTGCGCGCTGCGACGGAGGGTGCATTTCATATGCATACAAGTTCCCTGGCTGATCTCTTCCCACCCCCACGCCACCCTGCCTTCCCTCTGAGATTCCACGGTGTGAAGCCATTTTTCTAATAAGATATTTCAGAATTTTCTCTCTCCTTACTTTTTGATCCTATGAGAAAATAGAAAGAATAACTCGACGCTAGCAAAAGGGGGCTGTGCTTGTTAACCCGGCTTCCCGAGCCCCAGCCCAGAGACAGTCAGAGTTTCTGACCACAAAGTCTTGGAATCTACACCGCAGACATCCATGAGCAAGCGCCAACGTGTTGCTTCCACACCCTGAGCCATGTCTTTGAAATGGAGAGGCGAACTGTAAGAGGCCGGAAGATGGAGGGGGAGAAATAAAACTTGTCCCCTTCGGAGAAGGTTCGTTCACATTAGGGATCTGAGGCTCTCAGAGCTCCCCTCGCAGCAGGAAATTTACTTTTTTTTCCCCCCAGCGGACACGAGGCAGGCGCGGTACCTGGAAAATAGTCCGCAGGGCGCTCTGTGGAGGATGAGGCAACACGAGGACGGAGAAGTGTTTGAGGAGGCGTGGGCTGATGTGCCCCCTTCCCACGGGAGGCATGCAAGCTGCCACGAGGGAGAGATCTTGAATGTTCTGTGGGAAGAGGGAAAGGGGAGGAGGCACGCAATGGGTCCGTGGACAGTGAAATGGGGTCCCATGTCCCTGAAACGAACCAGAGATTTAAAACGGTGAAGCCAAAAACGATCGAGGCGATTGTTTCCTGTCAAACAACAGGTGCGATGGTCACGGAAATCCATCTTCCTGGCAGTAGCCCATCCTAACATGTAAGATGTGACTTCCAGGAAGCTTTCTACACGTCCCCCGGAAATGGCCAATTTTTTTTAAAAAAGCAGCCGAGGGGAAATGAGCAGAATGCAATGGCGGCCGGCTGAGCGGATCCCGGGGAGGCGAGAATTCAGGGGGAGAGCCCGCTAAGTGTGTCTCCAGAAAAGCCAGGATGGGCCTGGGGGGAGAAGATGCCGGCTGTGTACATAGCAATAGCTATTTTTTTTTTAAAAGACATTTTATTGATTTTTTACAGAGAGTAAGGGAGAGGCATTGACAGTTAGAAACATCGATGAGAGAGAAACATTGATCAGTTGCATCCTGCACACCCCCTACTGGGGATGTGCCCGCAACCAAGGTACATGCCCTTGACCGGAATTGAACCTGGGACCCTTCAGTCCTCAGACCGATGCTCTATCCACTGAACAAACTGGTCAAGGCCCTTTTTAAAAAATATATATTTTTATTGATTTCAGAGAGGAAGGGAGAGGGAGAGAGAAACATCAATGAGAGAGAATCATTGATCGGCTGCCTCAAGCACACCCCGCACTCCCCGCACCGGGGATCAAGCCTGCAACCCAGGCATGTGCCCCTGACTGGAATCGAAACCTGGGACCCTTCAGTCCGCAGGCCAATGCTCTATCCACTGAGCCAAACAGGCTAGGGCTGATCTGTGTTCTTGAAAATAAAGATGAGAGTAGTCTGACATAGGGATTAGCTTTTCTCATATGCATTAACTGCTGATGAACTATTCACGTGCCTAACAACAGTGAGTGTTATCTGACTCGGAAACCGGACCTATGGGACATACTTGCGACTTTTACTAGGATCTGATCCTACCAAAAGGGGCATTTCTATGACCCCACGGCCCTGGCGCTAAATCGCAAAGATGTCACCGGCATGGCTAATTTTCTTGCTGTGCATGTCCATGTCACCAGATTTTCGAAATTGCTCACTGAATTCACTCAACATTATTATAAATACCTAATTTATTGTTAAGTAACAATGAAAGGAATTTTAGAGACAAAATAGGCAGGTTTAGGGGGCCTTAGAAATAAAGAAGGTCCATGGGAGAGGAATGCATAGGTGGGGGCTTGGAGACACAAAATGCTTATCTTACTTGTACAGAGGATAGAGAAAGGCCACAGGGTTGGGGGGTGAGGAGAAGGCATACTTCACAGAGAATAAAGAAAAGTCACAGGATATCGGGAAGAAGGAAACATTTTCACAGAGGATAGAGGAATGGTGCAAGCGAAGGAGAATGGGTGGTGGTGGTGGGGGGACCATGCGGGCTTTGGCCTTTGGAACTGATACTGTGTAGCAAAACGACCAAGGAGGAAAGCAGGGGGGCCCTAAATTGAGAAGGATCCAATTAGAAAGGGTCAGGGTCAAACAAAGAATTGCAGCATATATAAGCTGGAGACAATGGGACACGAGACAGATTTTTTTAGATTATAGATTTTCAAATTTTAGATTTTTGGATTAAATTTCTTTTCCCATTAGAGAGAGAGAGAGTGAGAGAGAGCAGGCTTTTCCCACTTGGGGTCCCCTCCCCAGGGGGGTCCCCTTTGGGGACTCCTCTGCCCAGATGGAGTTAGTATATGCTTCCACTAAACTTCTACATTCTTATTAAAGAAACCTGTTAGCCCACGAATTTATTCTTCATCTTCGTCAGCCAAGGACCCACGAGAAGCAGTCTGCACCCCGAGCCCCGCGTTTCAACAGTATTAAACGTGAACTTTACCTTCCACGCAATTTTTTCAGTATCAAAAACTCCTCCCAAGTCCAGTAGTTGCCTGATCAGTTCCAGGGGTGGCTGTGCTCCGTACTTATCTGCTTCCGGCATATTCAGGTCGTCAATGAATACTACAATCTGAAGGAAGGCACAGATTTAAAATGCATTAATTAGTATTCCTTTTCTTTAAAGTGTGAATTAGGGACACTAATTATGCGATGGCTTGAGAACAAAATCACCAGGAGTAATGACACGTCTTTTTCTACTAAAAAGCAGCCGACCAAATTCTATTCTGACATGGCTTTCAAAAACAATGCTTTCAAAAATAGCAGAAACTCCACTCCCTTCCTACAGACCTCCACAGACAGCAGCTAGAAATGCAGTTGACGCTGGATAAAGTCATCCATTTGTGGCTTTTACCAAGGAACACACGTGATTATTACTCACTTAGCATTCACTCATTGAGTTGGCGAGGCTGTGTCAGGTGTGCAGGTATTTATTTCCTACTAGAGGCCGAGTGCACAAGATTCATGCACTGGAGGGGGCGGGGGGGGGGACCCCTCAGCCCAGCCTGCGCCCTCTCGCAGTCCAGGAGCCCTTGGGGGATGTCCGACTGACAGCTTAAGGCCTGCTCCCTGGACATCCTTAGCACTGCTGTCTGCACCGCTGCACTCGCCAGTCGAGAGCCTGGCTCCTGCATTGAGCGTCTGCCCCCTGGTGGTCAGTGTGCATCCTAGTGACCAGTCATTCTGCAGTTCGGTCAATTTGCATATTCCCCTTTTATTATCTAAGAAGATGGGCCCTGGTTTGGGAATGACACTGTCACGTGGAACTAGACTTTTACAATTCTGCTGCAAATGCTGTTGCAGAGAATTCAGACGCATTTCCAGTTTTCAAGCACGTTATTTTTAATGTTAATAATGTGCCAGGTAGACAGGGGAAGGCTAAGGAATGCCCACACTATTTCTAGGAAGCAGGAGTTGTCCGAGTTATAACAAGGCTGCTCTTTCAACACTGTGGATGCCATCAGTTTCTCTTTTTCTTTCTTTTTTAAAAAATATATTTTTATTGATTTCAGAGAGGAAGGGAGAGGGGGAGGGAGAGAGAGAGAGATAGAAACAACAATGAGAATGAAATATTGATCGGCTGCCTCCTGCACACCTCCTACTGGGGATCATGCCAGCAACCCGGCACGTGCCCTTGAGCGGAATTGAAGCTGGGACCCTTTAATCTGCAGGCCAAATACCATTATATATACACTAGAGGCCCTGTGCACGAAATTCCCTCAGCCTGGCCTGCACCCTCTTGCAATCCAGGACACCTTGGGAGATATCAAGATTGGGCCTAAACTGGCAGTAGGACATCCCTCTCACAATCCAGGACTGCTGAGTCCTAACCACTCGTCTGCCTGCCTGCCTGATCACCCCTAACCACTCTGCCTTGGCCCCTGCAGCAGCGGCTTCGTCCGGAAGGACATCTGGGAGGTCGTTCGGCTGTCCGGTCTAATTAGCATATTATGCTTTTATTAGTATAGATTTTTTCAAATCAATTTCAGAGAGGAAGGGAGAGGGAGAGAGAGAGAGAAACATCCACGATGAGAGAGAATCATGGACCGGCTGCCTCCTGCACAGCCCCTACTGGGGATCGAGCCCGCAACCCGGACACGTGCCCTTGACCGCAATCAAACCCGGGACCCTTCCGTCCGCAGGCCGACGCGCTATCCACTGAGCCAAGCCGGCTAGGGCCCATCAGCACACAGGGGGGTGCTTTACCCTGTTGTTCCTTGGGGCCCCGAGAGTGTCCTTATTTATCCTCCTCAGCTTCTTCAGGAGCATCTCCTTGGCCTTGGCAGCGGTCATCTTGATGCCAAAATTGATGGTCGAGGTGATAACTCCTTTGTGATGATCTTTAAAGGAGCCGTCTTCCACTTTTCCCAGCTTCTTAGGAATCTTATCTACGGTGCCAAACACAGAACGGAAAGCAAATTTAGAACAGTTTTCAAAATACGCTTCTTAATCATAAGGCGTTAAAAAAAAATACAAAAATGGCAACCTTTTACGATTCTGTTGGCGGTTTAAAGAGACGGCTCTGCGGACAGATCAGCGAGAGAAGACATACCGCCTTGGGGGGTGTTTTCCAAACATTTCCTTACTTTTACGTGGGAAACTGTCTCTTTCCAACCACAGCCCGAGGTGAAGGTACGAACCCTCAGGGAACCCTCTCTTCGTTGGTGCACAACAGACACATGGAACTTTTAATGCCTTCAAACTGGTTAGATTTGCAATATACACTTCTACAAATGAAACTACACGTGCCAGAGCTGAAAGCAGCATTTGCTGTACCCACCAAATGCACCAGAATCAGAACTCGTTCTCTGAAGGGCTATGGAGATGGGGCTGTAGCAAAAGCAAAAGAAAAATAAAACCCCTGCCCGGCCGGTGTGGCTCAGTGGTTGAGTGTCAGCCTAGGAACCAGGAGGTCAGGGTTCGATCCCCGGTCAGGGCACAGGCCCGGGTTGCGGGTTCAGTCCCCAGTGTGGGGCGTGCGGGAGGTAAGCGACCACTGATTCTCTCTCGTCATTGATGTTTCTCTCTCTCTCCCTTCCTCTCTCTGAAATCAATAAAAGCATATTTTAAGAACAACCACAACAAATAAAACCCGAAGCCAAACGACTCCTGTGGCGGGATCGGTGGCCAGGCTCCCCCCTCCCCCTTTCCACAGGGAGTCTGGGCCACCCCACCCTCCCCTCTTCACAGGTGGCGTTGCTGCTGCCGGACGACACAGTCAGGATTTTCAGGACGAGGTTCCTGAGGCGCCAGGCGTGTTTCTGTCGGACAGTCTGATGGGAGAACTCCCGAACCATGACCGTCCTATGGCCGTGTCTATCCGGCACTCCCGAACAGAACAGCCAGGTGTTGCCTTGGTTCCTTCCAGACGGAGTCTGAGGTCCCACTGCTGAGCCAGAGCACCCATCCTCCTGGTAAACACACACCACACTCCCTGAAGAGAAGCACCCCGGCTCTTGAGCCGGACAGAACAGCTGGAGGGGGTAGGACAGCTGGGAGGGTAGTGCCGGAGTCCATTCATTGTCTTCACTAGCTGAGTTTAGACAGAGACCCCCCAAAAGCTAGTAACCTTTGAAGTTCTAGCAAAGGTCAGAACTGTGCACCACTCAGTTAATTTAGGTAATAATAGTTGAAGCATCCCCACCTTAGTTCACTTAATTCCTTAGATACTTATGTAGATCCTTGTTGATTATTGTTAATCAGATACTCCCGGAAATCTATTGATGAGCTAATCAGATACTTTGTCTACTCCTGGAAATTGTCTGCTGATCTGTGTGTCATTGAAACCTCCTTACCCTGAGGGCTACTCCAGATCAATAAAAGACTGGAGCGGCCTGAGCATCTGGGGAAGTCCTTCAGGACTTGCCCGCCTGGTCCCCCAATATTGCAAACTTATCTCGTGTCTTTTTCTCTCATTTGTTGTGCGGCTCCTCTTTCAGATACCGAACCCTACTCCACGCAGAACGTGGAGGGAGTCTTACTCGACAGGTAGGACAGCTGGGAGGGTAGGACAGCTGGGAGGGTAGGACAGCTGGGAGGGTAGGACAGCTGGGAGGTAGGACAGCTGGGAGGAGGTAGGACAGCTGGGAGGGTAGGACAGCTGGGAGGTAGGACAGCTGGGAGGGCAGGACAGCTGGGAGGTAGGACAGCTGGTAGGGTAGGACAGCTGGGAGGGTAGGACAGATGGGAGGGGGTAGGACAGCTGGGAGGGTAGGACAGCTGGGAGGGTAGGACAGCTGGGAGGAGGTAGGACAGCTGGGAGGGTAGGACAGCTGGGAGGGTAGGACAGCTGGGAGGGTAGGACAGCTGGGAGGTAGGACAGCTGGGAGGGCAGGACAGCTGGGAGGTAGGACAGCTGGGAGGGTAGGACAGCTGGGAGGGGGTAGGACAGCTGGGAGGGTAGGACAGCTGGGAGGGTAGGACAGCTGGGAGGGGGTAGGACACTTGGGAGGGTAGTGGACATCTTTGGGGACGTTTTATTTTAAACGATCATTTGAACTTTTCAATCTGAGATTTCCGACAGCACAGAACGACTGGAGTGTCACCGAGAGAGGAAGGGTGCGAAGCTCCTGTAAACACATACCTTGACTTCCAGCTGAGGTCCTTGGAGACTGGGAAAGCAAGGCGCTGATGTTCTGCCTCAGGCTGGCGGGAGAAGACACTGTAAGGACTCCAGATCAGCTCATTTACCTTAGCAGCCTAGTCTTGCACGAATTTTGTGCATCGGGCCTCTAGCTTTTATATATTTGATAAGAAGGAAATATATTTCTAGTGCAAACAAAACCAAGTATATGCAACACTGTATTTGTATATTTAGGTACGTTTTCCTAAGAAGGAAAATAGTTTATAGCTTCACTTGGTTAGGTCAAAGAGCTACAATTTTAAGTTTAGTTATACTAAAAACACATGTCAGAATTTCTCACTTAAAGGAATTAATTTAGTTAATACTATGGAAAAGTGAAGCTTTTCTTAACTCCTTTTTTTGAATATTTCTGCATTTTTACATAACACATTTGCTTTTTAAAACAAGGCATAGTTAGATATTAAAGCAAACTTTTTTTTTTACCAGACAAATCAAACGTGGAGTTTAATGAACATATTACCTTAACTTTTTAATTTCGTTATATAAAAGGACTTCTCCTAAAATTGACCCATATTTCACATCGAATCCTCCTGAGCCCTCCAACTTTGCCAGCATCTGTTTAATGGCACTGGTTTTCCCAATACCAAAATCTCCTAACGGGGGGAAAAAAGAAAAGAAAAGGATACATTAGGTTAGATTTACATGCAAGAAAACGAACAGATGCTAACATATTAAAATAAACTAATGACATTTCCTTTGATTTGAAAATTGCATAAAAAGTATGTTTTTGCTCTTCCCTTTAAAAAATAAAATTATGGTGGAGGATGGATAAACCAAGCAGTTCCTACGAAAACCTCTCCAAGAACATCTTTAATTTATATCTCTTGTGAAAGAATGTATCAGGAATTAACCATTATTTTTTCTAGAATATGCATTTGCACTTGTCACAAATATTTTTGCACGACTACTACAGGCAATTAATTTCCCTGAATCTTTTTAACAACACAACCTGGGGGGGGAACTGGAATAACCCCCTCCTTGCAGCAGCCTGATAAGCCACGGCTGTAGTACAATTCACCAAAGAGTAAAACCATTTCCTTAATCCACCCTGGAGGCCACGGACGGTTATCTGAGCTTCCACACCCCTGTTGCCGGAGTCCTTTGAGGACAGAACTGGGAAGGTGATTTTGTTGCCTCTGGTGAAAGACAACAGAAGTTGGGAGAGTTGGAAAAGGTGGCTGAATGGGTGGAAGTAAATATTAAACCAGAGCAGGAGCTGCACTGAGTCAGTCCTTTGGAATCTGAGCGCTGGCTTGAGGAAGTATGTGTGCAATGTTTTTGGAAATCGGGCAATTTGTTTTTCATGTTTCTTTGCGTGCAGGTACGCGTGCAGATTTAATGGAACCAGCCAACCTTACTACCGTCAGTGGCCCTCGAAGGGCCTCAGCCCACAGTTCTCCTGGGACTTGTCAGGAAGGCGATGGGATGGTGAGAGAGACTTAGGATGCCCTGGACTGGCATACACGGGGAGGTGTGATTCGGATACTGTAGGTGGGGATAGCTAAAGCTTCTTAGGGCGTCCCCCCACCCCCGACTTATAAAGCAGGTGGACAGTAATCGCTAAGCCTCTCCCTGACTCTGAACTGCTGCTGCGGCTGCTATTTCTTCACACCTGTGAGAAGGACAGGGCAGAAGCTCTTCAGAAGGAGGCTGATGAGGAAGGAAAGGCAGGTGGTGTCCCGGGTGGCGGTGTGGTTCACGGTCTCCCCGTATTCCGTGATCTTCAGGATGCTTTCCCCGGCGCCTTGCGGATCCACTAGGATTGAGGTTCCTAAGGTAACATTTAAAAAGAAAGTTTCAGATCATCTATAATAATAAAAGGGCAATATGCTAATGAGACCGGACGTCTTCTGGACATCCTTCCTGACGAAGCCAGCCCGAGGGAAGCCAGCCCAGGTCCCCGGTGCCTGCTGGCGGCTGGAGGAGGGAAGTAGCCCGGGTCCCAGAGGGAAGCCGGTGCCGGCAGCTGGGCGAAGGAAGGCCTACTCTTGCACGGATTTTCATGCATCGGGCCTCTAGTCTGTCAATAAATGTTAACTTCATCTTTTAGGGGCTAAATACTTCCTGGAAAAGTGGGTACGTTATAGAGCCATTGAAACATACACACGTGAGACAGAGCTGTTGCAAGGCCTGAGGGTCCCTGCTGATCTCAGAGGTCGTCCCTTTCATTCGGACTCTGTGCGGGTGACTCCCCGCACGCCTGCTGAGCCCACCAGGTGCAGACAGACCCTCCTGCCACCCCGCCTACTAATCTGCTCTCCCCTGCGAGGCAAGCGTCCCCTCCTCCTTCCCTCCAGGGAATCGAAGAGAGAGGCTCTCCTGCCGAAGGCTCCTGCCATCCTTTCTAAAGGTACTTCAGTGAAGGCCTGGGGTGAGGGGGTGACAAACAGGACATCTGTAATACTTTCAACAATAAAGATAATTGAAGAACAGGCAAGCAAAAAACCAACAACAGAAAAAGAACTTCACTTCTTTGATAACTAGAGGCCCGATGCACGAAATTCGTGCAAGAATAGGCCTTCCTTCCCCGGGCTGTCGGCACTGGCTTCCCTCTGGCACCCGGGACCCGGGCTTCCCTTGCAGCCCCAGCTTCGTCCGGAAGGTCATCCGGAAGGACGTCTGGTCTAATTAGCATAATACGCTTTTATTATTATAGATCCTTCTCCCCGCCACCATCTGCTTTTCATTGAATTGGAATTTTCCATTGGACAAACACACGTGCTAGTATCTCCAATCTTTTTATTGGTTGAGCCATGTGAAATTAACATTTTGGTTCGTAAAAACCAGGTGAATATAGGCAATTTTATATGCATTAAAACAGCCCCCCCAAAAAACCTAAACCAAATCTTCCTTATCCCCACGGCTCCCTAATTCCACCGCAATTCTTCCCTCCATTACACAGCCAAAACTCTCAAAAGGGATAAATACAACAGAGCCTCACTTCATCTTTTATTCACTCTTTTTCAAATTAAAAACTGAATAGCTAAAACGTTTACCTGGTACACAGTTCAACAGTATGGGAAGGTATGCACTGCACGGTTATATATCCTAGTCATCCCTGTATCCTAGTCACCTATTTCCCACACTCTAGAAAAGACCAAAGCTTTCCCATTGGAGTGGTACCCTAAAATACCGCGTTACGTGCTTCGATACCCAGTTATGTTTTTTCTATGCAGTCGTAAAAACTAAGATCAAAATGACTCAATGTTAGCACTAACATGTGATGAACAATCCACAGATTTTATTTTTTAAAATATATTTTATTGATTTTTTTTTACAGAGAAGGAGAGGGATAGAGAGTTAGAAACATGGATGAGAGAGAAACATCGATCAGCTGCCTCTGGCACACCCCCAACTGGGGATGTGCCCGAAACCAAGGTACATGCCCTTGACTGGAATTGAACCTGGGACCCTTCAGTCCGCAGGCTGACGCTCTATCCATTGAGCCAAACCGGTTAGGGCAATTCATAGGTGTTAAATAAATATGATCAACCACTAATACTTACTGGGACAAATATTGTATAATAGAACGCTGCTATTTCCAACCGAAATGAATTTGGAGTTAGAACTTTCTGGATGATTTATGACTTGATAGCTCTGGCTGTTTTCTCTCAAAATTCTTATAACCACACTATGAAATTCTTTGATGAGTGAAACCTAATCTCAAGGCAAATTGATGCAATCTGCATACTGAATTCCTTGTATTTGCATAATGAAGTCCTTGTATTTGCATAATGAATTCCTTGTATTTGCATATTGAATTCCTTGTATTTTCAAGAAATCGACATGAAGCTTCATCATTAAATTCCTGCCTCGCCGAAACCGGTTTGGCTCAGTGGATAGAGCGTCGGCCTGCGGACTGAAAGGTCCCAGGTTCGATTCCGGTCAAGGGCATGTGCCTGAGTTGTGGGCATGTCCCCAGTAGGAGATGTGCAGGAGGCAGCTGATCGATGTTTCTCTCTCATCGATGTTTCTAGCTCTCTATCTCTCTCCCTTCCTCTCTGTAAAAAATCAATAAAATATATTTAAAAAAAAAAAAATTCCTGCCTCAACCTTCAACCAAGCTCTTAAAATACCACAGCTTTTTATGTATTTTTTTCCCCCTTATGTTTGGAGAAGGTTGAGAACAAAAACAATATAGCATATATGGATATCTGTCACACTATGATTATTCTGTTCTAATTTAAAGTTTCCTTTACAATCAGTTGCAGTATGTACATATGTTTTTCCTGTTTTCTCTTTTCAATAATCCCAGCTACGTAAAATATTTCCACTAGTAAGACTTTCCATGAGCTAGTTTTACAATGTACAACCACCTTAAGCAAATACATTCCAACTTTCTCCGAAACCAATAGTCAAAGATTTTTTTTTAAAAAATATATTCTATTGATTTTTTTAGAGAGGAAGGGAGAGGGATAGAGAGTTAGAAACACTGATGAGAGAGAAACATCGATCAGCTGCCTCCTGCACACCCCCTACTGGGGAGGTGCCTGCAACCAAGGTACATGCCCTTGACTGGGATCGAACCTGGGACCCTTCAGTCCACAGGCTGATGCTCTATCCACTGAGCCAAACCAGTTAGGGCCAAAGATGTTTTTTAATAAAAGGCATGTTTTGTAAACATAGAGGGTGGAGCAAATGTAGGTGTACAACTGTGAGTACACGAAACACAATTTATTCTTGTATTATTTATTAATTATTGGTTCCTGCACAAACTTGGAATCCATCAGGCCTCCAAGTTGCTGACATAACTACAGTACTTTTATATATGAAGTATCCCTGATATTTTAGAGAAATCAGAGCACAGCCCCAGGAATGACTTACCTCTTTGAATTAGAGTCTGGACGTTGGGAAGCAGTTCTGACCAGCGGATGAACTCGCACTGCTGCAGATCCACAAAATACCCAAAGACAGACGGCTCGCCAGTTGGGAGGGTTATGCCTGCGTTTGAAAATAATAAGTGAAAAAATATGAATAAATCCAAGTAACAACGAGGTTCGCTTATATGGAATGTTTCGGGCATGACCTGATCTCTATTTGAAAGATTTGGCTGTTGAGCCAGAAATAAGAAATATTCACCCAGGGTATAGAGCCAAATAGGTGGAATAAGCCTATTTTTTTCTTCTAATCTTTAATTATATAAAAACAAAGTTTTGTTGACTTTTGGTCTCTTTTTTTTTTTTGTATCCGGAAAACAAGGGGAATCATGATCTGATATCCTTTGAAATCTTGCCCGTAAGTTTTGCTTATTACTAGAGCTGGGTATTATCAAATGCCAGTAATGCGCTGGTTACACATGAGAAAATTCTGAGACTCATTTGCAAATGACATTGACTTCACTATTACAAAAGTCACTAATTCTGTTAATAGATTCTGGAAAATACAGAACAAACAAAGCAAACGAATTTAGCCATAGTCTCCCCATACAAAGATAACAGTGTTGGCATTTGATATATTCCTCTGAATCATTTATCAAATTTTTTAAAATGTATTTTTTTTACTGATTTCAGATCCTTTGCTACACATCAGACAAACCAGTAGGATTTGTGCATTTGGTAATGTTTCTAGCTCTCCCTTTACTTAGCAAATATATTCATGTTCAATATTTTGTCTCTTTTTTGATACCTTATCTGTTCCAAGTCCCTTTAACCAGTAACAGCTAATTGGGGAGGTTTACTGTTTCTAACTACGAGGGTAGGTTCCACTTACCAGAACTGCTTCAAAAAATACAAATACTAAAGAAATCTAAGATTTTAAAAATCATTCCAAAAATATTATTAGAAAATCTGAGCAAGCAGTTTTCCAAAAAGAAACATGAAACGATAATAATCTTCTTCTACTGAAGTTCCTACTACATGGTGATGCGTACAAATAGATCCGGCCATTCAGCTGATGGGCTCCCCCGGCTAAGCTCAGGTTCAAGGCTTTATCTTTTTTTTAAAAAATATATATATTTTTTATTGACTTCAGAGAGGAAGGGAAAGGAAGAGATAGAAACATCAGTGATGAGAGAGAATCATTGATCGGTTGCCTCGTGCACACCCCCTTACTGGGGATCGAGCCCTCAACCCGGGCATGTGCCCTTGACTGGAACCAAACCCGGGACCCTTCAGTCCACAGGCTGATGCTCTATCCACTGAAACAAACCAGCCAGGGCTCAAGGCTTTATCTTTATCTTTGTTCTGCCTTACATTGAGTTATAGCTTCTTTTTTTTTTTTTTAATATATTTTATTGATTTTTTTACAGAGAGGAAGGGAGAGAGATAGTTAGAAACATCAATGAGAGAGAAGCATCGATCAGCTGCCTCCTGCACATCTCCTACTGGGAATGTGCCTGCAACCAAGGTACATGCCCTTGACCGGAATCGAACCTGGGAGCCTTCAGTCCGCAGGCCGACGCTCTATCCACTGAGCCAAACCGGTTAGGTCGAGTTATAGCTTCTTGTAGCAACAAGAATCAACCAGGAATCTAGTTTCTCCAGGCTCTTTCGCTGGAGAAAGGGTGTTGGAATGCACTTATTGACCCTCGTTTACCTGTAAGGTCCACACTTTAAAAGGTGGGCCCAGTCCTAAAGGATTTCAAATGTTTCTTCTAAAGCAGCGGTTCTCAACCTTCCTAAGGCCGCGACCCTTTCATACAGTTAGTTCCTCATGTTGTGGTGACCCCCAATTCCACTGTTACAAATTAATCATGAAAGCACAGTGACTAATCACAAAAACAATATGTCATTATAGATGTGTTTCCCGATGGTCTTAGGCGACCCCTGTGAAAGGGTCGTTCGGCCCCCAAAGGGGTCGCGACCCACAGGTTGAGAACCGCTGGAAAGGAAGCAGAACTTTGACGTTGCCTTCCCAGAACTCACCTACTTCTGGGCTTTCAAACAATTCGTGAACAAGATGGTCAAAGTCATAGGTTACTTTCGCAAGAGAAGCAGGTTCAAAACCTGAATACATTAGCTCATCGTCTTCATGTTCGTCTTCACGTTTCAAAGTTCCTCCGAATGCCCAAGTGAACGCAAACACGAAGAGCTTCTGAAGCACTGTCGTTAGCTTGTCGGGGTATTTCTCCAGATACCACAGACTCTCGGCCCTGGAGAAGGTCAATGCGGAGGGCGGCGGTTAACCCATGTAGGGGGCACGCAGTCACTTATTTCAAAAATCACAGCCAGGTTTCATCATTAAAAATTTCCATAGTTAAGTGTGGACCTATAGATTTTGTTCGGTATTTCTTTAGGTCATCAGCTCTCGAGATAAAAATCAAAGTTAGTGTGTAATTTTCCTTTGGGAAGCCATGTAAATTATACACGGCTACTGTTCCTCCTCTCAAAGCACCATGTGTGTAAGAGGGTTGTAGTCAGCTTTCACTTAATTAGTAGACACGATTCACTTTTATTTTAAGTCGGTGTATGAACTGAGAGTTTACTTGTGTCTGGAAGAGGATCTGGTAATTCTTCATTTTAGTGAGTGATAAATGACTAGACCAGCGGTTCTCAACCTGTGGGTCACGACCCCTTTGGGGGTTGAACGACCCTTTCACAGGGGTCGCCTAAGGCCATCGGAAAACACATCTATAATGACATATTGTTTTTGTGATTAACCACTTTGCTTTAATGATGTTCAATTTGTAACAATGACATTGGGGGTCACCACAACATGAGGAACTGTATTCAAGGGTCGTGGCATTAGGAAGGTTGAGAACCACTGGACTAGACACTCACTATTACCCAAGTCCCAGGGTTGACTGAGTTCAACCTGGCTGAAGCCAGGTGCTGCGAGTCCGGGACAGTCTCCTCCCAGTTGGGTCAACCCAGGTCACCCTGGTCTCTGGGACCCTGAACTTCCTTCGTGAAAGGGCTGAGGGGGATGGGATGGGATGAAAGGTTTGGGCCTGACCTGAAGACATTTAAAACAGTTCGGGATTTAGCATTACCGTACAATTATTTCTAAATTGTAAAAATCCTGAAAATATTATCACTGAACTGAAATTGACTGGCAATCATCCATAGACAATGCGTGCATACAAATCTATTAGAAATCTCTCAAAATTCAGAGAGAAGGTAGGGGAGGGTAGGGGTGAGGGGGAGAGATCAACCAAAGGACTTGTATGCATGCATATAAGCATAAGCGATGGATGTGGACAACAGGGGGGCGAGGGCAGGATTGGGGGGATGAGGGGACATTGGGGGGATAAGGACACATTTGTAATATCTTAATCAATAAAGGGAAAAAAAGAAATTTCTAGTCATATGTCATTGTTTACTCAGCAACTATTTCTTGAATTCTAACTATTTGTACGTTACTCTACACAAAGCAAACAGGACCCCTGGTTTCCAAGACAAGAAAATGAACAATAAACCCCGTTCAGGGTAAAGAGTGAGCAGTCAAGCGTACCGTTAGAGAACATTAGCAGAGACAACGAATTTAGATTGTGGGGATCAGGGACGGCCTCCCTGAAGAAGCTACCGTTATACTGAGACCAGGAGAATGAGTGAGATTTGGCAAAATGTAGGGGGGCAAAGCATTTGAGCAGGAGGAATATAGGTGCCCAGACTATGAGGTCAAAGTCATGGCTAATTCGAGGAAAAAAAATGAAAGGAAGACCAGGGTCCCTGAAGTACATATATAGTTAGTGGACGAGATTAGGAGAGGAGGCTGGGGAGGGGGGAAGGGGCGTTTAAAGCTGTACCAAGGCATTTCCCCTTCATTTTGAGTGTAAAGGGAAGTCATTGAGTCATTATAAAAAGGAACATTCTCATTTATGTTTTTTAAAAAAATCAAACACTTGCATATAAATATCAGGAGGCACGTACAAGCATATTAGTCACAGTAGTATATGTAATAACAAAAATTGAAAACAATGGATAAACTGTGACATATTTGTGCGATGGACTATAGTCAGTAGTGAAAATAGAGTAGTCATAGGGACATAACATTGAACAAAAATGCAGGACACAGCCCTGCCGGTGTGGCTCAGTGGTTGAGCATCGACCTAGGAACCAGGAGGTCACAGTTCGATTCTTGGTCAGGGCACATGCCTGGGTTGCAGGCTCAGTCCCCAGTGTGGGGCGTGCAGAAGGCAGCCAATCAATGATTCTCTCTCATCACTGATGTTTCTCTCCCTCTCTCTCTCTCTCTCTCTCTCTCTCTCTCTCCCCCTTCCTCTCTGAAATCGATAATAAAAATATATTTTAAAAAATGCAGGACACAGAAGAACCTAGAAAGTGATCCCGTTAAGGTTTCAAAAAAACCGCCAAGTTAAAAAATATATTGTTAGGGAATACATTAGAACACAAAATCCAGAACAGCAGTTATCTCACATGACGGGGTACCATAAAATCTGGGCACACAGGGGACTTCACAGATAAATTAATATGTGTTTTTCTGTTAACAAAATGGTGTGCATGTGGGTATCTGTGCACGCTACTTCTATCGTACATTTTATAAATGTTCCTTTATGGCTACTTGCTCTTTATTACAAATTAAAGATGATATATGGTTGTCATGTGAAGAATAGACTGGAATAATTGGGGAAACGAATTCATCATCATCTATGACAACAGTCCAGGCGAGAAATAATGAAGGTCTGGGCTAGAATGCTGGTAAGCAAGATGTACACGAATGAATGTGAAGGCAGAGGTGACAGGGAGAGTAAAAACCATATGAAGGCTGTTCTATCATTTAAAAGCAAATGCGACATGAATGTCTCAGGGATTCCCAGTGAGATGCAGGAAGGCCTCGAGAGAGACTTTCCTGTCCTTCCAATGGCAGAAGAACTGTAGTTCATCATTTCGACAGTTGTGATTTACTGAGCACTTACTATGCGCCAGGAACTAGTCCACGCATCTAGCACATCGCATTATTCCAGTTTTTTAAAACGGGAATATACAGGCTCAAAAACATGTAGCAACTGGTTCAATATTTCTCACCCCATAAAGGGCAGATTCATCAATTATGTGCATGTCAAGTTTATTTTTTCCTCAAATATTGTACAGAGCTTGGGCAAATGTATTCATACCATCCACATACCTTCACATAAAAATCTGGTGACCTTGTATTAGATATACAAGATGCCATCTAAGCTGGAAAAAATTTAAGTGCATTTTGATGTTATGATGTCATGGAAGTATTGGTTTATTGACAAGTGATTTTGTGCCTATTCGTGTGTTTGGCAAGTAGTATGTACTAAAACACGTCTGTTGAATGCATGCAACTGACCTCTTTTCCACTTTCTTGAGTTTGACAGGAACTTTTAAATGCAGAGAACTTCTCTCAGTTGCAATGTTCTTCGAGTCTTCACCTTAAAAAGGAAAGAGTATTTTCCCACAGTTATCAAGAGACTTAAAATTTAGCTGATGAATGACTGAGGGTTCACTCGGAACACTGATCAGTTTGTGAATCATCAGTGGAGAGCATCTTCGTTTTATCTACAGCATCTTAAGAAGTTACCTTACCTGGCCGGAGTGGGGGTGACGTTTCTAAGAAAAGAGGGGCAGAGAATGTACCCGCAATTTGTCTGAATTGATCCGTCTTTATTTGAAGCCTAAATCTGCACACTCTTTTCTTGATTCTACTCTGGCGATTTTTTTTGGTAAGTCTGATTGTTCCGAAATGAAGACTTTAAAACATTCAGATATGTTTTAAATATGGTGCACATTGCAAACGAAGTAATAAATGGGTCCTAATACAGTGAAGCATTAAAAGCAGAAACCTGTACGCTTTCAAATACGAAATGCATCAAAACAAACATCAAACACGTGCACTGTAGGCAGACCGTAACCATCGCCCTCCTAACCCCATCACCCACTTTTTTGTCTAAGTCCTCCATTCCACAGAGAAACACAAAGAATGAATGATTATTCATCCTTCCGTTTAGCTAATGGTTTAAATCATGTTTGTTTTCTTTATGTGAAAACGTAGGATTCTTGTAAAACAGACAGAAGTACAAAAAAGTATACAGAAGAAAACAGCAGTCACCCATAATTTCAACACCCACAAATAATCATCATTAAATGTTGATGCCTTTCATTATGGTCTTTAATATAAATATATACTATTTAAATGTTAAATGTAGAACATTTAAAAAATTAAATTTAAATAAAAAATTAGAGACTTTGGTTCTCATTCTATTTATTTATCTATTTGTAATATATTTTATTAATTTCAGAGAGGAAGGGAGAAGAAGAGAGAGAAGAAACATCAATGATGGGAGAGAATCATTGATTGGCTGCCTCCTGCACGCCCCCTACTGGGGATCGAGCCTGCAACCCGGGCATGTGCCCTTGACCAGAATCGAACCTGGGACCCTTCAGTCCGCAGGCTGATGCTCTATCCACTGAGCCACACCGGCTAGGGCTTCTGCTTTTTATTTTAAGACTCTCTTCATGTCTCTCCAATGAAACATGATACTGTTGCTGCATCATTTATTAATCCATTCTCCTATTGCTGGAATTCAGATTCTTGCTGTTTGTACGATTATAAATAATTCTGTTCTAGATAAAGCTCCTTGTGCTAAATCTGAACACTTCTGTGATTATTTCTTTATAATAAATTCCTAGAATAAGAAACACTGAAGTATATGGTTATTTTTAGCACAGGTTATCAAATGCATCACCAAGAAAGGCTGAATCAATTTATACCACGGATACCTTCTGTGAGAGTTTATATTTCAGCACGTTAGCTAACATATGGCATCATCATTAGGATGACTTAGGGAGGGAAAACTCACATTGTCCGAAGCCTCCATTTTTACCCATGAATTCAAAGAAGGCGTCCAGAATTCTGCAGAGCGTTGTAACGATGGTGATGTTCTGGACAGGAAGTGGCTGAAATTTCTGATGTTTCTCTAGAAACTGTAGCCCATCTTTGACACTGTTTTTAATCAAGAACTCAAGACAGTCCACTCCTGTGGGACTCATAATTTTAGATGTTTTCGCAAGCCACGACTTCACGTAAGGCTCCCATCCCAGGTCAACAGGATCCTGACAACAAACCGCACAAGATACTTTTAGGTAAATGACAGTGTCCGCCTACTTTCTACCTCTTGAATTCCCCAATGCCAAGTGCGGCTGAGAACCATCCTTCATTCAGGGGCAAGTGATCAAAAACGCCCAAGGAACTACCCTTCTCTGGAATATTTGTGATTCTTAATGACAGTCCTGCAGTCAACAGCATGGGGGGGTGGGGTATATGTAGAGAGGGGCGTTGGGCTATGCGTATGTGGTGAGGGCACTGCTTCCCCAGGAAATCAGCGCTGTCCTTAGCGTCATTCATTAGACTGAGTTATGCAGATCAGAAGACAGGCGAACAGTGGCTAATCGTGGATTTCACGCGTGGGAGACCCTTATATCCGGTTGTCTTCCGTCTCTTCGCCATCTCCTGGGAATGCGTTTCGCAAGTCCCCAGAGTCCTGTGGTGGGTGTGAAAAGGCTTCCCACCAGCAGCCTCACCCGACTATTGAAGGCACTCCTGACTCACAGTTGTGGAAAATATTCACGTTCCAATTACTGAGTAGAATTAACAAAACTGGTAATTACATTCATAGTCATTTTCAGGCTAGGAGCCGGTAGAAGACACAACACTTTTAACTCCTGGGGTCACTCACGTAGAAAGTGCTGTACAGCCCCGCTAGTGTGGCTCAGTGGTTGATGTCGACCATCGAACCAGGAGGTCCTGGTTCTTATTCCCAGTCAGGGCACATGCCCAGGCTGCGGGCTTGATCCCTAGAGTAGGGCATGCAGGAGGCAGCCGATCAATGATTCTCTCTCATCACTGATGATTCATTCTCTCTCTCTCTCTCTCTCTCTTCCTCTCTGAAATCAATAAAAATATAAATTTTTTAAAAAAGCGAGTCTCTAGCTAGAGATATTCAACTATAAAAATAGTGCTGTAGATAATGAGTGGTTATTATCCTAAACAGCACCTGTTCTTTGTAAAGAAATTTGATTCTGGCCCGGCCCGCGTGGCTCAGTGGTTGAACATCGACCTATGAACCAGGAGGTCATGGTTCGATTCCTGGTCAGACAGGGTACTTGCCAGGGTTGTGGGCTCCATCCCCAGTAGGGGGCGTGCAGGAGGCAGCCGATCAGGAGGCAGCCGATCCATGATTCTCTCTCATCATTGATGTTTCCATCTCTCTCTCCCTCTCCCTCCCTCCCTCTCTCTCTCTCCCTCTCCCTCCCTCACTCTCTGAAATCAATTATATACATAGTACAGCCTCGCGATGTTCTGTCTCATTTAGAAAATGCCTCCTAATGATGGAAAATGGTGCCCGAGGACACACTAGAGCAGCGGTTCTCAACTTTCCTAACGCCGCGACCCTTTCATACAGCTCCTCATGGTGTGGTGACCCCCAACCATTAAATTATTTTCGTTGCTACTTCATCACTGTCATTTTGCTACTGTTATGAATCGTCATGTAAATATCTGATATGCAGGGTGTATTTTCATTGTTACAATTATATACATACAATTATATACATATATATATACACACACACACACACACATATATATATAATAAATTTGATTTTGAAGACTTACCATATAAACCATTGCGCATCGGCTGACAGTGGCGGGGCTGGCGTGAGCGAGACTGTCCACTTCAAAAATCACTCTTATTTTATTAGTTAACGCGATTCGTTCGCTGTTGGCGAGGCACAGCGTCCCAGTGTCATCCAGCATCGAGTTCAGGCTTTCTACCCAAAAGATGTCCACGGGACCATCCAGGACAACCCACTGCCAATCGAACTCTGCAGAGAAACACATGCTGGCTGGACCAGAGGACCATCCCGGTCTTCTTCCATTACAGCCTCGCGATGTTCTGTCTCACTTAGAAAATGCCTCCTAATGATGGAAAATGGTGCCCGAGGACACTCTAGAGCAGCGGTTCTCAACCTTCCTAATGCCGCGACCCTTTCATACAGCTCCTCATGGTGTGGGGACCCCCAACCATTAAATTATTTTCGTGGCTACTTCATCACTGTCATGTTGCTGCTGTTATGAATCGTCATGTAAATATCTGATATGCAGGATGTATTTTCATTGTTACAGATTGAACATAATGAAAGCATAGTGATTAATCACAGAAACAACATGTGATTATATATGTGTTTTCCGATGGTCTTAGGCGACCCCTGTGAAAGGGTCGTTCGACCCCCAAAGGGATCGCGACCTACAGGTTGAGAACCGCTGCTCTGAGGAAGCAGAAGCAGCAGCTGAGGTCCCTTTCAAAGTCTGGAACGGAAGTGCCCTCCTGGGGGCGCTGCTGCCCGGACGTCACCAGGGGGCATGGAAGCAGTGGCCAGGGTCCTGCAGGGACTGACCATACATCTCTGTCCCCTGGCACACAGCACGGCGGCGTCCGCTGGGTGTCGGATGCACTGGAGATGACCAGGCCCGGGCCGCGTGATCGGGCCTGGGCGTGTTCAGCCTGCGTGGGGCCCACTCGGTGCCTGTATGGCAGTGTGGCCGGGCTGCTGCTCACCCGGTGAACTTCTACCCGTAATAACTACTTGGTGTAAACCAAAAGGGCTCTACGTGAGCCCTGGTGTCTATGGAATATAATCACCCGGGCTGTAAGATAACGTGGTAAAATGACACACATTTCAAATGAGCACACACACACACACACACACACACACACACACAAAAGAAATAGCACAAGAACAAGAGCACGCATCAAAAACGTTTAAAAATATATATACACGAAGTTCAGAATGGGTCAGCTTGCCCTTTTGGGTTAGTCCGTCATCCAGATGAAATTGAATCATCACACTTACTCTCACTTTCGGTAACTTGAACCTCCTTCTCCATCCCTTTCTTAAACGTAGTAGCACTGACATCTGATGTATTAAAGGCACGAAGTTGGAAAACCTAAAATAAGCGACCAATCATGTTTACGTTTTCATCTGACCACCCGTTCCCATTAAAATGGACTATATGTCAATAGGCTTCCTCTTGCGATAAAAATAAAAAAGGCGGAGGGTTCCGTAGCTGAGAAGACCTCCACGTGACCATCGCAGTGGACAGTAATGCTGTGACCACAGGTCATGTCCTTTTAGAACATCCTTTCCGTTTAGTCCCCGCACCCCGAAAGATAATACAATGTTGTTATGTAATATTCAAATAATGCAGCAAAGCATGAAGGGGGGAAGCAGAAATTCCATTGATTTTTTAGAGAGAAAGTGGAAAAGAGAGAGGAAAAGACAGAAACATCGGTGTGGGAGAGACACATCGATTGGTTGCCTCTTGCATGAGCCCCGACCAGGGCCCAGGAAGGGGAGGAGCCTGCAACCAAGGTACGTGCCCTTGGCTGGAATCGAACCCGGGACCCTTTGGTCTGCAGGCTGACGCTCTAGCCCAGGGGTGGGCAAACTTTCTGACTCGAGGGCCACAATGGGTTCTTAAACTGGACCGAAGGGCCGGAACAAAAGCATGGATGGAGTGTTTCTGTGAACTAATATAAATTCAAAGTAAATATCATTACATAAAAGGGTACAGTCTTTTTTTTTTTTAGTTTTATTCATTTCAAGCAGGCCGGATCCGGCCCGCGGGCCGTGGTTTGCCCACGGCTGCTCTAGCCGCTGAGCCAAACCGGCTAGAGTGATGATATTTTTATATTCACTTTTATCGTAGTATGTATATGACGATGCTTTAATATGTCTTTAGGTAATGAAATAACCCCCAATAGTCAAATAAAAATAATCATCCCATGCTACACTTACATTAGCTAAATCCGAGATTCTTGATTTTAGTACAAGATCGCTATCTTTCCTTGAAGAGCTTGTACTGTTATAATATACGTAGTTTCGAATGATTGCGGATAACAATCCATCGGTCCATTCCATGGTATTAGGATCCAGTTGTCCATACAGTTCACTCACCGTGACACACTTGGGATTTAAAATCCAAGTATCCACTTTTCCCTTTCTTCCTGGAATCTGAGAAAAATCCAGGGTGGGTTTTTAAAGACGTTAACTACATACAGTCCGGATGCCACCCTTCCAACCTGGTTCTTACCAAACAGGAAAGGGGAAAAGGAAAAGCCAGGTAGGCGGGGGCCCAGCTAGGTCTGGGTGACATGGGAAGGTGCCGACCTGCTTGCCTGTCCATCGCACCCGAAAGCGAGTCTGAATGGGTGTGGCCCCCGCCAGCACGTGAAACCCAAACATATCAACTCCCCAACCAGGAAGTGTCTCTTCTCTCTCTTTTGCCTGTTGGGACTCCGGTGGAGGGATGCCCTCTCCCAGGCCCACTGGGCTCAAGGTCACATGGGGCTCCGCGCAGGGACCAATGGACTTGAATCAGCCTAAATGCTGCAGTACACCGGCTGCAACATGGAACGGATACTCTGGATCTTGGCTGAAGGGGAGGGGACTTCGGAATCCGAGAAATGTAACTCTCTGCCAGTGAAATCTACAGAAAATTCCTTTTCTGAAGATAATTGCAAGAGCCTCACTCCCACCCGTGCCTGGGAAGTCTGGCCCAATCATTCCTCCGGCATCAGTACAGTTATTTAATTGTTTGCACGGCTGTGACCACAGGGTTTTAGGAGAAATCTTTCACTCCAAAGAAAGGTTCACTATAAAGGTAGCAATTTCCAAGGAACTATAAAAAATGGGTGTTATGAAAATTAGCCATAATACTCAAATCATAAAAATCCTGGCTATTACAAATAATATCCCTTTATATAAGAAACTGAGGTACATACTATGTATTGGAGTCTACCTTTATGTGGAATAAAAACATATCATGAAAAAGTAGGAGTTATTCTAGGAATTCCAGGACAATTTAACATTAGTCCATCTATCAACATAGCTCAGTACATTAACCAGTTAAAATGTAAAAAGTAGATGCTAAAATCATTTCATAAATTCTAGGAGTCAAAAACCAAAGTATAATGAGACCAGAAAAAAAAGTATTATTAAAGAATGATAATATCAAAGCACGATAAAGAATATGTATCATAGACCCAGAGTAAACATATTAAATGCATAAATATTAACTGCATTCCAGATAAAGGAAGAAATAAGATATGACAGTTGACATGGTCTTGAAGGGTAAATCAATGCAGTAAAGTTAAGAATATAAGTTACATAAATATTAGGAAAGATACAAAATTATATTCATTTGAAGATGACTCAGTTGATTATCTAAAAACTTAGAACCTAACACTCCATTAAATAAGGTGACTCAGCCTTCAATAAACATACAAGTCAATCGTTTTACTTTACACTAGCAATGACCAGTTTGAGATTCAAACGAAAAACAATCCCATTCACTACAAATGATTGCCTAAATACAAAATTCCTATCGATAAATTTAACAAGTACCGAACAACGTATGTAGAGAGAACATGAAGCTGTAACTGAAGCATAAAATATGATCTTAACCAACCGAGAAACGTTTTATTTTGTAGAATATTTACCTGTGAAATGGAGTTCATTAGTTCAGCCCGTAGTATTAACTCTTCGATTGGTAAAAGCGTTAACGCTCTTTCTAAAATCCTTCTGACAGTCGTCTTTCCTCCACCTGTTGGACCCACTAACATCACACCAACACAAGCCTAGAGCAAGATTGCAGATTTAGGGCTTAAGACTGATTTACGAATGGTTCAACTAAGCTGAAGCTTGAAGGTTCTTATTTATAAACACATCTCTAACCCGATCCACAAACCCTTCCTTCAAATTATTGTTCAATCTATTGTAATCTGGGTTGTTTTATTTTACTGTTAAAATCACCAGAAATCTAATTTTCTTTCTTTCTTTATTATAAATGTATTTTTATTGATTTCAGAGAGGAAGGGAGAGGGAGAGAGAGAGAAACATCAATGATGAGAGAGAATCATTGATCAGCTGCCTCCTGCATGCCCCCTCCTGGGGATCGAGCCCACAACCAGGGCGTGTGCCCTTGACCAGAATGAACCTGGGACCCTTTAGTCCAGCAGTCGCCAACCTTTCGGGCCTCAGGGACCACCGGTTGGTGACTGCTGCTAGTCCGCAGACCGACGCTCTACCCACTGAGCCAAACCAGCTAGGGCCAGAAATCTCATTTTAAAATTCAAATAGTAATTTCCAATTCTTGATATTTAACAGTTGCTCTCACTTTTCAATTCTCCTTTATTCCTGTACCTTTCTCTACAACTGGCTTCTGTAGTGAAATTTATCTGGGCTTTCCTTGCTCCATTTTATCTCTTTTGAGTTCTGATTATTCTTTCCATATTAGCCTTCTGTAATTTCTTTCTCTCTCTCTCTCTCTCTCTCTCTCTCTCTCTCTCTCTCTCTCTCTCTCTCTCCCTCCCTCCTTCCCTCCCTCTTTCTCCCTCTCTTTTTCTGTCTCTCTCCAATGACACTCTCTGACCTCATGCATTCCAATGTCTTTAACTACATCTGAATTCTACTGTATACAGGTTCCCCAGTCTTTGGTTCTAAGTGCCAGAATGAAATTTCAATGGTCTACTAAATATTCCCACCTCAATGTCTCACATGGTTTTCAAAATCAGCATGATCTAATTCATATGGTCTTTTCCCACTTGTTGCTTCTCTTCTTTCCCTAACCTGGGTAAAAAAACCACTATGAACCAATCATACAAAGAATCCCCTCATCGCTTGCAAAGCTTTTGCTTGATTGTATCGTCTTCGTTCCATCTCAAGCACAATTGCCTTACCTTGGCGCTGTGGACTGAATTTTGGTGCCCCAAATTCAAATGCTGAAACCCTAACGTTTGAATTTGGGGGGTGGGACACAAACATTCACAAGCATTCTTTTCTGAAGACTCCCAGGTACATGTAAAAATTCCGTAAATTTGTATGCTTTTCTCTCATCTTTGTCAGTTTAATCTTCAGACCCAGCCTGGGGCCCTAAGAGGGTAAGGGATAACTTCTTCCTCCATTATAATTGGTACCAGTAGATATAAAAACCTACGGTAATTAAGACTGTGCTGTAGCAAAGAAGGATCTCTTACCCTTTGAGACAGCATGGAGGGACCTGGAGAGTATTATGCTGAGTGAAATAAGTCAGTCGGAGAAAGACAAGTCTCGCATGATCTCACTCACATGTGGAATAAACTGATCAACAAAATAAAGTGATGAACAAAGTCGATCCAGAGACATAGAAGCGTAGGACAGACTGCGGAATCTCAGAGGGAAGGTGGGGGAAGGTAGGTGGGTGGGAAGAGATCAGCCAAAGAACTTGTATGCATATATGCATAACCCATGGACACAGACAATAGGGTGGTGGAGGCCTGGGGAAGGGCAGGGAGGGGAAAGGAAGGGAATCAATGGGGGGAGGAGGAGAGAAGGAACAACGGTCATACTTTCAACAATAAAGATAAAAGAAAAAAACAGGTATTTTGGGAAGTGAAAAAAGTCTAAATAATGAGATTTTATTTAGAGAAATTAGTAAATATGGACAAATTATTTACATATACTTTATGTCCAAACAAGAGAAATGTATGTGAAATTCTTCAAAATCAAGATTAAAAACATTCTAATTTATAAGGAAAAAACCTGTGAAATGTTGTCATAAAGATAGAGATATAGACCAAAAGAATGAAATATAGAAGAAATCAACAAAGAAATCTACCCCATTAGATATGAACACTTGGTACATGACGGAAAGAGCAAATCAGTGAGAGAAGTCTCACGCAAATTGGTACCCATCTGGCGAAAATAGATCCCTACGTGACACCTTAAAGAAAAATAAATTCCAGATGACTTAAAAATGGGAAATACAGACACTCAAGACTTCTAGGAAAAAAAATTGGCCTTTATAAGATAAGAAAACATTTCTAAAAATAGGACACAACAACACAAGCCATTATTGCAAAAGGATCCATAAATGTTACTGCATGAACTATGTCTCTTGCACACCTGAACTCCATGAATGTTCCTGAAATGCCAAGACTTAGAGAATGTAGTGGCTCTGCAGGTAAGCGACACAGAATTATGACATATGTAATGAAAAATTTACTTTTACTAAGAAAAAGACCAATCACCCAATTGAAAAATGAGTACATTACATAATCTGGCAAGTCACAGAAAACCCAAAAGGCTAACCTATCTATAATAATAAAAACATAATATGCAAATCGACCGAATGGCCAAACTGTGGAACAACCGTCCGGATGACCTTTCGGATGAAGCCGGGGCTGCCAGGGCCTACCCTTGCATGAATTTTGTGCACCGGGCCTGTAGTAAACCTATAAAAGGAAGTATAATTGTGCTAGTCATCAGGGAAATGCATAGCCTGATGTTTTTCCAAATGGTTCATTCGTAGAGAACAGGCAATTCAGAGAAGGCAGAATAATGGCATGCAGAACACTTCACACGATGTTTGCAGGATTTTTTTTACAATTGTGCATTAAGGGGATGAAGGTGGAAAAGATTAATTTGTTGAGAGTTACAGTGAAGGATCAAACAAAGTCTAGGTAAAGAGTTAATCAATAAACCACTTTACTTTGAAGAGCATGGTAAAAGCTCTCTTTTCCGTTAGTTCATATTGTGTTCCCCTGGATCAGGCATTTTAAAATCCAGGGCAAACAACTGCTACCATGCCATTCTACGCTTACCTGAAGCTGGTTATGAAACTGTATGATTTTCTCCTTCTGAGCTGGCCATTGCTGTAAGCCCAACAACTGTGTCGCAAGAGCAACTACTTTCTTTAAAAAAAAGAAATACATTCATTTAAAATGCAATGCAAATCGAACTCTTGGTATATAATCCTAAAAAAGTCTCTCTTCACTAGGTACCAAATACTGTACGATAATAGTTCTTAAATTTTTAGTTCACCAACCTGAGAATAATGAGAACCTATTTTCCATCCAAAATACAATATATCCAAATTTTTAAAAAATACACTTTTATTGATCTCCCAGAGAAGGGAGAGGGAGAGATAGAAACATCAATGATGAGAATCACTGACCGGCTGCCTCTTACATAGCCCACATTGGGGATGGAGCCTGCAACCCGGGCATGTGCCCTGACCAGGAATCGAACTGTGACCTCCTGGTTCATAGCTCGACGCTCTACCACTGAGCCACACAGGCTGGGCAATACATCCAAATTTTATATTCAGAGACTCCAGCAGCAGATCCACAGATGCTCCCTATATTTAGAACTCATGCTTTAAGATATGCCTAAGAACTGGCTGTAACCACCGTACAAGTGTTTATCCTACAGTCAAAAAGACAATGTACATGATCCTACATCTTAAGTAATTCTAACTACCATTAAGGTAGGTTTCCGATTTTCTAATGATTAATGTTTCAATGTTCAAAACATTCGAAGAGAACGAGGGAAATTTTTTTTTTTATTAATTTTTTACAGGGAGGAAGGGAGAGGGATAGAGGGTTAGAAACATCGATGAGAGAGAAACATCGATCAGCTGCTTCCTGCACATCCCCTACTAGGGATGTGCCCACAACCAAGGTACATGCCCTTGACCGGAATCGAACCCGGGACCTTTCACATGAGGTCTATCCACTGAGCCAAACCGACCAGGGCGAACAAGGGACATTTTTAAAAAAATTGCAAACCTGATGTGGTCATCCATCGAGACATGCGTGCGGCCCGCTGGCCGCGAGTTGGACATGCTTGCATTAAAACATCCCAGAAAAAGTGGCTGTAGCTCAGAAAGATACTTAATATTTCAACAGAGAAACTGCAAGGGCAGCTATGCCTCCTTCTAAAGTGGTTCTTCCACTGTGGATGTAATTGGTAACTATGTCTTCAGGGGGGAAAAAAAAAGACCATTTTATCTGTCTTTCTGGTCAACCTTGCCTACTGTCTTTCTCGTTCCTCACACTCCTGCACGGGACAGGCAAAGCAGCAGCTAAAGGGGGCGCAGAACGCTAAGCAGGGCTGGAGGGAGAGACAAGTAGTCCTTGCCCTGGCCTGGGGGTGGGGGGACAGGAGAGGGGGGTGCTTGCTTGGAGCAGACAAAATGCACAGAAGCCCTAACCGGTTTGGCTCAGTGGATAGAGTGTCAGCCTGCGGACTGAAAGGTCCCAGGTTCGATTCCGGCCAAGGGCATGTACCTTGGTTGTGGGCACATCCCCAGTGGGAGGTGTGCAGGAGGCAGCTGATTGATGTTTCTCTCTCATCAGTGTTTCCAACTCTCTATCCCTCTCTCTTCCTCTCTGTAAAAAATCAATAAAATATATTTTTAAAAAACACACAAAAAAACCCCCAAAAAACAAAATGCATAGAAGCCTTCCTCCCAGCTCCTCCTCCTTCCGGGCCAGTGCAGTGGAAGCTCTTGCCCACCCCCCAAAGGGGAGACATAGATCTCCAAGTATTTCTGCCCCCCCCCCCCCATGATAACACGAATAGAGCGATTCACGAAGAACTGTCATCGTTTTCATCGACGTCTCGTTCCTCATCTCGACCCTCCACCTCGTAATCGTGGGTGCGAGTTCCCCAGAGGTCTTACCTCCAGGGCGGCCTGGCTGACTTGAGAAACGGTGGCTTCGGGGAAAGTATCTCGGATGATGTTCTCAAAAGGGAGGACGTCGCGGGCGGTGCACGTGGGCAGGCTGGCTTCTCTCACGGCTTCGATGATGATCGGCGTCTCCTCGGCCTCAGGGAGGCTGTCGCTGGTGTCGCTTGAAGGACAGAAAACACACAGAAAGGCCGCGTGAGCGAGCGTGTGCTGCTGGCGTGCCAGGCCATTCGCGTCCCTGTGGCTCGGAGGCCGCCCCCACCTCCTCCCCGCCTGTCCCTCGCGGCCCGCCGACCAGCTCTGCGGTTGGCATGGGGTTTATCTGGTCCCAGCTCCAGGGATGGGCTCTGACTTCTCGGCAAAGTCAGGGTCATGTCATTCGCAGTCACTGATTCAGGGATGGGCGCTGCAACAATCGTAGAGGATTGTTTATTTGTGTGTGTGTGTGTGTGTGTGTGTGTGTTTGTAGCTGCAAATAACAGAAATGAATTCCGGCTAATTAACAGCCGGTGGAAAATGACATAGCGATTTATTAAACGTCTCTAGGAGAGCGACAGCGTTCCAGGCTACCCGGCTGGGGTCCTAGGGAGTAACCTGACCCTTTCCCACACCTTTTCCCGGAAAAGATCTTGCTTTACGGTAGAGAATGGTTCCACCCCGGCTATCTGCCCGGCGCTGTGTCATTCCCACGGACCTAACAATTCCAAATTCCACTGACCTTTTAAACTTCCGCTTCTTTCCTGCCATTGTTATAATTGTCTTCAGGGCCCTCAGGCCAAAGTTATAATGATCCTATCAAACACGAAAATATTGGAATGATTCCAGTTTTGGAAGGAAAACGAAAGAAGCTGGTAATGAGAATGCAAAGCGCACACAGCTAAGTCGCTGATCATCGCTGCTGTGAAGAGAAACAGTGATGTGAACTCCATTTTGCTTCTAAGGCGCTCACTTCTCTCCCAAACGGGTGCTCCTAGACGTCTCCTTCTCAAAGGACAGTGAACAAGTATTAAAGGTACTAAACATGGGACTGAGCCCTGGCCGGTGTGGCTCAGTGGATAGAGCGTTAGCCGGCCGACTGAAGGGTCACGGGTTCGATTCTGGTCAAGGGCAGGTGCCTCGGTGGCAGGCTCGCTCCCCAGCCCTGGTCGGGGCGTGTGTGGGAGGCAGCCAATCAATGTGTTTTTCTCACATCAATATTTCTCTCTGTCTTTCCCTCTCTCTTCCACTCTCTAAAAATCAATGGAAAAATAACCTTGGATGAGGAGTGAATGAATGAATGAATAAATAAATAAAAATAAAATAAATAAAATAAAATAAGTGAAATAAAAATAAACAAAATTAAAAATAAAATAACAAAATAAAAATTTAAAATTAAATAACAAAATAAAAATAAATAAAATTAAAAAATAATAAATGAAATGAAATAAAATAAAATAGCAGACACTCAGTCACTCCCCAGATCTGGGAGGGAAGGTCTGGAACCTTGGCCGACCTGACACACCGCCTCCCATCCCTTCTGGGCCGTGGACTTGAGGTGCCGACGGGAATTCTAGCGCCGCCCCTTCCCCAGGTCCTCCCCCCGACCCCCCACCCCCGGACCCACACCAGACACCGTCCCGCGAGGAAAGCGTGCGTGCGTTACCTGCTGGGAGAGCTGCGTGCTGGCCAGCCTGTACAGGTTCACCAGCTTCCTGGAGAGCGACTTTGCAGACTGGAACCCGACCGCCAACAGGCTGATCTCGGCAATCATTTCGTAATGGGGCACCACCATGGCCACCGGGCGGAAGAGGGACTTTAAGGTATTGGGGAGACCCACGTGACCCTTGTCCCTGAAGAGGGCAAGAGAAACAGGACACGAAACACCCCTTTTCGGGTTTCCACACGTGTTGCCACATGTTGTAACTTCCCCCCAAGAATCCCACTGGCGTTCTATGTGATCTTTATCCGAAAACAAGCTCAGGGGGTAGTTCCCGTCCGACTTTTCATCTCACAGAGCTTCCTCCTTGATGCTCGTGTCTCCCCGGGCCTCCTCCCACGGTTCACCCGCACCGTCACCATCACCTTCCAGGAGCAGAGACCGACCGATCCTGCGGCCTCCGCCCTGCCTTCTCGTTCCTTCTGCTCCTCTCCCCAGCTTTGCAACACACTGTCGACCCTTTCCTGGCCGCCTGGCCGCCCGTGAAGGGGAAACGCCAGTGCTGGGAAGCACCCTGGAATGGCAGCTCCGCGGTGCCCGACCATGTAGGGTCCCCCGATGGCTAGCCCTCAGGAGGTGGGCCCACGCCTGCGACACACGCGCTGACGCTTACCCGCAGTTCACGGTGATAAACACTGCACAGGACAGGTTGATACGAATCTTCTTTCCTTCCAGTTCAAACCTACAGGACATGACAGGAGGCATCACGAAGAGAGCTCTAGGTCCAAGTATGTGAAGACCACAGCTGCTCCCGGCCGGTGTGGCTCAGGGGTCGAGCACCGACCGATGAACCAGGAGGTCACGGTTCAATTCCAGGTCAGGACACGTGCCCGGGTTGTGGGCTAGATCCCCGGTGTGGGGCGTGCGGGAGGCAGCGGAGCCATGACTCCCTTTCATCATGGATGTTTCTATCTCTCTCTCCCTTCCTCTCTGAAATCAATGCAAATATATTAAAAAAACAAATAGCCCTAAGCCGGTTTTGCTCAGTGGATAGAGCATCGGCCTGCGGACTGAAGGGTCCTGGGTTCGATTCCTGTCAAGGGCACATGCCTGGGTTGCAGGCTCCATCCCCAGTAGGGGGCGTGCAGGAGGCAGCCAATCGATGATTCTCTCTCATCATTGATGCTTCTCTCTCTCCCTCTCCCTTCCTCTCTGAAATCAATAAAAAACAAAAGCAAACAAAAAACACACGAACAAACATAAAAAAACGAACAAAACAAAAACCCAAAATCCCTAAAACCTGAGCTTGGAACTTGCCTCGGGCTGTGTTCCATTAAAACCCAAACAGAGCCTCCTGGGAAGAAACAATGGTCAGAGAGGAAATGAGAGGCTCGTCTGAAGCCACAACTGTGAGCCCCGCGGGGACCCCGACTTCTTTGCTCGCGTCGGAAGCTGTCTGAGGAGTTTCGGGGGGCCTGCAGTGGGAAGGTACCCACATGACTGAACTGAGTGACAGGGAAAAGAACCCGGGGAGACCTGGGGCCCAGAGCTCCGCCCAGAGGGCACCGCGGACCCCAGAGTGGCCATGGCATCGAGTTCCTGTGTTAGCGGGAGCACAGCCCGCCCCCCGCTGCCCAATTTAGTAACTTTGGGATCACTGATTCCTGTCGCAGGGACTACAGTGGAGACATGGAGGGAAATCATCTGGGGATTTCATGAGCAGCCGATACCAACGAGGGTGGTCACAACAGGGAAGGGGACCCCAGGGGGACAAAGCCTGAGGACTCCCCGGACACAGCTGAGGAAGACGGGGCGAGGCTGGGCTGTGGCGAGGAAGGGGTGCAGTGTGGGTCACCGTGGCCCCCACTTCTATCCACAGACGTGTGGGGCCGCGTGACAGTGGTTCCAGTGGTTTGAATGAACCCCTGGAAAGTCAAGTTAGAAGCGGACGTCCCCGAGCTCGCATGAGAAATGTCAGATTGTCAGAGGAGCGTTAAACCCACACACCCAGCTGTGCCCACCAAGGGAATCATGCAAGTTCCTGAATGTACCTGCAGAGGAAACCATTTTCGTTGGGATTAGGACACATCAGCAATCTAACGTACAGATATCACTGTTACAGGACTTTTCCATTAAAATATATTAACCCAGAGTCACGGACTAAGGAGGGGCTCGGCTGTGTGGCCAGCAGAATTGGCTTTGTAAGAAGATGTAGAATTACAGGGGGAAAAACAAAACAAAACTTGGGTTTCTTCAAATGAAACATGATAAGACAGCGTCGCGACCCCTTTGGCGGTCAAATGACCCTTTCACAGGGGTCACCTAAGACCATCCTGCCTATCAGATATTTACACGATGATTCGTCACAGTAGCAACATGACAGTTATGAAGTAGCCACGAAAATAATTTTATGGTTGGATCACAGCATGAGGGACTGTATTTAAAGGGCCAGAAGGTTGAGAACCGCTGTGATAAGATGAAAAGGCAGTGAGAAAATTCCCACTCAAATACCTTTTCACGTTACCTGCCAAGCAAGAGACACATGATGGGTAAGCGGCCCGCCCACACCCACCACTTTCTGTGGAAGAGAACACTTCACAATAGTAGCAGTAAGCGTGGACCGCGCTTGCAGTCCACGGGGCAGGTACCTGACGGAGTAGCTGTCTTTAGCCGCCTTAATTGTTTGGATCAGGGAGGCAATCACTGAGTGGATTTCCACGTCGATCTGATTGAATTCATCGAAACAAAACCAGGCTCCTGACTGAACTAGTCCAAAGAAGAATCTTCCCATTATCTTAAAAAAAAAAAAAAAAAAAAGATTATTGACAATTACTACGCAGGTGAACATTCTCACTAGGATATTCATTTTTTAAAAAATATATTTTATTGATTTTTTACAGAGAGGAAGGGAGAAGGATAGAGAGTTAGAAACATCGATGAGAGAGAAACATCTATCAGCTGCCTCTTGCATACCCCCGACTGGGGATGTGCCCGCAACCAAGGTACATGCCCTTGGCCGGAATCGAACCCGGGACCCTTCAGTCCGCAGGCCGGCGCTCTATCCACTGAGCCAAACCAGTCAGGGCTAGGATATATTCATTTTTGCATCTTCTTCCCATTCACGCAAACCAAGCAAACACCATCAGCAAGTCCTCCCCGATTCAGGCTTTTTGGGTGAAGTCTACGTCTGCCAACTGTTGGGCAAGTCAACCGCCCCGTCTCTGAAGCCTAAACACGCAGTAGCCAACTCTGATGTTGACCGGGACCCTCGGGGCAGGGCCACGCGGCCCTCACCGCACTGCCCCGGCTCCCAGGGCCTTGTTCCAGACCAGTGATGGCGAACCTTTTGAGCTCGGCGTGTCAGCATTTTGAAAAACCCTAACTTAACTCTGGTGCCGTGTCACACATAGAAATTTTTTGATATTTGCAACCATAGTAAAACAAAGATTTATATTTTTTGATATTTATTTTATATATTTAAATGCCACTGAACAAAGAAAAATCAACCAAAAAAATGAGTTCGCGTGTCACCTCTGACACGCGTGTCATAGGTTCGCCATCACTGTTCCAGACAGAGCCCTGCTCCCCTGTAAGGTCTTTGGGACAGTTTTCCTGCAGACGGTGGCTGAGTGCCTGAAGGAAGGGGCTCCTTTGCCTCGGTTAGGACAAGACTCAGGGCTAAGGGTGGGCTGCTGCTGGGGGGGGGGGGCAGTGAACAGGCCAGAGTGGAGGGGCCCAGCTCAAGCGCCCGCTGCAACTCAGCTTGTGCGGCCTGTGATGGCGCCAGCCCAGGGCGGCCAGATGGCCGGTGTTCTGGGATCGACATCTATTGATCTGTAAGTGCTGGCAGCTAAACAAGACAAGACAGAACCACGGTCAGACCATACAGCCTCTGGGGCCCTTGGGGAGCTTCTGCCAGGTGTCAGAGAGACAGAGGGAGAGGGGGTGAGGGGGGAAGAGGGGGTGAGGGGGGAAGAGGGGATGGGGGAGCCCGAGGGAGTGGCTCAGGCCCAGGACACCGAAGTCGCTCCCCTCCTCCCACTGTAGGAATCAGAACTGTCTTTAAATGCCTGATACCGGGTTTATCATGGGGGCGGGGGGTGGCGGAGATTAATTTTCATTCTTAAAACGACTGCATTAAACTATTATTTATCTTGATTACTAAATTCCTTGGCTCCCCCTTAAGCTTTGCTCAGCAGCTCACCCCTCCTAGTCCTCTGGGCCCCACTGGAAGGTGCACTCTACTTGGTACGAGTCTCAATAATCACCCAATCAGCTTATTTACTGATTTTTTTAATAAGCGGAGTGAGCACAGATTGGAAATGCAGGATCTCAGAGGTGACGTGCTTTGAACTGCAAATAAATGACAGCAAGCAAACGTAAAAGGCTGGGACTTGGCATACCGCGATGAAATGTTTTACAGCTTCGAGTAAATTTGCGACAGGCACGTAAACTCTTAATAAATATCCCAGGTTCTGAGATATGTCTTAGATAATGTGCAAGCAAAATAAACGGGCTGATAGAAAGTTGTAATCATCCATATAAACTCTGATTCAAAGTTTTGTGTTAATTAGAATTGCCTCATTGTTCTTAATGATTTACCTTTTTAGTAAGTTAATGTATAGGATTAGAACACATAAAAGAAATCTATATAAGTAGATCAGTACTCTTAATTTGTTATATTTATATTCCATATTAGATTTTGTTTGGAAATATCTCCATCAAAAAGTTTGAAAAACACAATTAAGAAGTTCAGTTGAATAAAGGCAAACTGTATAATGTTTTAAGTTTATATTGCATTCTAAGTTTCTATTCTATTAGCTTAAATTATTAATAGCCTATATAGTTCTGTTAATACTTAATACAGCTCTAAGACATTTTTCTTGTTCTTTCAATCCCCAATGAATTATTTCTTTCATTTGCATAATATTTTTACCTGAGTCTATAAGGTTTACCTTATAATCCAGATCCTCAAAGCAGTTGAAGACGACACAGTGTTTACCTAAGGACTGCGAAACAAAAATATTATTTTAATATAGTTCTTACATGATGACACAAAATAACTAAGGTTAAAACTGCCGGAGTAATGAATGTCTTCTTTTGCGAAAACGTTTGCAATTAAAGATTAGTTACACACCAAATTTTAAAACTCACAAAACTGAATTGAGCAGAAATGCTCATATGCCATTACAGTTCGATTAGCACGTGGACCATTAAGGTCATTTTTTAAACACACCAACAAATATAAACTAAGAAAACAGCATTCCGGTGACATAACCAGCTTTATCAGGTGCTTCTGTCTCTTGTGCCTGCGCGCCCCTCTCTCTCTCTCTCTCTCTTTCTCTCTCTCTCTCTCTCTCTCTCTCTCTCTCTCTCTCTCTCTCTCTCTCTCTCTCTCTCTCACACACACACACACACCCATCCATTAATCACCAAGACCAGGCAAAAATCTGTGTACGGGGCTCAAAATGAACGGATCGCCCCTACAGGAAGGAAAAGGGGAACACAACCACCATTCGCATGTCAGCCGGTTGGTCCAACGGCTTTCCAAGCAGATGCAAAGCACACGTGGACTCAGTGAGCCCCCAGCTCCCAACACAGAACAGCCGCTCGGAAATGAACCGACCGGTCCGTGGTCTGAACGACCAAAGGGGCTCGTTAAACAGTGAAGAACCTCTTCACAGAGATGGTGTCCATGTCCGGTGCCGTTCAAGTTTAGGACTAAAAGGAAGTTGCTATTCTGGATGCAGAACCACTTACTTTGGCCAGGTCTTTGACACTCTCGGTTTTCCCCGTGCCGTTCGGGCCCGAAGGACAGCCCCCCATGTTCAGGTGCAGCGCCCCGGTGAGAGTGAGCCAGCACCTGTTGGTGAGAGGCGTGACGACCAGCCGTGGGGTGCAGCCCAAGTACTCGTAGCCGTACGTGAACCTGGCATCGCCTTGGGAGACGTAGCACAACATCTGTTTTTCGTTCCATTTATACTGCAGATGTCTGAAAACAACATTGTCAAAGCTCATGTTATCGGGGCAAAATTGCTTTTCGTTTGTGTGTGTGTGTGTGTTTTTTTCCAAATGCGGAAACATAATAAAGATTAAAAATAAAATTATTGGTTGAAAACAGAAATCAAAACATTAGAACAAATGAAAAGTGGTGGAAAATTCCTAATGACTGTATCAGCCACTGAAACGAGAGCTCAGAAGACTATACACAGGAGTGTTCGTCCCTGGAGGGAAAATGGCCCTGCTGCCTCGTGCTGCCTGGTGCGACGCCAGATAGACGGAGGATTTATAGAAGCATCAGCCCTATGGAGCTTATTATGGTTTCAAATAAGAATGTGGTTCAAGACATTGTGAATTGTCAGTATCATCCTTATGTGAATGTAGTTGAGAGAAATGCCATTTGTCCTCATTATTTTTAAAAATTGTATTTTGCCCGGCCGGCGTGGCTCAGTGGTTGAGCGTCAACCTATGAACCAGGAGGTCATGGTTCGATTCCTGGTCAGGGCACCTGCCCAGGTTGCAGGTTCAAGCCTCAGTGTGGGGCGTGCAGGAGGCAGCCGATCAATGATTCTCTCTCATCATTGATGTGTCTCTCTCCCTCTCCCCCTCTCCCTTCCGCTCTGACATCAATAACAATATATTTGCCTTCGCTTTTGGAGTCAGATCGCCAAGGCTGATGTCAAGAAGCTTACCACCCATGTTTTCTTCTAGGGATTTGATGGTTTCAAGTCTTTCGTTCATTTTGCATTAATTCTTGTTTGTAAGACAGTGGTCCGTTTCGTTCTTTGCATATGGCCTTTCCGTTTTCCCAACACCATTTATTGATGAGACTATCTTTTCTCCATGACATATTATTGGCTCTCTTGTTGTAGACTGTCCATGTGTGTCCCATTGATCTACGTGTCTGTTTTTATGCCAATAGCATACTGATTACGACAGCTTTGTAATGTAGTCTGAAATCAGGAACTGTGATGCCTTCAAGTTTGTGCTTTTTTTCTTAAAACGGGTTTGGCTACTGGTGGGCTTTTGTGGTTCCATACAAATTTCAGGATTTCTGCCCCCCCCCTCCCCCGCCCCCTGTCCCCATTTCTGTGAAAAATACCATTGGAATTTTGACAGGGATTGAATTGAATTTATAGATTGCTGTGGGTAGTATGGACAGTTTAGCAATATGGATTCTCCGAGAAAATTGAAATTCAGGTTTGACAAAGTTTGGGGTACAGAGTTAATTTACCAAGCGGTGTGTATGTGAGAAATGATTTCGTGTAGAGTTCCAGTTTAGATCTGCCTACCTTGTCCACTCGAAATCCTCGGCGCTGAAGATGTTCTTAAGCAGTAAATCGCTCACTATGTCTTTGCAGTGAACGTAGAGGGTGATCAGTGCCCCCAGGACCACCTTCGTCCGAGCATTGCTCGTGTCCAGCACCACCAGCTCCGCGATCTGCTCTAAGCGCTGTATCAGATCCGCGTGGGCTTTCTCCAGCCCTTCTCTCGGATCAGAACTCATGAAACTTTTGGCGCAATCGTTGTAAAACATGATCTGGCTCTGAAAAGGTAAAATGTCAACATGATGACGGAAGCATCAATTCTATAAATTAAAACAAACGTGTTCACGACGTCTATGGGTGGTGTGTGTGTGTGTATGTATGAGTGCATTTGCATGTGAGTAAAAGAGAGAACTTACTCCTTGGTATGTATGTGAGAGTTAAAGATTGAATTTTGATTAACGCTTATGTTGTGTGTGTGTGTGTGGGGGGGGGACTTAGTCATTAATAAATGGAAGTATGCTTATCACCAATATTTATATTTTCTAAATGTATCCTTAACCACTAGGTTAAGTAATAACGACAGGAATTTTCCAAGATGAAACTAGTGGTGTTTCCTCAGTTGAACTCAGAAGTCCTATTTCTATCACACGTCGTCTGTAATCACCGACTCTTCCCATACACACTACAGCTATTTTACGGCGGCTGCTAGGTTAATGTCAGATTGACCCGGGAGTTAATGGCGGGGGATATGTCAAGAGGCTGGTAAGTTACTTGAGTGGATCCAATGCAATCCATGTATCCTTAAAATTGGAGACCTTTATCTGCCTGTTGGCGGAGGGAGATCGGACTACAGAAGAATGGTCAGAGACATGCAGCATCGCTAGCCTTGAAAATGAAGGCCGGGGCCCCAGGCAGGAAGGCAGGTGGCCTCCAAAGCTGGAAAAGACAAGAAGTGGGGCTCCCCTGGGCCTCCAGAGAGGACCGCAGCCCTGCTGACACCCCGATCGGAGCCCAGAGAGACGTGCTGTCCTTCTAACCTATAAACTGTCAGATAATGAAGGGTGTTGTTTTAAGCAACTAAGTTTGCAGTGGCTTTTTAATGACAGCGGTGGAAAATGGAGGCAGCACAAGAGCATGGCGTCCCTAGGAAGATAATGCGTGGTCTACTTTTATTCAAGATTTTACTGTGAGCCCCGGCTGGTGTTGCTCAGTGGATAGAGCATCAGCCTGCAGACGGAAGGGTCCCAGGTTCGATTCCAGTCAAGGGCCCATGCCTGGGTTGTGGGCTCGATCCCCAGCAGGGGGCGTGCAGGAGGTAGCCGATCAATGATTCTCTCTCATCACTGATGTTTCTTTCTCTCTCCCCCTCTCCCTTCCTCTCTGAAATCAATAAAAATATATTAAAAAAAGATTTTACTGTGAAAAGTTTAAACTGGAAAATTTAAAGGGATTATAAGATGAATTCCAAAGGCCCACCAGCTGCATTCTACAGTTAACCGTTTGCTGTGCGGGTGTTTGCTTTATCACCTATCTGTCCATCTGTCCATCCATCTGTATATCTTATTTCCAGATGCATTTCAGGGTCAGTGACGTACACGCGTGCCCTGCCTGATGGCTCATCCCCACATCCGTGCTCCCCTGGCAGTGTGGCCCCCAGGCCCTCCTTGAGGATGGATGCAGCGCTGACTGACTTACCACGGTGTGCACCACTTGTCCTGGGTGAGACACCACCCAGCTGGAAAACTGCTGGCGGCTCCATTCCTCGATCCCTTCCTTCACAAATCTGTCAACAGAAAAATGTATTTCCATTCCTTACACCTGGTCACTGATCGTGGCCAGTTAGTGAGCAAATCGGACAAGATCACAGGGGGCCTTTCCTCCAGGAACTCCAATTTATTTTGTTTTGTTTTGTCCCAATTTTAGGTATATGCGTGGGTCCAAATAGAACCCATAGAGCCTTGATTCGTGCCTACTTCATATCCCTTAAATTCCTCGTTAGCATCATCTGCATGTTTCCAATGGGGCCAAACCCAAAGCCCCATCGGCTAGCACGCCGTACGATGGCAGACGTGAGTCCAAGTGTGAGGGTGATCGAAATAAATCTAACAAGATGGCAGGACACAGCACACTGAAAGGGTCTCCGGAAGAGAGTTTAAAGGGACCCTCGGGGGTGAGGGCAGGGTTAGGGAGCCCGCAGGGATGGTGGACACTGGGTCTAGCAGCAGGGGCAGTGTTACCACCCTCAGGCCCGACAGGGCCAGGGAGCGAAGTCGCTGGAACCTGGTGAGGGCTGGAGACACACGAGAGAGGCCACCTGTCCCAAGCTGTGGCTTTCGGTAAAAGGAACATAGATTTTGCCCAAACTAGGGAGGCACGGGGGGAGCCTCATGTTGTCCCACGCAAGTGGACGCACGAGGAGAGGAATCCAGGCCGTACCACCCAAGGGCACGGGCGGCCAAGTCCACACAAGACCGAACAGGGGCCGGGAGTGACCTTCGGGGCGTCAGGACCGACCAGAACGGACAGCAAACACTGTGATATGAATAAAAGTAAAACCAAGTCAAAGCAAAAAAAATCAAAATCCATTTTTACACTTGATTCACGGAACAACATGACACAAGAAATGTGAAAAATAACATTGGGATACAAACGTCTTCTGATCATGGAAACAGCCGTGACAAGCTATTAAACAAATAGCATGTAACAAAAAATATTAACTGGTGCGAACACCGATGTGCTGACTGAAGGTACACTCTACTGAGAAGGTATGCATGTAACAACACAGCAAAAGAGATAACAGGTGTTAGAAAGAAAAAGAAATTGGCAAATGCACGGGAAAAGTAGGACACGATTGCACAGTTGCCTAAGAAAGTAAGCAGACCGAAAAATGAATAAGAATATCAAGAAAAGTTCACCCTAAGGAAATGTATGCATGTAATTCCTGATATCCACAAATTAAAGATGAGACTGCATTTGAGTTCCTCAATAGAGTCACAGAAGTCATTGGAGGCGGCTGACCACCTTTAATTATTAGAGTCGGTGATAAGGCGCCGTTTCCAGAAACCTGAGCGTCATAACTGAAGGCGAATCGCGAGCAGCTTTCCCAATAAAACTAGAAGCAACAGCTTCTGCTCACCGGCATCTGTGCTTTTCAACACTGAACAAAACTTGTCACCCTAGGCAACATCGAAAGGAAAGGACATTTTTTAAAAAACTGTAAAGACAGAGAGAGAACGATCCTCATTAGCGAATGATAAGATTGTCTAACCAGCCCTTGAAGATCTGCATGTCTCTCAAATGCCCAGATGCATTGTGGGGGTTCCTGCCTACAGAAAGAAGCATGCCCCCACCCCCCATGTGGAATGAGACCTGGTCCTCTCACATCACCAGGGGTCAGAAGTGGAACAAAGGAAAGCCCAGTGGTTATTTCTGCAGGTAAATGGTAACCTGCTCTGGTCCGGAAAGCCTGTGGTGGTGTTAGCGTAATATTAATAAATATCAATATTAATAACACCCCTGTGGACAGATCACGAGAATTCTCGCTCCATCGTACACAGTGTTTTACAAAGTCTCACACTTTAAAAGGATATTAGCTTGTAAGAGCACGTAATACATAACTTCAAAATGCAACGGGTATGTAACTGTCAAGCGTGCCTTTAACATTTATGTAAAACGTTTTTTGACCTCGTTCAATAGAGACTTATCCGGCCACCGGGTAAAGCCAGCAATAAAACTACTGGTCCGCAACGTGTTAAAACTTGAGAACCAGCGGCTTTCCCATAACCAACAGTAGAGAGCGAGACATGTAGACAGACTGTTCTAGTCCAATCTCGATGCGCACACTCTGAGGCTTGGCCTTTATTCTACACAGATTGCAATGACAGATTAATCTATAGAAAGGAGAACATTAAAAAGACGAAGCCAAGTAGCCCAGCCGGTGTGGCTCAGTGGTTCAGCATTAACCCATGAACCAGGAGGTCACGGTTCGATTCCTGGTCAGGGCACACGCTGGGTTACAGGCTTAATCCTCAGTGTGTGTGTGTGTGTGTGTGTGTGTGTGTGTGTGTGTGTGTGTCGGGGGGCGGGGCGTGTGCAGGAGGCAGCTGGTCAGTGATTCTCTCTCATCATTGATGTTTCTCTCTCTCTCTCTCCCTCTCCCTTCCTCTCTGAAATTAGTAATAAAAACATATTTAAAAAAGACTAAACCAAGTAAACGATGCCAGGGAGCAGAAATGGGACAGAGACGCACAGAAGTGAAGGGGCTGCTCCCAGAGGCCTCCTGGGTACCAGGTCTCAGGGAAGCAGCCAATCGGGCCAGAGTTCAGACCCTTAAGAATCTCAAAGTTCACAAATAGCGAATGCTGTCCTGGTCACACCCTCAAGCTGACGCTTATCAACATGACCCAATAGATTTCACTTCATGCATTTCCCTGTCTAGTTCCCACTTAGATTAGTAGATAAGTAACCAAGTCCACAGACACACACACACACAGACACACACACACACACATACACATACACACAGACACACAGACACACACACACAGACACACAGACACACAGACACACACAGAGACACATACACAGACACACACAGACACACAGACACACACACAGACACACACAGAGACAGACACACACACAGACACACACACAGACACACACACAGAGACACACAGACACACACAGACACACACACACACACACAGACACACAGAGAGACACACACACACACACAGAGACACACAGACACACACAGACACACACAGACACAGACACACACACAGACACACACACAGACAGACACAGACACACACACACACACACAGAGACACACAGACACACACAGACACACACACACATACACACACAGACACACAGACAGACACAGACACACACAGACACACACACACAGAGACACACACACAGACACACACAGACACACACACATGCGCGCACACACACAGACACACACAGAGACACAGACACACACACACAGACACACACATACACACACACATACACACACATACACACATACAGACACACACAGAGACACACACACAGACACACACATACACACACACAGACACACACAGACAGACACACACACATACACACACACAGACACACACACAAACACACACATACACACAGACACACACACAGACACACACACACAGACACACACACACAGACACACACACACACATTAGGATCTGACCACTGTACTTACTTTTTTAGCACATCAAACATGCTCTTCTCTACATTTTCCAGCCACTGTTCCACAGCATTTCTTACACGAATTTTCCTGTAATTTAAGAAATAAGCATGTGGAGGTTACCTTTACTCCCGTTTCATTCCTGTGATAAGCTTGTAGACTAAGCCTCCTCTACTCATACCGCTCACAGGCCAAAGGACTCTAATTCTGTAACAGCTTTTGTTTTTCTAGATCTTAATTTGGAAAACTATTCAAAAAAAAAACCACCACCACCCCAAAACATATCACTTAGCTTTAGGAAATTCTAACATCAACACCATAAATTTGCAAAATGAACAGTCCCGTTAAATACGAATTTACAAAATAGGTAGGTTATATTACAAAGCAGTTTTGGATTCCTCGCTGGATTTTTGAAACACTAAGCCTAGATGAGGGGCCAGTGAGGGGTTTTGGTGGATGACAAGACTGGGGCACAGCATTTTTTCAAACCATGCACATCAGGAGCCCCAGGCCACGGCTGGCAGACTGGACCAGTGCAATGGAAGGAGAATCAGAAGGGGCAGCACCAACAACCCTAAGCAAGTTTCCTTCCTGCCTGTATTCAACTAATAAAATCTCGCGTTGGCTTTCAGGATCCTGTTACTCCATATAGACATGGAAGGGTAAAATTCCAGACAAGCATATTATCTTTGAAGAAATAGTTTGCTGCCTGGCCAGCGTGGCTCAGTGGTTGAGCATTGACCTACGAACCAGGAGGTCACGGTTTGGTTCCCGGTCAGTGCACAGGCCGGGGTTGTGGGCTCGATCCCCAATAGGGCGCGTGCAGGAGGCAGCCGATCAATGGTTTTTCTCATCGTTGATGTTTCTCTCTCTCCCTCTCCCTTCCTCTCTCTGTAATCAATAAAAAGTATGTATGTATGTATTTATTTTATTATTCTTTTTTATTATATCCTTATTGATTTCAGAGAGAAAGGGGAAGGGAAAGAGAGAGAGAAACATCAATGATGACAGAGAATCATTGATCGGCTGCCTCCTGCATGTCTCCTACTGGGGATCAAGCCTGCAACCCAGGCATGTGCCCTTGACCGGAATCGAACCTGGGACCCTTCAGTCCGCAGGCTGACGCTCTATCCACTGAGCCAAACCAATGAGGGCAGTATGTATTTTTTTAAAAGAAGTAGTTTGCTTAGCCAACTTCTACGATCCATCAGAAATCGCCAAGCGGAGGTTGTGCAACGTAAAGGTCCTACTTGGGCAGCAACAGGGCCTCCCCTTCGTTGGAGATGAGCATTATCACGGTGGGAGGGCCGATTTCCTGCTTCCAGATCAGCAGCTGCTTGATGTTCTCAAAGCATTTCACCAGGTGGGGCTGTGGACCAGAAACCAGCATCAGTAGCAGCAGAGCCCCCCCTCCCGCCCCCCATCCCCCGCAGCTTTTGGGGATAAGGCTGGGGAGCAGAGGACAGTGGTCTCACCTGGACGGACTCGGGGTCGCTGCTCCCCGCCAGGATCGCGAGAAGTTCCTCGTTGCTAAGGAAGTAGAATCTTGGGAAAATCATCCTTTTAACTTCAAGGTAGTCCTGTCCAGAACCAAAAGAAGTGCAATTCAGAATATGTGTCATCAGGATATGAATCCCGTTGGGCCTCCCTGGGCACACAAAAGCCACAATGTTAAAACTGCAGGTGCCCTGGCCAGTGTGGCTCAGTGGATAGAGCGTCGACCTGCGGACTGAAGGGTCCCGGGTTCGATTCCGGTCAAGGGCATGTATCCTCAGTTGCAGGATCCTCCCCGGCCAGAGCCCTGTTTGGGGCGCGTGCAGGTAGGCACTTAAAAATGTGAGACTTTGCTGAGGGTCATTTAGATTGGTCCATGCACTTCTCTTCCCTTTCTCTATACTGTTTGTTTTATTTAAAGATATTTTTATTGATTTCAGAGAGGAAAGGAGAGGGAGAGAGAGAGAGAGAGAGAGATAGAAACATCAATGATGAGAGAGAATCATTGATCGGCTGCCTCCTGCACGCCCCCGACTGGGGATGGAGCCTGCAACCCAGGCATGCGCCCTTGACCGGAATCGAACCTAGGACCCTTCCGTCCGTAGGCCAACGCTCTATCCACTGAGCCACACCGGCTGGGGCTCTCTATAGTGTTTGCATGAGCCCGACAGATGGTGAGCGTTGGAAATACCGTTGGGAGGTTAGAGCAACCAAGAAAACCTGCCCTGGGGTTGGACTGCGTGGTGCGTTACACGGCAGGGTGTGAGCTGAACGGCTGCGCAGTCTAGGACCTCGGCGGCGTTACCTCCAGTCTTTTCTTTATACGTTCGAGAGAGACGTTACAGTTTCTCAGGATCCCGAGGACGCCCGAGGAGATGGCTATGCCCAACGCATTCAGCTTGTTTTGGATTTTTAGCATGATCTCCTTCCACATGTCCATCACCTGAGAGAAGAGTTCTGATTCTGCTGGGAGCTGCCTGCAAAAAGAAAATTGGGGATCGTTTTATTTTTTGAAGAAATGATCATTTTTTACAGAGAGGAAGGGAGAGGGAGAGGGAGTTAGAAACATCCATCGATCAGCTGCCTCCTGCACACCCCCCACTGGGGATGTGCCCGCAACCAAGGTACATGCCCTTGGCCAGAATCGAACCTGGGACCCTTGAGTCCACAGGCCGACGCTCTATTCACTGAGCCAAACCAGTCAGGGCAAGAAATGATCATTAAAATCTGCCAGCTCAGTGCATCTGCCACCCAATAGTGTTCAATTTACAAAATGTTTTGCTCCGTTATATTTTTGCTGATCGAGCATTAACTAAAGTTTGTTTGTGTGGGTTTTTTTAGTGTCTGTTGTGTACTAGTGGTAGGAAATACTACCATACATTGGCTATCCAGCCATCATTTAACAAGATCAGGCCTAACGAGGGGTATAAGCTTGAGATATAAAAGTTCTACATAGAGTGTGTGGAAGTGATTTCTGTCCGAGGGCTTGGAATAAAACAAAGGGCTACTAAAATTCGGCCCTGGCTGGTTTGGCTCAGTGGATAGTGCATCGGCCCATCATCTTTCTCTGTGAGTCGAAGGCGGGTCTATTCCAGACCCACTTTTTCCGTTCTTTACAGCCATGGCAAAGGGGCCTTTAGGCAGAAGCCCTGTTTTCAGCCTGCTAGCCAATCCTGTAAAAGAACAACTTGGTGATATTCTGAAATCCCTTACCTAGGAGTCTTCCCTCTCATTAAGAAATGTTTCGTAAAAGGTAGCATTAAGGTTTGCATTTCAGGCACTGAGTTGTCGTGACTATAAAGGACATACCCCTTAGTTATGTGGCTTCACCTTCTCAGAGCACTTTGAGAATAAGTGTAGACTAACAGAGTCTAAAGCAGTGATGGCGAACCTGTGACACGCGTGTCAGAGGTGACATGCGAACTCATTGTTTTGGTTGATTTTTCTTTGTTCAATGGTATTTAAATATATAAAATAAATATCAGAAATATAAGTCTTTGTTTTACTATAGTTGCAAAGATAAAAAAATTTCTCTATGTCACACAGCACCAGAGTTAACTTAGGGTTTTTCAAAATGCTGACACGCCGAGCTCAAAAGGTTCGCCATCACTGGTCTAAAGCATTCATATGGTAAGAACTATATACATACAACAAAAAGGGGTAGTTTCCTACGAAGTAATGCATCTAAACATTTCTCTTTTGTTAACCCCTAGGAGCTCCCCTATGCATCTAAAATAAAGCTCAAAATACTTAACCTGATATTCAAGGTTTTCTATCATCTGCTCTAATATGTCTTATAAACATACACCTCATCACTTTCTACCTTATTTCAGAATGGCCCCTAGACTAGCTTGTGTGATGTCCACTGTTTAAATTCTGCCTCGATAATACATATGTCTCAACTTAAGCACTCTTAAGACCAATCAGCTACAAAGAGACCAGTTAATTCCAATGCTAGGAATAGAGAGAGATGGTCAAATTTTCAACATTGTCTAGGTCAGTGGTTCTCAACCTTGGCTGCACATTAGAATCACCTGGGAATCTTTTTAAAATCCTGATTTCTGGGCCTCATCCTCCGGAAATTCTGTTTCTTTGTTACTCATGTTGTGGCCTCACCCCAAAACACAGAAACAGAATTTCTGGAGGATAAGGCCCAGAAATCAGGATTTTAAAAAGATTCCCAGGTGATTCTAATGTGCAGCCAAGGTTGAGAACCACTGGTCTAGGTCCTTTATTCTTTCACGTGGTCCAGAGGAAGAAATTATCATTTTTGTATGCATGGTACTAAAAACACGCTTACTGTTTACATCAAAACCACACTATAGCCTGGCCAGTGTGGCTCAGTGGTTGAGCGTCAGCCTATAAACCTGGAGGCCACTGTTCAATTCCCGGTCAGGGCACATGCCCAGGTTGCAGGTTCGATCCCCAGTGTGGGGTGTGCAGGAGGCAGCCGATCAATGATTCCTTCTCATCACTGATGTTTCTCTCTCTCTCTTCCTCTCCCTTCCTCTCTGACATCAATAAAAATGTTTTTTAAAGAACCACACTAATAAAGAGACACATATTGTCGCTTGGAGATTATAATGATGTATCTGACATTTCTTCCCTGTCCTTAAATAGCTCCCTATCAACAACTGAGAAATAAGGCTTTAAAAAAATGATATTTTCGATTTTTTATGAAGGAAAAAATATAACAATCATTCGGCAGCGAGAGTGTTCATTGAAGAAATGGTTTCTCAAGAATCACAGAGAATCAATTATCCACGATGATTTTTTTTGTACCTGTATGTGGCATATTTCAAGTTTTTACCTTTTTACCTCCAAAGAATTGAAGACGGGTTCAAGGTAAAGCCAAGATCGCTGGCAGTTCACCCACTCCTCCAGGGTGTACGAGAAGAGAGTCAACTTTTGATCCCATTTATCCACAAGACCCTACAAGGACAGAAACCGAAATCTAAATGGAAAACTACTTGTAAGAATCATAGAATAGAAACTGCGCACAAATCTGATTATTAGTCACTGACAGACAGGAAGTAATGGATGGAGGTCTGTACACGAATATAAATCTCATTATATTTAGTATTGGGGGAGGTGTGAGGTGTCCTACTCATTCAATTTTCTGCCTTATTCATTATGCAATATACAGATCTTTTTTGGCATGTATATTCTTTCATTCCTTTCTTTAAACATTGTTGCACATGTGTACATAATGCATATAACGTCTTTAATAATTTACATAAATGCAATCATTTTATATGCATTGTTCTGTGGCTGGCTTTTTTTTTTTTAACCTGTGTTTTAGAGAAGTTTTATACCAAGTGCTTGTAAGTTTTCTTCATTCTTTTAATATCAGAAAACTTCCATTAGTAATAAAGGCATTTAGTGCTCTAAATATTCCTTTTTTAGGGCTCTAGTCAACTGCCAAAGGTTTGATTTATAATTCTCTCCTTTTTGCTTATTTTCAATTAAAAATTTGATTACATTTCCTATATATTCTTCTAGTTGCTTTAAAATTCCCATTTTTTGTGAGTGGTTTGGTTGTTCTCTATTTCTTTGCAACTTTTCTACTGTTCAGTTTTTATTTTACTGCACATGGTTAGAGAACAGTTTATGTGATTTAACTTTTTTTGGGGGGGGGGGTTAATTCACCTAGTGTTTTTCTCTGAGGTCCAATTGACATTTTCCCTAAATGTTTGTATGTTTGCAAATACTATGAATTCCATCTGTTGAATAGATATTTCTCTCACACTATCTGTAATCAGTTTTGTTAATTTTACTAGGAAATGTTTCTAAATTGTTACACATCTCGTAGAGTTTCCTGAAGTTTAAATGATTCTCACCTATGTGGTTGGATGGAGGCTGCCCCGGAAGGGCTATCGGAGAACACCAAATACAAGCTCTGCGGTTTCATTTCAACTTACGCTAGAAGAGATGTGGAGGCTGCTGTTTGGGGCAGAGATCACTGCAGGAACACACAAGCATAAAGCCAGGATGGCCCTGTGTAAGAGCAATAGCCGGTGTGGCTCAATGGATAGCGCGGCGGCCTATGGACTGAAGGGTCCCAGGTTTGACTCCCTATCTGGGCACATGCTGGGTTGCAGGCTCGATCCCCACTAGGGGGCGTGCAGGAGGCAGCCGCTCAATGATTCTCTCCCATCACTGATGTTTCTCTCTCTCCCCCTCTCCCCGCCTCTCTGAAATCAATAAAAATACATTTTTTTTTTAAAAAAAAAGAGAAATAACACAGGAAATGAAAATGAGGCATTCCTCTCCAGCACGCAGATGACAGGGCAATGGTCCGGGCACGGGCACTGGGGGCCTGTGGGCATTGGCAGCGGCAGCGGCACTGCCGGGAACGTGCCGGCTTGCGGGCTCCTGTTTGCCTCTTGCCTAAATTCACCTCGTCTGCCCAAATGAAACGTTCTGACAATTCCTCATGAACGGCGAACGTTTCCATAAAAAGTTATTTTTTTTTTTAGTCTTTTATCCGCTATTCAATCCATTTTGATGTAAGTATTTCAATGCATTATTCAAACCCAAAGCTCCCAGATGGCAAAAATGTGAAGTGATCAACAAAAGGGTGGACGATGACCGCAGGTCCCCTTGGTCCCCACCACCTACCTTGATGGGCTCGCTATACGAGGACCCTTTCACGGTGGCGAGCACGACCTGCGACTCCTCCAACTGGGCGAGCAAGTCATCCAGAGACGAAATGATGAGGATCTCGTCCGTCTCCGTGTGATGAAGGACCAAGTGCAAAGGGGTCGTCTTCCAAAGGTCGATGATCTTAAACAGCAGCTTTTCAAGGGCAGCTTCGTGCGTGGCTGAGGTTGAGATTTCATTGATTTCATTTTCATACTGACACATCTGGGAGGGAAAGTCATGTTTTTTAAATGTCAGCGCAGATCATTCCGAATACATGGAAAACGGAAGACCGCCACGGACACGTGGTGGGCCAGCGGAAACAGTGAAGGTCGGGTGCGCTGGGGTTCCATCCCGACCACAGGCTGCGTGGCGGGACCTTTGTGACGCGCCCCCCTCCCCCCCATGTCCTCATTACAGCAAATCATTTTAGTAGATTAGAGGCATAAAATACTGTGACCGATTTCATTAGAGACTGTCAACACTGAATCACGAAACATCAATGAAGCTTATTGTGAGCCCGGCGCAAAAATAGAAAAACCTTCCACCAGACGTCCCATGAATTCCTCCCTTTTCTAACTCCCCATCCCTGTAGATGTACCTGCTCGCTTAAAATTAGCCCCGGTGGCATTTCAACCGTTTTTGTTGTATTCTGAACGCCTCTCGCTTACCTTGAGCACGAGAAGACTCTCGATGGTACAGTTTCTATCGAGGGTAATGGACTTCCCGATGATCTCCTGGAAAGCCTCCCAGTGCCGGGGCTTGAGGCAGGGGTTCCCCAGGGCGATGATGATGGGCAGCTCTTGCTTAAAGCCGGTCACCGACTGCTTCAGGAACGCTACCATGTTGTTCTGGGGCAAGTCTGTGAACAGCAATGGGTCGGTGGGCCGATGGCATGCTCACTGTATGTTTTAAACCAGACTGCGTTGATCAGTTACTCGTCTGTCTGCACTGAAACAGTGAGTTTTATTGCTATCATCCTCCCGTAAGACTGAACTATGGAGTAAAGAGAAAGGGCACTGCAGATCAGAGAACCAAGTTACCTTATGGCATTTGATGCTAGGGAAGCTGCTACAGGGTTCCGAGTGTCACTGACAAGACAGACAGACAGACAGACAGACAGGCACACGTTGGCATTCAAAAGACTGTAATAGGGCCCGGCCGGCGTGGCTCAGTGGTTGAGCATCGACCTACAAGCCAAGAAGCCACAGTTCGCTTCCTGGTGAAGGGCCCATCATTGACGTTTCCATCTCTCTCCCTCTCCCTGCCTCCCCGAAATCAATACATACATATTTTAAAAAAGAGACTGTAAAGGTTTGGAGCTTTTAAATCCTGCTCAGTAAGGAACAACATCACAGGGAAAAACAGAGTCACTATTTTTTCATAAGGAAGATACTTTAACACTGAAATGTAGGTGAAAGCTTTGCCATGGCACTGACACCACTGAGACACAAGACTCAAACCTGTGCAGGTGCAGGTTCGACCCTTAGAACTTTTTTTTTTACTGCCCCTTAAAAAGAACAGGGAGGGGCCCTGGCCGGTGTGGCTCAGTGGCTAGAGCACTGGCCTGTGGACTGCAAGGGTCCCAGGTTTGACTCCAGTCAAGGGCACATGCCCAGGTGGCAGGCTCGATCCCCAGTCGGCTGGCGTGCAGGAGGCAGCCGATCAATGATTCTCTCTCATCGTTGATGTTTCTCTCTCACTCTCTCTCCCTTCCTCTCTGAAATCAATAATAAAAAATATATGTATATAAAGAACAGGGAGGGGGCAGAGAAACAGCCAAAGCTGGGACCCATATTCTTAAATCTCCAATTTGTACAGCCGGGGCCTCTTTGATAAAGCCATGTTGAATAATGGCAATGTTGTTCAAGACGTGGCTAAATAAAAGGACAAGATAATAACTTTGGATTGTGCAACTCTAGACGCTGGCAAACAGACAGCAAGATGTCCCCTGGGAAGCCATGGGTAAAAGAAGGTGTGGCCCACTAGTTTTGTATCTTGTTCTCTGAACACACACAACAACATATGGAGCGAGGACGCCCGGGATGAGTGATCCGTGCACGCAGTGAGGCTGCAGGCCATGTGCTCCCAATTTCCCTCTCGACTACACTTTTGTGGCAGGGCTGTCTCTTTTGGAGAATTTAAATACAAGCAATCTGAAGTGTCTTTCTAGAGCAACGATGGCGAACCTATGACACGCGTGTCAGAGGTGACACGCAAACTCATTTTTTTGGTTGATTTTTCTTTGTTCAATGGCATTTAAATATATAAAATAAATATCAAAAGTATAAGTCTTTGTTTTACTATGGTTGCAAAGATCAAAACATTTCTCTATGTGACACGGCCCCAGAGTTAAGTTAGGGTTTTTCAAAATGCTGACACGCTGAGCTCAAAAGGTTCGCCATCGCTGGGCTAGAGTGTAGCTGAGAGGTGAGGGAGGGATTTAAAATTCTGCCTCGATTTCCCCTTCCCACGTGAAAGGCTTCCTTTGGGAGCGGGTAGGATAGCGCACCTGCTCGCACGGGCACAGCACCTCTGCACTGACCCATTTCCCTTGTGACGCTGAGCCGAGGGGACCCCCTCAAAGCCACTTTCAGCTGCGTCCCCACTGCCCAGAGGGCCTGCGATGTGGGTGCAGACCCCGCAGGTGGGCCCTTAGCATCCACCCAGCTCTGGCCCTAGGAAGAGCCGGAGTCCAGCGGGAAGTGTCTGGGGCCCGGCCTGGTTTAAAGGAGACGCAAACTGTTACTCATGACGTTAAGCAAATTTGGGGCCCAAGTCTCCATCTCTTTTTTTTTTTTTTAAATATATTTTATTGATTTTTTACAGAGATGTAGGGAGAGAGATAGAGAGTTAGAAACATCGATGAGAGAGAAACATTGATCAGCTGCCTCCTGCACATCTCCCACTGGGGATGTGCCCGCAACCCAGGTATATGCCCTTGACCGGAATCGAACCCGGGACCCTTCAGTCCGCAGGCCGACGCTCTGTCCACTGAGCCAAACCGGTTTCAGCTATCTCTTTTCTTTTGCTTCAGGAAATAATCCCACCTGTGCCCTGGGCTGTCTCTCCAGCCCTGAACGGTCAGGTCGTGGGGACTGGGAGAGAGAGGGTAACCTTGCTGACCCAGAGGGCATCTTAGATGTAACTCTGGGTGGGCCACCACGGGGAGGATGCGTTTACCTTTTTCCAGGACCAAGATCAGGCTCAGCCACTTGGACACATTGCTCTGCACCGATTCTATGTCAATGTCGTGAAGGGTGCTGGCCCGCCACTCCTGGAAGAGCGCTCTCCACTCCTCCTGCGCCTCCCACAGGATCTTCCTCAAGGTCAGCTCGTAGTCGATGTCGGAGATGTCGGCCGCCACCGCCTGGGTGAGCTCCTCCACGTTCAGCTGGTGCAGGTGCGACTGGGCCTCGCTGATGGACTCCTGGTAGTTGGTGCAGATCTGGACCTTGTTGGCGAGGGTGGCGGCTTCCTGGGAGAAGGCTTGGACCATTTCCATCGCAGTGGACACCGGGGTCCCCATGTGTAACAGGACAGGCGTCCTCACCTGGAAAAGAGCAGGGACACACGCCAAGAGGTCACAGCGCTTGGAAGGTGGCCACGCTCACGGACCGCGTCTCAGCACGCAGCCCAACGTCATGTGCAGCCACCATCTGGGGAGATTACCTTTAGCGTATAATTCCTTGTGTTGGTTACGATTCATTGTCATTATTTTTTTTAATATATTTTATTGATTTTTTACAGAGAGGATAGAGAGTTAGAAACATTGATGAGAGAGAAACATCGATCAGCTGCCTCCTGCACACCCCCTACTGGGGATGTGCCCGCAACCAAGGTGCATGCCCTTGACCGGAATCGAACCTGGGACCCTTCAGTCCGCAGGCCGATGCTCTAGCCACTGAGCCACACCGGTTAGGGCCATTGTCATGATTATTATTACCATCAGATCTATAATTTCCTGTGTAACTTCTCCATTTCAGGTGCTGTGGCAACACATTACCTTGCTTACGAAATCCATAAAACCATCTTCAAAGACAGTTACTAGTTTGTATAATTTTTCAAAGCACTTCTGAGGTTGTAAATCATTTTCCCGTCGTCAGATGGTAAGCGGCGGCGGTGCCGGGTGTGGCCCGCATTCCCGCTTCCTGACCCTGGTAAAGGGCGCCTCACTTTTATGATGCTTGGCACGTGTAGCCTCGTGTGAGAGTTTTATTCTTGCACAGGACATTGTGGGCATTTGCAACAAGGACATCCAAAGAGAGAGAGATGTGAGGAAAAGTTTCCTCCGATTTTCCTTAGTAAATGAACAACTTCTTAAGATTAAGGATAGTTTTATTGGTTTAGTCTTTGTATACCGTGCCATCAAAGGCAGGTGGGAGTTGTTTATTAAAATGTTCCTGAAAAAAACAAATTCATTTGGATCCTATCACCTTATTCTTTTGAAAAATCCAACCCATGGGACTGCATATCATACTGTGTTATGGGGAGTGTGGTCATCAAATCAACACTGAGAACACTGTAACAGTGAGTTGTATAAAACTGATAAACCATATATCTGTGAGAATGGATGAGGCTTAATATATAGTAATCTATCACAGCGATGCCTATATAAAATGGGTTGTAAGAAAAGTTTTCCTTAGCGAGCTTCTCCCATAATTTCCCACTCACTAATACTTATTTATAAACGAGTTATCTTGAGAGAGGAGTGAATACTTGAAGGACTAATCTTACTAGCTTACATGGAGTCAAGGCCAAGTTTTGCCTCTCCTACCAGCAGTCTTCAAACAGAGATCCTCCAAGAACGGTCGCAGTCAACAGTATGTACATGAAATAGTTTGAAAGGTTATACAATGGAAGTCAGATCTGGGCATCAACAGCCCCCCCCCCCCCCCCCGTCTCTCCCAATAAAACAGCTATCAACCCTGGACAGGCCCCAAGAGCAGCTACTGAGGAATCTGAGAGGACACAGTGAAGGCAGACTGAGGGAGAAGATGCTCATTTGAAATGCCACCGAATCGGCAGCGCGTCGACTATTTTTTCCTTCCAGGACCCCCTAGCACGGTTACTGGCGCTCAGTGAATGTTCGGTGTCTGACAGTTTGCTTCTCGTGATAAGTGAGGCTGGAACTACCATTACCACTGGACCTAGACCAGGGGTGGGGAACCTTTCTTCTGCCCAGGGCCATCTGGATGTTTGTAACATCATTCGCGGGCCGTACAAAACTCACTGCTGGTGGGAATGCAGCCGGGTGCAGCCACTACGGAAAAACAGGATGGGGTTTCCTCACACAATTAAACATGGAACTGCCATTTGACCCAGCGACCCCACTTCAAGGGAATATATCCTAAAAACCCCAAAACATACCAATCAGAAAGAATGTACGCATGCCTACGTGCATAGCAGCATTGCTCACAATAGCTGAGATCTGGAAACAGCCCACGTGCCCATCAGTAGATGAGTGGATAAAAAAGTGGTGGCACAGCGACACAACGGAATACTATGCAGCTGTTAAAAAGAGGGACCTCTTACCCTCTGAGACAGCATGGAGGGACCCTGGAGAGTATTATGCTAAGTGACACCGGTCAGTCAGAGAAAGACAAATATCACATGATCTCACTTATCTGTGGCTTCTAATGAACAAAACTAATGGGCCAACAAAACAAGACCCTAAGCATGGAGGCATGGAACAGACTGACATGCCTCCATGTGGGGGTGGGGGGATGAGGAGAGAGAAACCAAAGAACTTATCTGCTTATCCGCACAGCCCATGGAGAGGAGGAATAGGGGGGCGACGACCTGGGGGGAGCAGGGGGGAGGAGCTGGGCAGAGAGAGGTAAAGGGGAGGTGGAAATGGGAGGCATCTGTATTATTGTCAACAATAACATAAAAAATAGTAATCATTTTAAGAAATTAAACAAAAATTACCCTGCTATATTCAATCAAACATTTAACTAACTCACCCTTAATGCCTTGGCAGGACCAGACCAAATGATTTCACGGCCTCGGACGGCCCATAGGCCAGACGTGCCCCACCCCTGCCCGAGGCTAAGACCCAGGAGGATCTAAGGGTTTCTTTGCCCTTTTCAAGCCATGCCTTCCCCCTGCCCCCCGGCCCCCTCGGGCAGTCCGTTGAAGCCTGTGGTGAACCAGCTTTGCTGCTGTTTGCTGTCTACCTTCACTCACAATGGAAACACATTTCCATAATGGAAGCAAAATTTCAGTTGGAGGTTAGTGAGGACAGACACGCACTGTCACTGCCCGTTCAAGCTTCACGCGTCATCCAGAGTCTGTCTGTGGGTTCCAGGTGAGGGATCCGTGGATTAAATCACTGACCGAAGGGTCCACAGGAAAAAAACCACCGGCCTGCTTAGGCCGACCTGAGACCAAGACCTGGCTGACTTTTCACGGAACACGGAAACTTACTTTGGCCTTTAAATTACTGGCGTCGGTCCTCAGACTGGTGACGTAGGCTTCCAGGTTGTCTCGGAACTTGCCAATGGCAGCGTCCTTGTTCAGTTTGCTTAGCTTCACGGCGCTTTTCAGCTGAGTAAACCTGATGAGCAGCACTTTATGGGTGGCGACTTGCTCTTCTGAAATATAGACCTGGTAGTAGCTCAGAACGGAATACAGCTGAGCAATGGTTGAGTACTCTTTCTCCAACTGCGATATTCTGGAGGAAATTGCATCCAGAAAAGTAAAATGTTCCACAAATTCTTCTATTTCAATGGGATGACACTCCAGTTTTTTCAACGATGAGTCTATAACCTGCAATCATGGACACGTCGATTAAAATTACATAATGATTTTTCGCTACTTTCGAGGAGTAATTACTCGTTTTTAATACCTCACACTAACTTACATAATTATAACTCTAGGGGAAAAATGAAGACATCATCTAGAACATTGATACCCAAACCAGATATGGACGGTTAAGGAAGAGAAAATTACAAAGCAATTTTGCTTCCAAGTATAATAAATGCAGAAATCTTAGAAATAATGTGTATGCAGCCTGGCTGGTGTGGCTCAGTGGTGAGCTTCAACCTATGAACCAGGAGGTCACGGTTCAATTCCTAGTCGGGTCACATGCCCGGGTTGCAGGCTTGATCCCCAGTGGGGGGGGGGGGGGAGGGGGCGTGCAGGAGGCAGCCAATTGATGATTCTCTCTCATCCTTGATGTTTCTCTCCCTGCCTCCCCCTTCCTCTCTGAAATCAGTAAAAACATATTTTAAAAAGTAATAATAATGTACAGGTATGTGCCTGTGCGTGCTGGCAATCTACGTCTATCAATTTGGATGCGAGATTAACCTTAGAAAGTCCATTAAGGCAATTACCCAGGTTAAAAGATGAAAGAAAAGCAACCATGATCACCGCAGTAGCTGCGGAATAAGCATTTGATAAGATTCGCTTATGATATAAAAAAATTCTACTATATTCCTTTCAAAATAAGGGAATTCCCTTAATTATGTAAAGGAAAGCTACCCAAAGCCTCAGGAAACAAAAATGCCTTTGGGGGATGCAGCAGCCAGGAAGAGAATGAACCAGCAGAACTCTCAGAACAGGTTCCCCAAGCTGCTTTGAGCCCATCCCGTGTTTAGTAATTTCTGATGAAAAGCGAGGCATTGCTGATGCTGCATGTCGCAGAGGTCTGATTCTTGCTGCAGTTATTTCAAGGGTTCGGTCCCTCATTTGGTGAGGGGGTTGTTTGCACATCTTTTTGCAGTTTGCTCCCTTGGGGGCCTCGTTTTCACCTTTGCATTTAGAATGCAGACCCCTTCAGTGACCAGCTCCATTGCTGAGGCGAAACCCTCTAGGCCAGGGGTCCTCAAACTTTTTCATCAGGGGTCCAGTTCACTGTCCCTCAGACCGCTGGAGGGCCGGACTATAGTTTAAAAAAAAAACAAACTATGAACAAATTCCTATGCACACTGCACATATCTTATTTTGAAGTAAAAAAACAAACGGGCCGTAGTTTGAGGACCCCTGCTCTAGGCTCTCCACTGAATACCCTCTCTGCCCACTGGGACCCTCCACTCTGACTGCCTGGGACTTGACTCGCAGGAGCTCTGGCCACTGTTCTGCTTACGGCTCTGGGGGTTTTAGCCCCTCTCTGTGGATTTGGCTCCAAGCCCAGACATGCTTGGTAGCTGCAGCTGGGAAAGAGTCCTGGGTCCTGAGATCCTCGTGCACTTTTCTGCTGTTTTATTTGTGTGTGCGTGCGTGCGTGTGTGTGTGTGTGTGTGTGTGTGCGTGCGTGCGTGCGTGCGTGCGTGCGTGTGTGTGTGTGTGTGTGTGTGTGTGTGTGTGTGTGTTTGGGCAATGGTGGTGGTTTTTGTTGTTTTGCTTTTCCTAGCTCCCTTCTTTGACTCTAAACATGAAAATTTTTATCCATCTCAACTCAGTGAGGCCACTGGGCTCTCTTCCGGTTCCTCCTCCCTGTACTTGTGGTCCAAAGCTTTCCTCCAGGTAGAAATCCCGTATGTTCATTTGCTTTCCTGGTCTCCAGGACCACAGTCCTACACTGCTGGTGATGCAGTACCTAGAAGTATTTCTCTCATTTGTTTGCTTCCGTCTTCTGTTCTCTGTATAGCGGGAAGTGAAATTAAGTCTAGTCCTGTTTCTCTATCATGACTACAGCAGAGCTTTTGAGCTCCAGCAGGCTCACACCATCACCAGAGCTCGAAAACATTATACTCTGATTCATTTCTGCGGAATTCAAATCTTTAAAAACTCGATGAAGATGACCTTAAGTGTCACATAAAAATGTTTTTAATCGAAGAGACATATCGGTAGTTTAGTAACGATCTAGAACTAAAAGTACTAAGTCACCTCCGTGAAGACTAAACGCTGGTGGAGGGTAGGAGTGGGGAGTTCAACTGTCCCAACATCTCATTTTCAAAGGAGGGGAGAACTAGGGAACGACACCGTCCTACATACCTCACCTCACTGGGGCAGTCAGTGCACAGGTTCGGGAGGCTGGACAGGCAGATGTGTTTGTTATGCAGTAGCAAAGTATCTGGCCACAATGGTCCCTGGGACTTAGAAAATGTGCCAACCCAGGCTGTAGCATTAGGGTAAATAGTAGGACAACTTTTGCATCGTATCCTGGGTCCTCTTTGTGCTCCGAGCGAAATCCTACGAGAGATGAACTCGGGCTGGGCCCAGACTGAGGGGGAATGAAGCTGGATGAGAAAATTCTTCTCTGCCTTTGGCAGGGAGCTGACTTCAAAGGCCGGTGAGGGCGAGCCAGCAACTGTTTCTGTGCTCAAAGCAGGAGCCTGAGCAGGCGACAAGACGAGGGCCCTGGCTTTTCATAAAGAGCCTTCCCTGGGTTTTCTCAGACAGCTCACTGGCAAGGTCTATTTAGGAAGTCACCTTCCCTCCCAAGTCTGAGCAGCAAATGAGCGGTCACACGTTTAAGGCTGGCAGGGAGGTATAGCGCGCAGGGCCGGCAGCTCAACGGCAAAGCGCTCAGGCCTAAAAACCGTGTCCAGGCTTCAGCGCTGATGAAACCAGGAGCAAGTTGAACGTCTCTTTTTAAGCAGCAGCTGAAGCCCAATCACCAGGGCCATTTCCTAAGGCATCCCCAGCCCTCCAAGCTCATCCCTGCAGATAATGCACCGCTGCACCTGCCCGGGGCCCAAGAAGCACAACCCTCCGATGCCAGGCCCGGCCGAGGTCCAGAACAGTAACCCAGGGGATCGTCATTCAGGGCATGACCGGGGGTCACAGGGGACAGAGGGCGAGGGACGCGGCCCCAGAGACCTGAGCCAGAGGCCGCCGAGACCGACCAACCAAACAGCTTACTCGACGGCCCAGGGCGATGCTCGTTTTTCTGCCCAGCGAACTCTGACGCCTGATCGAGAACACTCTAGATCGGGGGTCCTCAGACTACGGCCCGCGGGCCACATGCAAATACAAATATTGTATTTGTTCCCGTTTTGTTTTTTTTTACTTCAAAATAAGCTATGTGCAGTGTGCAGAGGAATTTGTTCATAGTTTTTTTTTTAAACTATAGTCCGGCCCTCCAACGGTCTGAGGGACAGTGAACTGGCCCCCTGTTTAAAAGGTTTGAGGACCCCTGCTAGATGTCTGTTTCCCCATTTTCTCCTTAAAAGGGTGGGACTTTTTATCGCCCCTGCCCTGTTCCTTCTCTACCACTTTATGATGGGCAAACGGGGCTTAGAGTTCTTCTTTTATGAATAGGTCACATTAGGTGCCACTCTCGCACTTGACAGAGAACTGGACTAGCACATGACCGGCCCAAAGATGATAATGTACAACGGGGCTCCGCCTGCCTCCCCCGGCCCCGGCTCTGCCGAGTGCGAGCCAAGTGCCTCGGGGGCAGGAGCCGTTATCAAGGGGCTCGGAGCAGAAAGGAGGAAGGATCCTGGTTCTCTGCCTGCATCACAGCTACGGTACCAGCCCTGGCTGACCAGCGTGTATGCTTCCGCATGAGACAAATAAACCCCTGGTTTCATACACAGTGTTTTTGGGGTGTCCTCGCACTTGTTGGGAAATGGGACCTAAATTAAACAGAGTCATTTTTTTTTTATGTTACAGGATTCCTGTGGATCTAAATCTTTAAGGTGTATTTCATTACGGACAGCACACAATACTGTTCATTGAATAGGCCCTTTGTAATCTTTTCTTCAACTGTTGCATTAACAATTCCTAAATGTTCTCTCCTTCTCAAAATACTCCCTTTCTCTCTTTGATTTCTTTGGTTACCCCTTTGGTATACTTGTGAGCTCTTCCTCTAGCCATCTCCCAAATGTTGATATTCGTCAGGCTTCTGTTCTTTTCTATTTTTTTTTTTTTTAGAAAAATATACTTTTATTGATTTCAGAGAAGAAGGGAGAGGAAGAGAGAGAGACATCAATGATGAGAGAGAGTCATTAATTGGCTGCTTCTTGCACACAACCTGGGCATGTGCCCTGACCGGGAATCGAACCGTGACCACCTGGTTCATAGATCCGTGATCAACCACTGAGCAACCCTGGCCGGGGCTGTTCTTTTCTATTGTCACCATACACACAGACAAGGGCATTCTCATTCACTTCGATGATTTCAATGACAATACGCATGCTGCTCATTTAAATATCTATTTCCAGTCTAGACTCTGTCCTGAGACCCAGACGGGCGTACCTGAGTCTCTCTACTTGAATATCACACAGTCGAACACGCACGGCGTTCCCTCGCCCAGTGAGTAAGACCACTACCCATGCTGTGGCCTCCCCCCCAAGACCCAAAAGCATCAGTCCCTGCTCTTTCATTCTTTCCATGGTGCCATTCACTATACCCTACTGATTCCATCTCTTAGATAAATCTCAAACCCATACGCTTTTCAGCCTGCACCCTGCGACTTCCCTGGCTCAAGGTATCCTCATGTCTCCCCTCAATGACAGAAACAGCGTTCCCCCTGAATTGTCCCACCTGCCTCTGTTCTCCACTCTGCAGCCAGAGTGGCCCTCACACAAACTCAAACAGCCCCTTCCTCGCCCCGCCTCACCCCGTGCCCGGCTCCCGACAGGGAGAGGAGGCAGAAAGCCACGCGGGCTACCATTCCAGGGAAGGTTTCCCCGGGGAACGGACGCCTGATCAAAGACCCGGACCCAGAAAACGCATGTCGGCATTTTTCTGAGGGTCACAGTCATCGGACGTGCTTTCTAAGGACCTATTTTATGAAATGATAACCGACTCATCTTGCAGGGTCTCCAGCGGGAGGCGTTTCCCAAGCACTTACTTCCAGGAGATGCGTGTTCTTCCTCTCGATGACGGACCGCAGGAGGGCCTGGCTGGTCTGCAGGATGTCCTGCACGTGCGGCAAGCACTCCGACTGGTAGTCGGCGCTGACCACGTTGAAGATGCCGATGCGCTTCTCCGTGACCATACTGACCACCTCTCGGAGGTAGTGGAGGAACTTGCCCAGGATGGTCCTGAACTCCGCGGAGGTCAGCTCTTCCACCAGGGCTATTTTCATACTCGTGACTTTGGCCCGCTCGACCATCACGCAGTATTTTATGAACCTGCGGCTGTAACCGTCCACCAGGTTCATCGAATTGCCCAGGATGGTCAGGAGACACACAATCTGTAAATAAAAACGTGACAGCATGTGACTTGGGGAGTGAAGAGAGCATGGCCCGATGTACTCGTAATTCTGTGAAAAACATGCAAAACAGCAGTGATCTGTCCAATTCATGTCATTAGAAACCTCTACTAAATAAATATGTTGGAAACATAAGACTAAGACATTCACAGCACTTTTTTAAAAATATATTTTATTGATTTTTTTTTTTTTTTTAACAGAGAGGAAAGGAGAGGGATAGAGAGTTAGAAACATCGATGAGAGAGAAACATCCATCAGCTGCCTCCTGCACACCCCCTACTGGGGATGTGCCCGCAACCCAGGTACATGCCCTTGACCGGAATTGAACCTGGGACCCTTCAGTCCGCAGGCCGATGCTCTATCCACTGAGCCACACCGGTTAGGGCTCACATCACTTTTTTATATTTGGCATTTATGTAAAGGTACACAAGGCGATTGAACTATACAGTTAGCATCTACTAGAGACACCAACCGGTTATTTCTTTGCTGGTCACCGGGGTTTAGTTTATGTGCTCTATGCCCTAGGAAAGGCCAGTCCTAGCCCTGGTCGGTTTGTTCAGTGGTCAGAGCGTCAGCCCATGCACTAAAGGGTTGCAGGTTCGATTCCCGGTCAAGGGCATGCACCTTGGTTGCAGGTTTGATCCCTGGCCCCGGTCAGGGCACGTGAGGAAGGCAACCAATCGATATGTCTCTCACATCGATGTTTCTCTCTCTCTCTCTCTTTCTCTCTCTCTCTCTCTCTCTCTCTCTCTCTCTCTCTCTCTCTCTCTCTCTTTCTCTCTTCCCCCCCCCTTTGCCCTCCCTCCATTTTACTCTTCCTTTGGGTGAGAATTACAAAAAAAAAAGAAAGGCCAGTTCTATATACTATGTGACATTACCCAATTCCTAAAACACGGCTACTCTGGATAGGGTAGAATCCTGATCCAAGCTAAAACCATTACAGTCTCTCATCAATTTGAACAAAAAATACGCAGTTTGCCCTGGCCGGTTTGGCTCACTGGATGGAGCATCGGCCTGGGGACTGAAGGGTCCCGGGTTCGATTCCAGTCGGGGGCATGTACCTTCGTTGCAGGCACATCCCCAGTGAGGGGTGTGCAGGAGGCAGCTGGTCGATGCTTCTCTCTCATCGATGTTTCTAGCTCTCTATCCCTCTCCCTTCCTCTCTGTAAAAAAATCAATAAAATATATATTTTTAAAAAAATACCCAGTTAGATGGTAGTGGGAAAAGCCAGGGTCATGGCAAGTCAACAAAACAGCAAGACAATATTCAGAGGGGACCATGAAAGAGAAAGCCCATTCTCAGAGGTTTGTTGGGGAATAAAAAGTGAACAGAGGTGAAATATCATGAGGAAGAAGAAAATGGGAAGGATTTTCCAATCAATGAAAAATTATCGTATAATTTATAACAAGTCCCTTTCATCTAAGAACGTCAGTGGGTTTCTGGTCATTAAGCCAAATATTCCCCAAGGCACACTGTGTTTAAACTTACTTTATTTTGGTAGGCAGGGTCCATTTCAAACAGGATCTGACAATCTGGCCATGTGGCTTGCTCCTCAGCATCTGTGCCACTTTCTGTCGCATTCAATAAATCCGGATCAGTAAAATCAGACAAGCGGGGATCTTGGTCAAGAGGAATAATTTGGGCTAAAATATAGGAGTAAAAAGTTAATATTTTCCGAAGTCCTGACACCATATAATTACCCATGAGATCTAGAACTACTGATAACTGAAACTGGTTTATCATGGGGACTAGACAGTACAAATGGGACTTAAAGGCAGGTGTAAAAGTTGGGGTTTAATATTAGGGGAACAAAAGAACCACTCACAGGTAATTGGTGGTAGCGCGACGAGGCATGATTAAAACAGAAACTGAGAATAAGCCATTAAGTCGAACGACCCTTTCACAGGGGTCGCCTAAGACCATCGGAAAACACATCTATAATGACATATTGGTTTTGTGATGAATCACTATGCTTTAATGATGTTCAATGTGTAACAATGAAATTACATCCTGCATATCAGATATTTACATGACGATTCATAGCAGCAGCAACATGACAGTGATGAAGTAGCAACGAAAATAAGTTTATGGTTGGGGGTCACCACGACATGAGGAACTGTATTAAAGGGTCGTGGCATGAGGAAGGTTGAGAACCACCGCATCAAGTTAACAATGATTTGACGTGGATATGCTATGCGAAGACCATTATACCAATGTGCGGATACAAAGAGTAGAAGACACAGCCCCTGCTAGCAGTGAGTTCGTAATCTAGCTGCACGCCTGGATGTCCACAGGCAAAAAAATAACTTGCACCTACACTTTGCACATTAGAAAGTATCAACTCAAGATGAATCGTATCCCTGAGAATAAAACACACATCTATAAACCTTCCAGGAGAAAATGTAGGAAAGATCGGTGTGACCTTGAGTTAGAGAGTTTTTAGACATAAAATCGAAAGTATAATCTATGAAGACAAAACAATTGGTAAGCTGTACTTGATCAAAATTAAGGAGTTTAGCTCTGTGAGAAAGAAGTGAAAAGGTAAGGCACATTTTGCAAATCTTATAACGAATCAAGAACTTGTATCGGGAGTACATATAAAGACCTCCCCCCACTCAACAGCAAGGACAATGAGACACTGGATTCCTGAGCTTACAAAAGGAAATCAAGCAATGCATTGAAGCCCGGCCGGTGCGGCTCAGTGGTTGAGCGTTGACCTATGAACCAGGAGGTCAAGGTTAAATTCCCGGTCAGGGCACATGCCAGAGTTGCAGGCTCAACCCCCAGTAGGGGGCGTGCCGGAGGCAGCCGATCAATGCTTCTCTCTTATCACTGATGTTTCTCTCCCTCTCCCTTCTTCTCTGAAATAAAAAAAAATATATTTTTAAAAAACAAACAGTGAATTGGATACCAGTCTAGAAAAAGGGACCTCTGAACTCAGCAAACTACGGTGATGTGGTTGGAGAACGATGCTGCGTTCAAGGAGCCACAGCGGGTCCTGGTGTTCCAGGATCAACTGAGACTGTGGAGAAGGGATCAATTCGTGGGTCAGGCTGGTGACTGCCATGTCATGTCAGATTGTGTACACCCAGCTGGAACAGCATTAATAAAAATCTATTTAAGCCCTGGCCAGTGTTGCTCAGTGGATAGAGCGCCGGCCCGCACACTGAAGGGTCTCGGGTTCGATTCCCGGGTCGAGGGCAGGTACCTGGGTTGCAGGTTTGATCCCAGGCCCTGGTCGCGGCGCATACAAGAGGCAACCAATCAACGTGTCTCTTTCACCTCTCTCCCTCTCTCTCCCTCTCTCTCTCTCTCTCCTTTCTCTCTCTGCCCCCTCTTTTCCACTCTCTCTGAAAGCAATGGAGACTGTCCTCAGGTGAAGATTAACAACAACAAAAAATCTATTTAAGGTGGAAACAATACCTTTGTTTTTGGTGATATAGAAGATATTACTTAAGTCTCAAAATTCTGTAGTACATTATTGAGAAAAAATAAATCCAAGCCTCCACTATTTTCCTGATGCTATGGTTGTGTGTACAATTCCCACATGCTCAAATAATTTCAAATTCACATCGATTGATCCCAAAGAGTGTGAATCCATGATCTCTAAGATGCCGTAAGGTCTGCCACAAACCTGGGGAAAAGCTCCCAATCCCTACATTTAAGAAAATATTGCTGAAGGGTACAGTGTATCTAATGAAACACTTAAAATACTTACTTATGCATTTCTCAAGATCAGCCAGCATAGTCTGAATTTTTATTGAAAAGTCCAGTCTGTTGGGAGCAATTAAGAGATTCGTAGGGAATTCTAAAAATCTACGAGAGAAAACGATGAGAGCGAATTTCAACGCGACGCCGGAACGAAACGCCAAGTCTCATTCCTTGTAATTTCAGAAGCGTGTGCTACTTACTCATCGTTCTCGGTTTTATTATCGAAATCATCCATGGCTTCTATATCTATGAGCATCCATTGAAAGAAAAGAGAAGAAAAAAATCGATTGATATTTCTATTGGCTAAAGGACAAGCTGCTATGTTATCAGTGCTTCCCAAACACCCTAAGAATCACCTGGAAAGGCAGCGTCCAGCCAGCAACCCCCCTCCTCCCCCCCAAATCTGATTAAGGAGGTCTCAGATGGAGGCCGAGAGTGTGCATGTTAACGAGCACCCCAGGGGCTGTCCGTCCTCGTGAGGGGGGCTCCTCGGGCCCCCCTCAGCGACCAGTGGTATTAAGATTAAAAAAAATGGGTCATGGCGCTCCTGCTCGCATCCACCACAAATGGCCTGTTCCGTTTACATTTCCTTGGGGCCCCCTTCCTTCGGCATTGCTCAACATCACAATTTACTGAGCGATCATCCATAACGATGTATTTTTCTCTCCCTTGTGATGTCCCAGGTGCCAGGCTATTCCCTTTGTGCTTGCCCGTCTCATTCGTCTCACCTGAAAGGATGTCCACAAGGTTCAGCGTCGTGGGTCTCGGCCGCACGATTAGGAGCTCATCGCTTGAGGGTTTGACGCTGCTGACTTCACTCTCCGTTATTTCCTCCTCCTGGTACAGCACGGATTTCTCAGAGGACTGCTCCGACTCCTGGGAGCTCTCTCTGGAGCTGCTCGAAGAATCCCTCTCAGAAGGAATTCTCAAGTGTAGACTGACTTCAAATACCGGTGCGTATTTTGCCAGGTCCTTATCCAATTTAATGGAATTGAACACCTAATGTGACAGAGAGGTTACAGTTCTGGTGATAATATAGACGTAAAAGGACATTTAGCTAATACAGTCCTAAATTTTACATGATCAATAATAACTTCAGGTTAACCGAGTAACACTGTGTTGCCAGATAACTGCTATTTGCATGTTTTTTTTTTAAAAAAAAAAAGTAAGTGAATGAAAAAATAAATGAAATACTACAGTATTTTCCCCAAAACTGTATAAACCAGGGGTGGGCAAACTTTTTGACTCGAGGGCCACAATGGGTTCTTAAACTGGACCGGAGGGCCGGAACAAAAGCATGGATGGAGTGTTTGTGTGAACTAATATAAATTCAAAGTAAACATCATTACATAAAAGGGTACGGTCTTTTTTTTTTTTTTTTTTTTTTTAGTTTTATTCATTTCAAACGGGCCGGATCTGGCCCGCGGGCCGTAGTCTGCCCACGGCTGGTATAAACGGATACCAGAGTGGCCAAATATTAATCATTTTAGAGCTTAATAAATACAAATTCTTAGGCCCCATCACGAGAGATTTTGAGTTAAAGGGTGAGGGGTCAAGGCCAGGAATATGAATCACTTAAAAGCTGCCCTAACCGGTTTGGCTCAGTGGATAGAGCCTCGGCCTGCAGACTGAAAGGTCCCAGGTTCGATTCCGGTCAAGGGCACGTACCTTGGTTGTAGGCACATTTCCAGTGGGAGGTATGCAGGAGGCAGCTGATCGATGTTTCTCTCTCATCGATGTTTCTAACTCTATCCCTCTCCCTTCCTCTCTGTAAAAAAATCAATAAAATATATATATATATTTTTAAAAAAGCTGATCAGGTGATGCTAGTGGGCACTCAGGCTCAGGACGTACACATCAGGAATATATTTCACATTCATTGCCCCAGGTCATAGCTCTTCACTTTGACACACACATTAGTATAGGCATCCCCACCAAGAACCAGGAGGGTCTGAGGTATCGATATTGTATTCACACAATGTGACTGCTCTTCGGCTCTGTCTAGGCCCGAGTTCTCGATTGATTGATCCCTCATGTCCACGAAGTGACGGGTTGTGCTGGAGGGGTGTGTCTTGATGTAGGCACCGGAGTCACCTGCTAGAACCCCAACCTTTAGCTCCGGTTATGAACAAACAGAGGCAGCTAACGTGTAAAGAAACGCCACTGGCACCCGGTGAAGGTGCTGGGGAAAGAGCTTGGGTGGATGCGGACGGCGACCTGCAAGCCTTAAAAGTCCTACACGCACGGGGACAGAGTTCCTGTGAGGGAGGATGAGACAGTCCTGGAAGTGGGATGCGATGGTCGCACCGTACTGGGAACGCACCGATGCCACTGAATTGTCCGCTGACAAGTGGTTCAAGTGGCCCATTTTCTGCTGTTTTACCACAATAAAGAAGTCCACGCCGGCAATTCCAAACGAATAGATAAAGTGTTGCATCGCTTGCTCTGGAAAATGACCTCTGCCTGGTATTTTCATTAGCACTGCCCACTGGTCTACTTCAGTGCCTAATTCAGTGCCTGGTACATAGTAAGAACACAATAATGCATGAAGGGAAGTGTGAATATAGCTTTCTATAGTGGAAGCAGAGGTGTGTGTGTGTGTGTGTGTGTGTGTGTGTGTGCATTTGTGTGTGTGTTTTGGGTAAGAAATTGAGCATTAATCATAAATCACATTTTAATTTCCAAACTTATTTCACTTACTTTTCGCTTATTCGTTCATTAAAAATCTATGTTTATATTTTTCAAAGACCACTTACCTCATTAATATCAGCTTCTGCTTTTAAGTCCGACTTTGGAACAGAAGTAGCATATATGTTTGAATTAATAACAAGTTCTTCATAATCATTTGTTATCCTTCCAGTAAGAGCAAAGATATCCTTGTATGTTCTAGATTAAGAAATGGGAAGCAAAAATGCAGTCTTTTAAATTCTTGTTATCTTGTTAATATCCACAAAACATAACTAGACATTCCCCCAAAGAAATATGGCCAATAAGCATGCAAAAATATGCTTAGCATCACTAATCGTTAGGGAATTACAAATCGAAACCATAACAAGATATCCCTTCATACCAATTAGGCTGGGTATTACTATTTAAAAAGGAAAATAGTAGTGTTGGTGAGGTAGAAGCCTGGTGCTTTGCTGGTGGAAATTAAAATGTTGCAGCTTCGCCCAGCTGGCGTGGCTCAATAGCCAAGAGGCTAACCCAACTACCATCAATAGATGAACAAACAAACAAACAAAACATCGTATATCTACACAAGGGAATATTATACACCCTTAAAAAGGAAATTCTGTTACATGCAACATCACGGATGAGCCTTAAACACACGGTGCTAAATGAAATAGGGCAAACGCAAAAGATAAATATTGTATGATTCCACTTATCTGAGGTACTCAGAATAGCAAGTTCCTAGTCACCGAAAGGACAACAGAGGTTACAAGGGCTTGGGGGGGGGGTGTACACATAGAGCAAGGAGTGACTGTTTAATGGGTGCAGAGACTCATAAAATTTAAGAATGGGATAATGAAAAAGTTCTGGAAATGAATACGTTGATGGTTGCACAAGACTGAATGTACTTAATGCCGCTGAATTACATATTTAAAAATGGTAAGTTTTGTTATATTTCACTACCATGAAAAATTCGTATGTCTCATTTAAGCAGAATTGACCCAAATTCCAATGGAAGCTTATGGTTTCCTTCTTGAATCACCCTGATATCTTTAAGAACTAAACTTTGAATTAGCCCTATACACAGAATTTCCAGAGTTAGCAAATAAAAGTACAAAACACCCAGTTGAACTGGAATTTCAAACAAACAATAATTTTTAGGATAGGTAATATTTGAGACATACTAAAAAATTATTACATATCTGAATTTCAAATTGTACTGGCCAGCCCATATTTTATATGGCCATCAGACATATGCAGAATTTTGAAGAAATATTGGAAACTTTTCTTAAATGTTATGGACAGTATTAAGCAAAGTTTTGCCAGGTAATTGTAAAAATGGAGCACATACAATTTGCTATAAGAAGAATTTTCAAATTCTCACTTCAACTATAGGCTATTTCCTCTACCATGGACAACCAATGTTTGCAACGCTATGATTACAAATTCCTTTTATCAGTAAAAAGAAAATATGATTTACTTGATTAGGTTCTCATTCCTTTTTTCCGCTGAAAATGGCATTCTAGCAGAACTATAAAATAATTCCAAAAGGAGAGTGACCGCAGTGTTCATCAGCTGGCGGATGAGCTCCTGAAATATGTAGTCAACCAGCATGAAAAACCTCAAAATTTTTTTTAATAAACGTCGATATACAGGCAGCTTGATATGTGGTCTGGCATCTTTAGAGAAGCTTGACTCAAAAAATTCTCTAATTTCTTCCTTTTCTGCCACCTACAATTCAATGAACACACATATATACTTAGTCGCACAAATATTTGCATTCTATACAACGCCTGGAATATTTCCTGTACGTGCAGCTAGGAAGTGCACAGTACTAGTTAGTTGCTAATTAACTAGTCCTTGGTCCCTCTACCGGCCCGTTTCCAACACTTTCTCCGGGGATGCGATTTGAAGCAAAGGCTTTAGTCAGTAACATACAAACTGATGCATTGCGAGGCTATCATGAAAGAGTTACCTTTAAAAGTGTACTTTTCATTTCTGCAATGGCTTTATCCCTGATATCCTCAAGTCGTTTGAATGTGCGGGAAGCTTGCTGTAACTGTTCCTCACAAAACTCATCCAGGGAGTATGTCCGAGACTTATTCAGCTAAAGGATGATAAATGTTGAAAAATGTCAAAATTTGTCCAAAATGTCAAAAATGATAAATGTTGCAAAATCAAAATTCATTTGAGAGAGAGAGAGAGAGTGGGGGGGGGGGGGAGAAAAACATTTTGGCCATCTTCTCATATCATAACGAGCATATTTTATATTTTCATTTGTAGGTTTTGCTTATACACTATATGCCTTATATGTTTTTCCTATTCAAACACCCATAGTTAAATATAAATAAATCTTTATTTAAAAAAATACACACAGAGAAAAATACATTATTTTAATTGTAACTAAAGTAAGCCAAAGGACAACAATTCAAGAGCTAATGTGTTTTTGAAATATCCACGAACCCCAGGGAACCACCAATCTCAGGAATTGCTTCACCTTGAAGTCCCAATGATTTGTAAAACTTAAAAAAACATAAACACTAAGTGTCGGATAAAGAGATTCAAATGAACTACACAAGTAAGGTAAGGATTCTTCTGAATTTATTCAGAAATTTCCATCCCACTCACTGCACCCTCCTCCCATAGGGGTGGGAAACAAAATCTTACATTTTATGAAACGCTCAAAATGCTGTCCCCCCGAAAGTGCAGTCACCCCTGAATGGGAAACGAAGTCCCAACTCCCGCTGGTTCTGTGGCCTTGGCCAAGTCACACTCTCTCTCTCGGACTCCATCTGTCATTTGAAAGGGAAGGTTTGGATAAAATGACCCACACGTATTCCCTCCTTTCTAGTTCCAGACGCACCAGGCCCCTTTAAAGCTGTGCTTTCGACTGGGGAATAGACTGGCCAACTCAAGAACTCCCTTCATGGTCCCCACCTTTGAACAATCCCCTTGTATGCATCCGTAACCTTGCTTCTCTCACCTCCTCCTCATCAATCCTCTTTGGCACCTGCACCCCCAGCTATGCATAGCCCCCCAGTCCTAACGCTCCATTGGCCAGCTTCCAATTCCTGACCCCAGGCTCCGTTCTCCCTCCATTTGACCCTGGTTTCTCCAGCCTCAGGAACCCCTTCCCGATTCTTGCCAACTGTCCTCATGCCCTCGCTAGGGGCGCCCCTGCCCTAAGGGCAGGCTCTGCTCCTACTGTTTCATTTGTCTGTTCTTCTTGGCCACACGTTCCAGACCCAACTAACTTGCAAAACTGAATGCTTTACTCATGCTCCTATTCCTCACCTGGCTGCTCCCCGCGGCTACCCAAACCCCGCAAGGCCTAGCTCAGGAAAGCCTTCCTTTGTGAAACATGCCCTAACCAATGCCAAAGGCTTCTGCACAGTGTCTGTGGCTTAGCTGTTTTACAGTATTGCTTGCCCGTTAGCATGACTGCTCACTGCCTCCTAACTGGTTGGTGAGCTACAATGCTTACCAAAACGGAGGGAATACCCTCAGGACCAGTTACCATGTTTACATGCAAAGGATAATCTTTTCCAAGGAGCTGTAAGAGGTGCTCCCTTTTTTCACTTCACACGCATCTCCTTTGCACAGCACTTTGCGTATAAAGGGTAATTCACAAACACGCGTCTGATTGGGAAGGTCTGTTCCCTGACCCTTGATGTCTGGTGGAAGCTGACATGGCTAAGGTCTCCAGGGAAGAGTCCTAGCCTCCCTTTTCTGTTAGGATTATCATCCACTAACATTTCAAGCACAGTCTGCAGAGATATTCTAAAGTCTCCTTTGCTTTAATGAAGTGAAGTGATAAATCCTGTCACTCAGCCATTCATCAAACAATCGAATACCACAGCTGCCCAACCAATTTCCTGCTACATTAAAACCGTATCAAAAGAAACACTCCCCTGGGAAATGTCTCCTACTTAACTGAAATTTAATCCTTTGGAAACAATATTCTCAATAGAACTATCCTATATAATAAAAGGGTAATATGCAAATTGACCCTAACAGCAGAATGACTGGGAATGACTGGTAGCTATGACACACACTGACCACCAGGGGGAAGACGCTCAATGCAGGAGCTTCCCCCTGGTGGTCAGTGCACTCCCACAGGGGGAGCTCTGCTCAGCCACAAGCCAGGCTGACGGCTGCAGCACAGCGGTGGTGACAAGAGCCTCTCCCACCTCCTCAGCAGCGCTAAGGATGTCCGACTGCAGCTTAGGCCTGCTCCCCGCTGGCAGGTGGACATCCCCCGAGGGCTCCCGGGCTGCCAGAGGGATGTCTGACTGCCAGCTTAGGCCTAATCCCCCAGGGAGTGGGCCTAAGCCAGCAAGTGGACATCCCCCGAGGGGTCCCAGACTGCGAGAGGGCACAGGCCGGGCTGAAGGACCCCCCCCCCCCCCCAAGTGCACAAATTTTTGTGCACCGGGCCTCTAGTACAAAATATTACTTTACATGTAGTGATTAATCCATCTTTCTTCATTCATTCTTTTATTTACTCATTCATTCAAAGACTACTGAGCACCTACTATGTAATAGTCAATACACATGACCAATTCTAAAAATAAGCTGTTGATGTACAAGTATTCATCTTATTATATGTGTATAGTCAACACGATTAATTTGAGCTGCTTGTCAAATGTATAACTTGTCCAAGCCCTCTTACTATTTCTCTGAGTCTAGATGATTATCAATTTTACTTTTCAGTTATCTCCCTCCCACAGTGGGTAAGGGAAGTGAAAGTCGCTGGAACCCTGTTCAATTGTATATTAAACACTTAAAATTTATCGTTTATATACTTAACCTTTTTGAAAGAACCATTGCATATAAATTAAACTAAATTGTTAAGAAGTTCACCCTTTCTTAGAACTGTGGAACAGGAGAATTCATAAATGTAACCTATACCTTTGCGTTGCAACTTATTACAATTTTTGACATGCTATACTGAGGGAAGATTAGCTAGTACCTATCAGTTATGCAGAAGATTGTTTATAAATAATATTGCACATTTGGAGTTTTGCAAACAAAGGGCTGCATAACAGACTTAGGTTAAGTGTAAGGAAGAAATTATTTATAAGAAATGCTAACTATTAAAACTGACTACCCAAGGGAATAAAGATCTTTACAGGTATTCTAGGACATTAGTCATCCATCGTGATGGTTTACTTATGGTCCTAGATATCTGTATTCCTTTGATTCAAAACCCCATTTGTTCTTCGTGTTTCTATACACCAATATTAGCTTATAGTAGAATACTTTTTCTTTTTTTAAATATACTTTTTAAAAAAATTGATTTCAGAAAGGAAGGGAGAGGGATAGAGAAATAGAAACATCAATGATGAAAGGGAATCATTGATCGGCTGCCTCCTGGACACCCCACACTGGGGATGGAGACCACAACCCAGGCATGCGACCTTAGCTGGAATGGAACCTGGGACCCTTCAGTCCGCAGGCCAATGCTCTATCCACTGAGCCAAACCAACAAGGGCTACTTTTTCCCACCTTTACAAGGCACATGGCAGATGAATTATCTTCACATTCATCATCATTTCTGCGATTAAAAGCATCTTCACAAAGTCCCTTTACGTAAAGCAAGTAGCTTTGAAATAACTCATCAGCCCAGAAAAGATGGCAGTACAAAAATGACCTGAAAGTTAAAAACATTTCCACAGACTTTATCATCTCTCCTTCAGAACGAATGAAGTTAATTTAGAGATAACTAGTATAATTTGCTTCATATGCCTAGAGTTAACAGGTATTACATCTACCACCCTGTCCTGGTTGTCGTATTTTACCACAGATTTGCAAGATGTTACCACTGGGGAAACTGGGCACGGGGTCCCTCTTCATCATTTCTTGCAACTGCATTTCAGTCACAACAATCTCCAAGTAAAAAGTTTAGTAACAACGACAGCAATGAAACTTGGCTATCAGATAGCCTACAAAATAGAAGTCACTGTCATCCATCTTGGATTACTGAATCACTCCTCTTTTTGAAAGCGAAAAGTTAGATCGAGTGACCAAGGGAATCTCGTCCTAGGCTCTTTTTTAAAAAAATATATATTTTATTGATTTTACAGAGGAAGGGAGAGAGAGAGAGAGAGAGAAAAACATCAATGATGAGAGAGAGTCATTGATCGGCTGCCTCCTACATGCCCCCTACTGGGGATCGAGCCTGCAGCCCAGGCATGTAGCCTTGGCCGGAATCGAACCTGGGACCCTTCAGTCCGCAGGCCGACGCTCTATCCATTGAGCCAAACCAGCTAGGGCTCATCCTAGGCTTTTCATAGCACTCTGATTCCCTTACAGCAAAGCATGGTGTACACGTGTACACACACACACACACACACACACACACCCCTACACATTTATATACACACATACATAACATTATGTTTAACAAAAATATTCAAATGCAGATGGATTCAACCTAATCATACATGTTATGGAATGTGACTTTCTAATCACCGAGCGAATATTAATTTATGTCTGCTTCCATACTACAATATTTAAAAATAAGGCTTCCTCTTGAGATTTCTATCAAGACTTACCTGCTTCTGTCCGTCTTAATTCTTTTAACAGTCAATTTCCAAGTAACAAATGCTTTATTCATTCTGAAAAAGAAAAAAAGACTTCTCACAGTCTATATTCATCAGTCACGATTACATCAATTCAGTAAAGGCTTGGTACAACCAGAAAATTCTCTAGGGCACCTCATCCATCCTGACTCACCTAAAGCAAATACTAAACCGTATCACTTTCTCCCAAACAATCAACAGCATAGAGAACAAGGCGTAAATGTAAATGAAAGTCATTATAATCCTCATAGATGTATGAGCGATTTAGTTGCAACACTCCAATAAACAGAAAAACGAGAAAAATACATTCTTTCCCCTTAAACATTTACTGGCTATTTTTAAAAGAGACTTATATTACAAGGGGAGTCAAGGTTCTATTTTCAAGTGATAATGAAATGAAAAGGTACATTGATAAGAAATCACGGTATAGTGGTAAGTAAACATGTAAGACAATGTCTGTCCTTTTGATAATATTGAATACGCATGCTTTCTTAAAAAGACGCATTTGTAATATTCGAAACTCAAAGGGGAGGAACTAAAAGGTTTCTCTGGTGATCATTCCTCACCCTTATTAAACTTGCTCGCTGTATTCTGTCTGGAACTTTTCTCTTTCAAGACCTCACGTGTGTCCCTTTTCATCAGCCATCTATTTACAACAGTCACACACACACACACACACACACACACACACACACACACACACACCTGTTTTCTCCATCTTACATATCTTCCTGGCCCTTCTCACTACCTGCAATGAGCTCACTGATTTACTTGTCATCTATCTCCCTCCAGAGACCAGAACTTCTCTAGGGACAGAGTCCTCGCATATTTTTCACATGGTTGCACCTCCAGGGCTCATGACAGTGGAACAGAACAGGCACAAGAAGGATCTGTTCAGTAAGTGAATGCTTTCTCTGCCACAGAACCCATTCACCTGTCTTACAGAAAGTTCTCTAGCTCCTTAGTTATTCCAACTATTTTCACAATATTAAAGGTAATCATTTAAAATGTTATTTCTTGACACTTTCTCATTCCTCCTCTGACCTCTACCACCTCCTCCTAGTCCTCACTCTCACCCTTGAACCCACAAAAAAAAAAAAAAAAACACGTAAATAAAATGTTATTTCTCTCTTTTCCTAGTCCCCAGCAGATAGCAGCAGACCACAAGAAAAGACACACATTAGAGAGGAAATTTAAAAAGTACAAAACAAGACACAAATCCTGGAAGAACAGCCGTCTGGGACTCCGTTGTGAAGGATCACAGTCTCAGGAATCCTGATGTGGTAGAAACTTCGAACTAGACACATTTTTAAATGATGGTCTGAATCAGTAAGCTGCTTTGGGTGGTGGGCACACGGTGCAACATACAGATCTTGTAACATAGAAGCACACACCTGAAACCTATGTGATCATGTCAACCAATGTCACCGCAATCAATTTAATAAAAAACTAGCTGCCAAGTTCCTGAATGCTGTTTTATTTTTTCATTAGAGGCTCAGTGCACAGATTCATGCACTGGTGGGGTTCCTTGGCCTGGCCTGCGGGGATCGGGCTGAAACTGGCAGTCTGACATCCCCGAGGGGTCCCAGATTGCGATAGGGCGCAGGCCAGGTCGAGGGACCCCCCCCCCCACCCGGTGCATGAATCCTCTAGTATGCACCAGGCCTCTAATATGCATATTTGATCTTTGGTTAATCTCCTCCCATCCTTCCCCCTCCCCCATTCTCTCTGAGATTCATCAGTCTGTTCCATGTTTCCGTACCTGTGCATTGAGTGTCTGCCTCCTGGTGGTCAGTGCACGTCATAGCTACCGGTCGAACAGTCACTTAGGCTTTTATATATATAGACTAGAGGTCCAGTGCACGAAAATTCATACACTCGCAGAGTGGGGGAGGGTCCCTCAGCCCGGCCTGTGCCCTCTTGCAGTCTGGGACCCCTTAGGAAATGTCCACCTGGGGAGCAGGCCTAAGCTGACAGTCAGACATCCCTCTGGCAGCCTGAGAGCCCTCAGGGGATGTCTGACTGATGGCTTAGGCCGGAACCCTAAGCCGCAGTTGGACATTCTTAGCGCTGCCGAGGAGGTGGGAGAGGCTCCCACCACCGCCACTGTGCTCACAGCCATCAGCCCAGCTTGTGGCTGAGCGGAGCTCCCCCTGTGGAAGCACACTGACCGCCAGGGGGCAGCTCCTGAGGAGCATCTTCCCCCTGGTGGTCAGTGCACGTCATAGCAACCAGTTGTTCCCGGTGGTCCCATCATTAGGGTCAATTTGCATATTACCCTTTTATTATAAAGGATAGTATTTCATCTTCATCTGACATTTTGCATATATGTGTGCTTTCATTATCTCTCACCCATTATAATCTAAGACCTTTGAGAGCTGGACAATTGTTTGGTTTGTTCAACAGCATCTAGAATAATGCCTGGTTTGTAGCAGACTCAATTAATATTCATTTAATAAATAAAGGGATGAAAAACAAAAAGTAAATTAAGGTCATTACAGTCCATTTAAGTTACTTGACTTTAAAATATCTTTTTCTTACAATATTCATCCAAAAAGATAAAATTAAGAGTTGTAATACTTAAGTGGGTAAGCTTCCTTTATCTAAAAAAAAAAAAATGTATAGACTTCTCCATTTCCTCTATAATTCCCCATAAATATGGCTTCACTATAGCAAAACCCAGACATCAACCAGCAGATTACTGTTTCAAAAGGATCACATTACAAACAATTGGGTTCCGTTTCATTCATCTCACCGAAAATTAGAAATGACCTTGAATTTTTGTAATATGTAGAAACATCTCCTTTCTATTAGCCATTCCAGAGTAGGTATGAGTTCTACATCTTCCACGACACCTATTTTGGTAACCTGCAGATAGAAGGCATGAAAGGACTTTATTTCTTTAAAATATATGAACTATCTTCAAGAAATAAAGAAAGCCTGTGTTTATCTCAGAACCACTTATCTGTATAATTAAGCATTTTCTCTCTCTGACCCCCACCGCCTCATCTACAGCCAAACTTGATTTTCTTTCGTTATATATTACCTTTGAAACGAATGAAGCAGTAACAGTCCAAAATTCTTTGCAATTTCTAGCTTTGTGGGCAGAGACCACCTGAAGATTGTATGGATTATAAAAGACGTTAGGGTCTTTCCGAGGAAGGCAATATACAAACTCGCCATCATCTTCCAAAGGTTTCTGAGGTTAAAAAAAAGTTTTTTTCATTAACTTGACCAGATTAAGTAGTAAAATGGCTGGACCCATTACTCAGTAAACTGAAATGTCAATACAGATTAAAAATAATATTGAGAGAAAAGCTAACATAAAATTGTGTCTAATCAGAGTTCAACAAGATCAATCTTAAGATTTAATTTTCATTCTTATAATGTGGTAAAAAAAAATTCATGAAAATTGATCTGTATGCTTACTCATGCCTGCTTATTTTTTTAAAAATACATTTTTATTGATTTACGAGAGTAAAGGAGAGAGATAGAAACATCAATGATGAGAGATGATCATTGATCAGCTGCCTCCTGCACACCCCCTACTGGGGATTGAGCGTACAACCTGGACATGGGCCCTTGACCAGAATTAAACTTGGGACCCTTCAGTCCCCAGGCCGATGCTCTATCCACTGAGCCAAACCAGCCAGGGCCATGCATGTTTCTGAACCCAAAGAGCTCATACCTTTGCCAGGTATGTTGCACTTCCAGGAAATCTGTCTGCCAACACCAGGAGCCTTTTGAGCATATGAAATTTATCATTTCTTTTGATAATGATGATGGTTTAGTATAACTAACAGCTAATATTTGTCAAGCAATAAATAGTTAATGAGTAAAAAGTGTTCTACATACGTATCTCTACAACCACAGAATTTTATATATATATATAATTGATTTTTTTACAGAGAGGAAGGGAGAGGAATAGAGAGTTAGAAACATCGATGAGAGAGAAACATCGACCAGCCGCCTCCTGCACACCTCCTACTGGGGATGTGCCCGCAACCAAGGTATATGCCCTTGACCGGAATCGAACCTGGGACCTTTCGGTCTGCAGGCGACGCTCTATCCACTGAGCCAAACCGGTTTGGCTACAACCACAAAATTTTTAACGTCTTAACGTTAATCTCTTAAACTGATCTTTTTAATCTCAGTAAACAGATGTATAAATTACTATGTTGGGAAGTTAGGTAATTGGAGAAAAGTCACAAAGTCAGAGAGTGGCAAGGTAAGCATTGGAACACAAGGCTGACCCTGAGCCCATGTTCTGAGCTATTGCAATGTACTCTCGTCTCTCTCCCTCGTTCACTTGAGGGCCCGAGAAATCAGACATTCCCCGCTAAGAAAGTTTTTAAGTCAAATTTATTTACTTTAGCTTTGAAACTTCTAACTTTTATTGATAAAACTCTGTAAGAAAGTTTCATTTACGGGGGGTGGGAAGGGCCAGGGAGAGGTCAATGGGGGGAAAAGAAGACATATGTAATACTTTAAACAATATAAAATTTAAATTAAAAAAATTTTCATTTAGCCTTTTCTGGATAATTAACCTTTATTATAAAAGAGCTCTTAGTGTTACTTATTCTAATTCAGTGAATGATGCCTTCAGAGGCTGTTGAACTGCTTAAACAGCTTCCAGTGGCTGTAATTTTGAATTTTGCATCCAGCTTTCCACCAGGACTTCTTTTTAAAATCACAAAAATCTGATAAACATGAAGTTAAGAGTACATTCCAATTTCAGGCAGATTGATTTTCTTACCCATTCCATTCTTTAAATAAGCAAAATGAAGTGATGCCAAATACTTTTTATAAGCATTCACCATGAAATGAGATTATGACTTGATATTAATATGATAATGATTCTAATCCTATATAATAAAAGCAAAGCATGCAAATTGTCCCCTCGACCAGGAGTTGTCCGGGAGTTCGACCAGGGGGTGGGACCAGCGGGGGAAAGGGAGGAAGGCCCAGCCGCCAGGGACCCTACCAATGCATGAATTTCATGCACTGGGCCTCTAGTGTAGTATAATGAATGATATCAAGATTAAGATACAGTTTCAAACATTAACTTTTATAGTACACAGTTGGATAAAATAATACCTTTACAGTAATCTTCTGAACTGTAGTTTCGTGATTCCTGTAATCCAACTTACAGTGCGGTAATTTTGTCTGCCACCCAAGCTTTCTTCTCAGCCTGAGGATATGTCTAATCACATTGTCATCCTCTGGTTCTGGTTGAGAATATTAAAACAAGATCCAATGTAAGTGCCAGTATGGGCATCGCTTAAGGGTATGTATACTAGTCCAAATTTTTCTACTTAGAGAACAAATTTCAATGGCAACTTACACTGGAAGTTTACACGGACAACACAATTGGAAGAGAAAATATAACTTAAGATTCAATTTTAACTGAAGCTGGAAAGAAGATGTAACATTTTTTCCATTTGAGAAAGAGATCACCAAAGACCTAGTGACACAGGTGACCAGCAAAAAGAGACACTAGCACAGACACACAGTCAGAAGGATCTTCTTAACAGAGGCCTACGCAGGGTGAGGGCAATGGGGTCAGCAGAGAAGGGATGGCTACGTAAGATGCAGCTCATCCTCCTGAGACTACTCATCCCATCGACACCTTTCAGACCAAATCTTTCTTGCTCTCCTAGCAGCTGACGATGCTCTTCTTGAAACATTCACTTTTCTTGGCTTTTGTTCGCCAGGCCCTACAGGTGGCCCTCTTAGTCCTGAAACATCTTTTCTCGGGAAAACAGATCATGGGAGGAGCGTGCCAGACGCCACGCTGGCAAAACGGACAAGGCCCATGAAGTCGTGCAAGATTTCTGTTCCTCCAGAATTCACAAACACTGGCTGATCAAAACAACTCTCTCGCGAAGGATGCAATGCGGTTTGCGCGATTGTATAAAAGGGTGTCAGGAATTTGGAAAGGCGTCGCCTGTCAGAGTTAAGTTCCCCTTTCAATTTTGTGCTCGAGGCATTGACTAGTGGCCTATGTCTTGTCAGTTGCTTAAACAGGGAAACACATTTAAAATAGTTAATTGAAAAGAAAGCCGGTTAACATTAGGTATAAAAGAGAGGAGGAAGAGGAACGGAAAACTGGTATAAGGAAATCGTACAAACTACGTACGCACGAGTAACATCATAGACTCGGATATAAAAACATAGAAATCAAAGCAGTGTGGTGTTGGCATAGGAAAAGAAAAACAGCTATGACAATTTATACAATACAATCCAGTAAGCGAAAAAGTGGTATTTCAAATCAAAAGAGGAACTGGGAAATTGGTTAGCCATTTTAGAAAAACATGCAGTTATCTAGGCAAGCATACATAATTATTATAAGGTGAATAATAATTATATGTGGATTAGAAATCCATATATAGATGGGTTAGAGAAGTCAATGTAGAAAATAATAGAAATATTAGAAGAAAATATGGGAGACTATGTTTATAAACCTGGAATAGCAAAGGCTTCCTGAAAAAGAATCAAAATATGTTAAATAAAAAATGGGAAAATATCAACTGCTGGCAAGGGTATTCCTCTTATGCAATATTGTAAAGTAAAAATTAAATACATTCATTCTTGATGGTAATTTGGCAGATTTAATAGAGTTGATAAAGACTGCTGGGAAATGGAGTCGTCCAGAATCCTATATAATAAAAGGGTAATATGCAAATTGACCCTAACAGTGGAACGACTGGTCACTATGACATGCACTGACCACCAGGGGGCAGACACTCAACACAGGAGCTACCCCTTGGTGGTCAGTGTGCTCCCACAGAGGGAGCTCCACTCAGTCACAAGCTGGGCTGACAGCTTCGAGCGCAGCAGCCATGGCGGTGGCGGGAGCCTCTCCCGCCTCCTCAGCAGTGCTAAGGATGTCGGACTGCGGCTTAGCACCCGAGGGTTCCCGGGCTGCCAGAGGGATGTCTGACTGCCAGCTTAGGCCCAATCCCCCGGGGAGTGGGCCTAAGCTGGCAGGTGGACATCCCCCAAGGGGTCCCGGACTGTGAGAGGGTGCAGGCTGGGCTGAGGGACAACCCCCCCACACCGAGTGCATGAAGTTTCATGCACCAGGCCTCTAGTGTAATATAATCACAGGAGTGACAGCCCAGCATCACCTTTGCTTTATTCTATTGGTTGGAACCGGTCACAGGTCCTGCCCACATTAGGGGAGGGGATTAGACAAGGGCGTGGACACCACCACATCCATGCGGGTTTTGTGCTTAAAAACACATGAAGCCTGGGTAGTGAGGGGCCCCAAAGTTCAAGCTTCAGTAACTTTATGATGAACGTGCCCTGGACCATGGCACTTCAAGTGAGAAGTCTTTCCTTTTCCTATAAAACTTAAAATATTAATACAAATAAGAATTTCCGGTAGAGAGAGAGCATAAACTGGAAAATGCTAGTGGAGATAAATCTGTTTAAATGAATTACTTATTGGGGGATTTAAACTTTTTGTCAAAGACGTAAGCCTATTAAATGTAGTAATTCCAGAAAGCACCACTGAAAGTATAAAATAAAACCATCGAAGTTTATCTTATTTCTAATTCTATAATCATAACCTTCAGAGATTTGTCTTAAATAAAAACAGTGATTGAACAGTCTGTCAACTGTTTAATCTCTTGATATTTTAGGTTTTCAAAAAGATTGTAAATAATTGTTTAAGCAGCCAAACACAAAATGCAGTAAGACTGTTCTAAAAGCAGTGGTTCTCAACCTTCCTCATGCGGCGACCCTTTAATACAGTTCATGTTGTGGTGACCCCCAATTTCATTGTTACAAACGAACATCATTAAAGCACAGTGATTCATCACAAAAACAATATGACATTATAGATGTGTTTTCAGATGGTCTTAGGCGACCCCCGTGAAAGGGTCCCGACCCACAGGTTGAGAACCGCTGGTCTAAAATCATTGTGCAATAGACGTAAGCACACAAAACCGCAGCGTAACTTGAAAAAGTATCGAGTCTTCTAAACAAGGAATACCACGTACCTGTCCTATCATAGGACACAAGCCTTTTCTCCTTGGCTTTCGGAGAAGGACAAGTTTGATCCTTTTTTTCCTTTGATTTCTCTTTCTTTTTCTGGGGAACTGGTTTTGGAGCAACAACCTGTTGAGTTCTACTTTCTGGCAGATAATCTGAGAATCAAACCATTATTAACTGAATAACCACAGAGTAATCCCACACACCAAGCAATACAGTTGATCGTTATATCGTTAACGGATTTACACAAGCTCTGAGTCAAGACACCGCGGTTCCCAGCGCAATTATGAGCTGTACCTCTGTCCTGCGGTTTGCTCTGTAAGTTATCAGTCTGTTTTACTACACCCACCTTTGAAATAAGGATTGTAGGGTGATGTAAAGATTAAATTGGTAAATATATCTAAAGCACACAGCAAGTGCTTTCAAAGGTAAATGTTAGCATTTGATTTTACTATTACAAAAAATGTGAATCCTCATTACAGATCACATACCAAACCCCTTTTTATTAGCTGTCATTTGGTAACTGAGCCCAGAAAAATGTTTAGATACAAGTTCAGAAAAGTTACAGCGGGCCTTTTTCTCATTCCTCCTATGACTTGCCTGATTGGTGGATTTTTAACATGAAGAAGAATGGGGGAGTTATTGACAATAGGGTTTCTAAAAAGCAAATACATTTTTCTCCTCATTGACTTAACAAATATTTATGTAGTGCAAGGCACTGAGCAACAATCAAGTAGGTGATAAGACACAGAAATGACAAGCAAAACAAAATGAGTACAAATGAAACAGTAAGTTCAATTTCAGCCAATATTCCCAATTTGGGGGGGAGGGGGTTGTGAAGGGGTGGGGGTAGGGAGAAAGGTGGCAACAGCCAGAAGGCACTGGGATTTAGGAGAATGTTGTCCCCAGGGAAAAAAAGATGATACTCGTGAAAGAGTGATGTGAACTGTAAATTGCTACAAGAATGTCACATGTTCTTGGTGGTGGCAGTGGTAACGCTGTTATTTTTAATATTATGATCAGTATTTAGATTATGTTCCCTTTATATTTTTGAAATATGTTTTTCTTGATTTTTGTTTGTTTGTTTTAGAGATAAAGTGAGAGGGATAGAGAGAGAAATATCAATGAGAATCATTGATCTGCTGCCTCTTGCACGCCCCCTACTAGGGATCGAGCCTGCAACCCCGGCATGTGCCTCACCAGGAATCAAACTGTGACCTCTTTTTTTTATTTTTTATTGATTTTTTACAGAGAGGAAGAGAGAGAGAGATAGAGAGCTAGAAACTTCGATGAGAGAGACATCGATCAGCTGCCTCCTGCACATCTCCTACTGGGGATGTGCCCCCAACCCAGGTACATGCCCTTGACCGGAATCGAACCTGGGACCTTTCAGTCCGCAGGCCGACGCTCTATCCACTGAGCCAAACCGGTCTCGGCTGTGACCTCCTGATTCTTAGAGCAACACAACCAGCCGGGTGATTATGTCCCCTTTAAAAAGGCAAGGTTTATATTGAAAGATATTGCTAATTGCCATGACTAAAGAAATACGTAGTATTTATATGTATTTCACTTGTTATCTTGACTCAATGCTATCAAACTCCTTTTCATCTCCATAAAAGAAAAGTCAACATGCCTGGATAGTAATCATCTGGGTAAAAAACTTCTGTTTTTTCTGACTTCAAGGATGCAGGACAAGGTCTACAGGTCAACGTTTCGTTTTCTGTCGTTGGAGCTGGTTGATTCTGCGATGGCGCGACATATTGGTAATTCTGCTCTTCGTAGTGGACAAATCTACGATGACAAGGAAAAGAAAATGCTATGTTTGACATTCTCTGGAACTTAAAAGCACACGTCTTTATTCTGTACTTTACAACACAGTATCTATCACTGCCAGCGATTTTTGATGGGTGCTTTGGTAAGCAGGTCTGATGAGCCTATTCAAACGCTAAACAGGTCTAAGTGATGTTATCATAAATTTGTAAAGCTGGAAGGGACTTGAGAATCCTCACTCTTTGCCGACATGTATGTGTTGTCTGTCTTGTTTGGGAAATATCTCCTTATTCCAAGGTAACTGCAAAATTCTCTCATATTTTTTCCTAACAGTTTTAAAGTGTAGCCTTTCCCGGGTCTGATAACTCATTCATAAGTTCTTAAATCCGTGATTTTTATTATGGTGACGGTCGGATAATCTTTATCTCCTCCTCCAACTTTCTTTGGGTGTTTTGCCCTCTGCATACAGAATTGTATGCCACTTGAAATGACCAACTATAAGCCAAACAGTACAACCTGGTAAGAATTCCATGCATTGCCAGTCAGATAACTTAAACTGCTCAAGCTTTAGCTTGAAGTTTATAGTTTCAAAGAAATTACTGAATTCTTATATGAATATAACTATTAAAGTTTTTCAAAAGAGATTCTCCTAACCTTAAATAATCATATATGAGCTGACTTTCTAAAATTTATTTTTAAAATATATTTTTATTTATTTTAGAGAAGAAAGGGGAGAGGGAGGAGGAGGGAGACAGAGAAAGAGAAACACAATGATGAGAGAGAATCATTGATCGGCTGCCTCCTGCACGCCCCACACTGGGGATGGAGCCCACAACCCAGGCATGTGCCCTGACTGGGGAATTGAATCGTGACCTCCTGGTTCCTAGGTCGACGCTCAACCTTTGAGCCAGGATGGCCGGGCCAACCAAGCTGACTTTTAGAAAATAATCATATGACATGTGAGTTTTAAAAGGTTACCAGATGTGAAAGTCACAAATATATACATAATTGTAATAAAGTCATACACTTCCCATGAATGTGAATGTCTTGTAAGCAGCTGAAGGTACCTAAGCTTTTTGCATGTGAAAATGTGGTTAATGTGCTCATAGCTGGAGTAAGGAAACTACTATTGTTTTTTAAGTGGAACTGAACTGAAATATTTTATTTCCAGAAAAAGAAAGTTTTATTCAGTTCAGGTTGCTCCCTCTAATTTCTTAAAGCTGACTGTTAGCTCATTATAATTTTTTCAGCCTTTCTTATTTTATAATATACATTTTTATGGCTATAAATTTCTCTCTAAACACTAACGTAGCTATCTCACACAGTTTTTACATGTGTCGCATAGTTAATGCAGTAGGTAAAGGTCCCCCCCCCTTTTTTCTTTCTTTTACTATATATTCAGTTCTAAGTTTTTCTAATTTCCTTTAGGGGTAACTCCTTCCATCCATGAGTTATTCATAAAAGTATTTGTTATTTTTTCAGATAAGATGTTTCATTCCCAAAGGTATGGGAGTTTTCTACATACCCTCTTTATAACGGATTCCTAATTTATCCATCTGCTCCGAACGGCCATTTTCTACCCATATCCATACCCAGAACCAACAGCCTTGGCCTCCCTGGGATTTCTCAAATGTTGGTTAGTTTCTCCCATCCATCAACCTTGTTCTCTCTCTCTTGGCATGTCAAGGTGGGTCTGGGGGAAGGAGCCAGCAGACAGTGTTAATCTGCCTATCTCAATAGGTCCCACCCTCCAGTAGAGTAAGGTTTTCCAAACTCGAATCCTTACCAACCCTCATATGGCCTTTACATTTTTTCATTGGCAGACTGACATACTGCTAGATATATATTGTTAACATTTTAACAGTTATATCTTATTTTACCTTAATTTTTTGTTGCTTTGTCCCTCATTCGTGTCTTTACATATTGTTGTCAAATCAGCGGGTATATATGATGCCATGTTTTTTTCCGAATAAAACTAGGAAGTCATAGGCTGTAAAAAAAAATGTTTTAATGTCAAAGATGATTTCACAACTATGACTATAGGAATTCAAAACTGCACATAGAACCCTGGCAGGTGTTCCCAGTGGTTAGAGCATCAGCCTGCACACTGAAGGGTCATGGGTTCGATTTCTGGTCAAGGGCATGTCCCTGGGTTGCAGGTTCGACCCCTGGCCCCATTCAGGGCATGCGTGGGAAGCAACCAATTAATGCGTCTCTCTCACATCAATGCCTCTCTCTCCCTCCCTCCCTCTCTCCTTCCTCTTCAGTGGTTCTCAACCTGTGGGTCGCGACCATCGGAAAACACATATAGCCTATCAGATATTTACATGACGATTCATAACAGTAGCAAAATGACAGTGATGAAGTAGCAACGAAAATAATTTTATGGTTGGGGCTCACCACAACATGAGGAGCTGTATTAAAGGGTCGCGGCATTAGGAAGGTTGAGAACCACTGCATGTGGTCTCTACTGTCTGTCCTTGGTTTTCAGGGTTCTCTCCAGCCAGTCTTCAGTTGATTATTCAGGGTGTTTTTTCTGTATTTTAGTTGTAATTGCAGTTTGGTCCTGGGAGTGTGTCAGTGTAGCATCTATTTACTCCACCACCATTTTTAATCTTTCCACTTCTGGGAATTGATCGGAAGAAACCCCCAAACACTGATTTGCACCCCTATGTTTATGGCAGCGATATTTACAACAGCCAAGCAGCCCAAGTGCCCATCAGTGGGTGAGTGGATCAAAAAGCTGTGGTGCATTTACACAATGGAATACTACTCAGCCACAAAAAAGGGGGAAATCTTACCTTAACAACAGCATGGATGGACCTGGAGGGTATTATGCTAAGTGAAACAAGCCAGTCAGAGAAAGACAAACACCACGCTTTCACTTAGGTATGGAATAACGAACAAAATAAACTAACGAACAAAAGAAAAATATGCCAATAAAGAAAATAATAAGAGCATTGAGCTTATTTAAATATACAGTTAAGTCAAAACAAGCATGGATCAAAAAGAAAAGTAGACATTACTCATTAGTTAGAACCATTCAACAATTAAGCCACCGAACCATTCACTTATTCAAACTTGGATGCAGCTGTACCAGTTTTTTTTATTATTTTTTTGTGGCAGTTTTTAGAACTTAGAAGAGTATTAAATGCATTTAGTACTTTAAAGACTGAAAAAAAAAAATAAGTGTTCAATAAAGAAGCTAGAAACTGAACAAGCCCAAAAGAGGAGAAATGACTGTAACAGAAAACAATAATAAAGATCAATAAAACTAAAAGCTGGTGAAGGAAAAAAAGAAACGTTACTCAAAAGGCTCTCCCTGGCCCCAATTAAGTGAAAGACACGGGCCCAACGACCTTCACAGGTGAGGGTCATCAAAGACGCCAAGGGCAGAAAAAAATCCTTAGGCAGACTCCCCGAAATAAAGAAAAGCTACTGAGCTCACGTATTGAAACTAAAGTAGCAAGGCTTCCCAAACCAGACAAGAACAGGACACGCACCAAAAAAATTCACAGACAATAACACTTCTGAACATAAATGCAAACATCCTAAATAAAATATTAGTAAGTCAAATCCAGCAATGCGTGTTGATATATATGTATGTGTGTGCGTGTGTGTGAAATATCTGTTTATCTATCTATAGGTTGATTGATAGAGTTTATCCCATGAATGTTGGTACAATATCTATGAATGTTGCTAATGTAATTCTCTGTATTAACTTAAAAGTTATGTCTGTGCACATTAAATCACATATATTCATCTATATTTGTGCTGTGTATACATATATGTGTGCATATATTACACAGTAAATGCTGGCAAAGTTTTTCTCAGAGTTCATTACTCACTTATAACTGGGGGGGGAGGGACACCCCCAAACTCCCATTAACCTAGAAGAGAGCTCACTTACCTGATAGAGAGAAGACTTGATTTGGGGGAGGGGGGTTGACGATGGATTATAGAATTGTACACCTGAAAGCTATATACTTTTATTAACCAAGGTCACCCCCATAAATTCAATAAAAAGGTAAAAAAAGGGGGGGCTACTCCTGCACTAGGAGGGGAAACCCCTTTATTACGGGAGGGGCATTAGTCGGAGGCATGCCTGGTGCACGGTGGGTGCCCCACGAATTCCCACGGCCTGGCACCCACCAACCCAGCCCCCAGGTCAGCACCCGGTCGGCCGGGGCCCTGTCCCCCCTCCCACACCCCCCACACCCCACGCCGGGCCCTTGCCGCCCAGGGCTGGGCAGACGGACACGACGGGCAGGTGTCGAAGGGGGTCCCCGCTGCCCTTACCTGCTTCGGCCCTTCCTGGGGCCCAGGGCCGAGGTCGGGCCTGCAGGGGCCGGAGGGCTTGGGGGGGAGGGGAGGCGACCCAGAGGGACAGCGCAAGGTCAACGCCTTCTGGCCGCAGCGGCCACCGGGTCCGCAACGTCCGAGCTCCCGCAGGGGCGACTGGGAGGCGGGGAGGGTCCGGGGCCCTGAAGAGGATGCTGGGAGGGTGTGGGCGGGGCAAGGGCCCAGGTGACCTTGACCAGGTGCGCCGCGGGCGCTCCCGTAAGATGCCCACGCAGCCCCGCAGGGCGCGGTGCCCACGGGTGGCAGCTCAGGCACCTGCACCGGCTGCCCAGGCTCACGACCCCCCGCGTGTCCCCTGCGTGGGGCCTGACGGCGGGAGAAGGCGAGGCCATGGACAGGTGATTCTGGGAACCCTGGGAAAGAGCGACTTTCTTTCTTTTCTTTTTTTCCTCCTTTTTTGGCCTGTTTGCCTTGGGCCGTTAGCTTTGAACTCGGGAGAACCTCTAACCTCATTCGCAGTGGAGAGAGAGCAATCGGGGGTCGCTCCTGTGTCCAGGCGAGGCCTTGGGCTTTGCTGTTTCTACCTGTCGCCTCCTTCAATCCCGGGGTAGATGTTGTTACCCCGTTTTATAGATTAGCCAGCGGTTCTCAACCTGTGGGTCGTGGCCCCTTTGGCGGGCGAACGACCCTCTCACAGGGGTCGCCTAAGACCATCCTGCAGATCAGATATTTACATGAGGATTCATCACAGGAGCCACATGACAGTGATGAAGTAGCCACGGAAATAATTTTATGGTTGGGTCACCGCATGAGGAACTGTATTGAAAGGGCCAGAAGGTTGAGAACCACTGGATTAGACCAGAAGTTTGCATAACGGAGTCGAAATCTTTTTCCCACAATAGGAAACCATCTGAAAGGCTGTGAGATGCCATGGTGGTATCAACAGTAACCAATTACAAAGGAAAATAAATAAATAAATAAAAAACTCGGACCCAGAAACGACTGAAGCACAGGATCTAAGAATATTTATTGGTAAGTGATAGGTGTTCGAAGATGACCCGGCTTCTATTATTGCCTTCACCAATGAGGTGCTGGCTAGCTGGGCATTCATGGAGACGTTCGTTCTATACAGATATAGGTAGGTGTGTGTTACCCAAATGCAAATTTAACTTGGTTTTGAAATCCCGAAAGTAGAACCTTGAGCTAAATGATAACTCCCCCCACGTGTTTATTTTTTTTTTTTAAGAAAGCTCTTGGCTTTTTTTTTTTTTAATTTTTTTTATTGATTTCAGAGAGGAAGGGAGAGAGCTAGAGAGATAGAAACAGCAATGATGAGAGAGAATCATTGATTGCCTGCCTCCTGCACGTCCCCCACTGGGGGGGGGGGGGGGATCGAGCCTGCAACCCGGTCATGTGCCCTTGACCGGAATTGAACCTGGGACCCTTTGGTCCGCAGGCTGACGCTCTATCCACTGAGCCAAACTGGCCAGGGCCCCCCACGTGTTTTCAATGTTACAAACTTAGATGATACATGGACTCAAGTCTGTGTGGGGAATAAGGCCAAGGTAGAAAGTGGACATATGCACCCCTCAGTACCCGCTGTCCCCCCCAGTATGGGCTGGCTGCTGGGGCAGCTGGCCACTCCTCGCTGAAGAGCAGCAAGCCGCCTTCCTTGAGGGCTCTTCAATTACAGTAACATTGATGCCTGAACTTGCATCTTTAAACACATATTTCAGGGGTTGGGAGCTTCTGGGACCATATCTTTAAAGCAGCCTTTCTTATAATAATCTTTTCACTTTCTCTTACAAAGCAGTGTCGAAGAATCATTTGCTCTTCGTGGAGAGTCAAAGAAATGCAAAACAGAGTGGACCGGTAAAAAATACTGGTTACTCAGTAGGACCTTTGTTCATGTATTAAAATGTAAGCAATATTTCTTTAGCCCTCCATAATTCTCACTCCTACCAGACTTCACTAACTGGAAAGAAAAGTACCTTCCAACAGTGAAGCAGACCTGGTTAGCGACCCAAATTATTTTAAATGTAGCGAGAATACTTTCTAGACCAGCAAATTCTTCAAAACACACGGGTTAAAACCCGAGGACTAAAAGTTAGGTGATTTTTGCCTGGCTGGCATGCCTCAGTGGTTGAGCATTAACCTGTGAACCAGGAGGTCACAGTTTGATTCTTGGTCAGGGCACATACCCCAGTTGCGGGCTTGATCCCCAGTAGGGCGGTGTGCAGGAGGCAGCCAAGCCATGATTCTCTCTCATCTTTGATGTTTCTGCCTCTTTCCCTCTACCTTCCTATCTGAAATCAATAAAAATATGTTAAAAATTAGGTGACTTTCATTTTTTTAATATTTTTATTGATTTCAGAGAGTAAAGGAGAGGAAGAGAGAGAGAAATCAATGAGGAGAGAAAATCATTGATCAGCTGCCTCCTGCACGCCCCCACATGGGGATCGAGCCTGCAACCGGGGTATGTGCCCTGACCAGGAATCAAACCCAGGACCCTTCAGTCCGCAGGCCGACACTCTACCCACTGAGCAGCACAGGCTAGGCCAGCAAGAGGGATTTTAATTTCAGGCTTTTTCCTTCATAAGCAGCCTCACTGCAGAGCACCTGTCAGCCACGGATCAGGCCAATAATGACAGTAATGAGGGCCGAGGTCTGACAACGCACCTGCTAACCTCG